AGGAGTGCGCCTCTCGCACTTTGAAACAGGGCTTCACAGCTTGGTTGATTTTGCGCATGATTATAACGCCCATAACTAGATGTTCTCTGCATCCATTTGAAACTAAATTCATTTTGATAGGTTTACTTTATTTATTTTATTTTTTATTTATTTACATTAGATATTTCATTGAAATATGCAGGGACAATGCACATGAAAGTTTCAAAGTTTACAGTTCACTACCAGTCCATACGGTTCATATATGGAGTGTAAGCTGCAAAAGTAGCCTGTTTTGAATGCATAGTTCTTGTAATGTCACAAAAACCTGTACATCAGTATATTTATGTTTATCCACCTATTCACTCCTTTAGTTGTTTGGTACCGTCTACTAACGTTAAAGTTATAAAGAGCGTTTCGGACCATACTACTTTTTGAATGAGCCACAATACAAGGCAGCCAATCAAAACTGAGGTCATTTGCATAGATCAGTCTTCAAAGCACAGTAACAGACACAGCCTGTTTAATTATTAGGTTGGAAATGGTCATATAAAAATTAAATAATAAATTAATTAATAAATTGATTGTTTTTTGTATGTCAACCCACACAAATATCGTAAATGAGCCTTCATAATTAAACATTTAAATACAAGAAAAATATAGAATATTGGCGCTTTTAATAAACAAATTATTTCTATAAATGTGCTGGTTTGCCAACATGGCTAATTTTCACTTATTGAATTTGCCTTATTATTAATTTGAATTATAGACATCAGTATTAGCCAAATTTAGGAACTAATAATTTGGAACACAGACACATACATTAGCGACAAAATTTGGTAGGATGTTGCATGGTCCTCCTACTCAATGCTAGTACAGTTCTCCACCTTTAAGTTCTAGGTTTTCTTGGTGCTTTTCCAAAGCTGTCCATTGCTACTGATTATGGTAAATATCACACATACACACATTGTTGTTTAATCAGTTTTTTCTAAACACATCCAAAAAATGTAAATGGTGTAATTTTTATTTTTATTTTCACATATTTTTGGTTGCTCATATATCTCTTTCACTTTACTTCCTGTTGGACATCTGTGCCACTTCTTGTTTACGCTTTATTCTCACTTTTAATTTATTATACACCATTTAAAATAAGAAACACTGTTAATTGGCACAGAAACTTTACAGTGCGTACAAGTTTTCTAAACTTTAAAAAAGGGTCTGTACACTTGCACCGAGCTATCTGTTGAAGGACATTGCTCCAAAGAGTTTGAGTGTAATATAATAGGTTTAATTACTTAAATGTAATTAACTTCATTTATAGAGCGTATCTTTATGAACCTAAAACTGAAAATGATATAATTAAAAGCAATGTTCTGATTCCCCACACCAGTGCTCTAAACCAGAGCTGCCCAAAGTTGTAGCCCATGGGCCAAATTTGGCCTGTCAGAAAGAAGCCCTAAACCCTGCACCCATCCTCACAACCAAATGAGGGAACAAACACATTTTCATACTTATTAATTTCTTAATTTTCTTTTAAAATTGTTTTAAAGTATTTTGGAAAATGTAGTTTTGCATTTTAAAGTACTCTCTTTAAAAAAAAAAAAGGTGCTGGAAAGGGTTCAATGCATGAAGAACCCCCTTTGGTTCCCTAAAGTATGTTTCAATTCATGGTTCTTTTAAAGAACAGTTTTTTGTAGATGGGCTGTGTGCATGTGAAAAACCTTTTTAAAGTTTAAAGAACCTCAATGTAATATAAATTTTATTGGAAGAATCCTTACATTGGTAAATGACCTTTTATATTACACAATGGTTTTTCACACTCGCACATCTCATATACAAACATGGTTCTTTAGAGAACTAAAATGTTTTCTCTGTGGCATTGTTCAACGAACGCTTTGGCGCTTTCTTTAAGATAATACATTGTCAGTAACTGAATATGCAACCTACCAACACTATATGGTCAATTATTGAGTTCAGGTGTTTCAGCCATACCCATTGCTAACAGGTGTATAAAATCAAGCACATAGCCATGCAGTCTCAGTAGAGCATTGGTACTAAAATGGGTTATACTGAAGAGCGCAGTGACTTTAAACGTGGCCCTGTCATGGGATGCCACCTTAGCCACAAATCAATTTATGAAAATTTTACCCTGCTAGAAATACCCTGGTCAACTGTAAGTGCTATTATTGTGCACTGAAAGCATCTATGGGGGAAACAACAGCTCAGCCACGAAGCGGTGGACCACACAAACTCACAGAGCAGGGCTGCCAAGTGCTGAACCACATGGCTCATAAAAATCACCCATCATTCACTACAGCGTTCCAAACCACCTATAGAATCAACATCAACACAAACCGTGCATTGGTACCTTCATAAAATGGGTTTCCATGGCCAAGTCGTGGCACACAAGCCTAAGATCATTAGCTGCGATGCCAAGCATCAACTGGATTGGTGTAAAAGGACACTGCCACTGGACTGTGGAGCAGTGTAAACATGTTCTCTGGACTGATGAATCACGCTGTATCAATTTTAATTCTCATGGGCATTTAGACTATAGGAACCTGATGGCTCAGCTTGGAGCAAACCTGTCACAGGTCAGACTACTCTGAACCGTGTACTCCAGCTCATATTTTGTGTTCCCCTTTTGCGGAAATGAAGTCAGTCATCCAGCAGACTAACTTGGAATAATTTGAAGTTGGGCTCGTAGCTGATCCGCTTCCGACTTTAAATCTGCTCTCTCATCAAGGGGGAATAGATCCCAACATTTGCCTTTATGCTCATCGCTGTGTACTTCTGATTCTGACTGCTCTTGGGTGTGTATGTGATTTGTGTTTGTGTATGCAGTGCAAAAGGGGTTGCTCTCATGAGATGTGTGGGGTAAGGGTGGGAGGAGGTTGGGGGGATTAGAGGCTGGTTTGAAAGGAAGTGCATCCCATTATGTTAAGTCAGACTTTTTCTCTTCTGCTCTTTGTGTCACGTAGAGCTTGACTGTTTTTTCCTGGAGTGTTTTAAAAGACACTGTAGTGGTGTAGCATTTAATAAAGAGAAGTTTTACTGTGCTACTTTAACCTTTTGAAACACCTGACGTTTGCCTACTGACTGTAATTTCTTTGGTGATAAGATTGTGTGTCTGTATAAGTGTCATCTTTATTTTACCCTGTTAATTGTTCCAGCAAGATGATAAACAGTAATAACACAATCAACAGGACACATTATAAGTGAGCGTACGTGTCATGTATTGAGGATTATGCTAACCAGGTTATGGGAAGATTTAATAAATATAGGCTATAGGATGCCCTCTGCAGTTCCAATAGATATTAGTCAAATGTTTATTTCAGGGAGTTAAGTTAGTGTTAATTAAGGGTGGGAGAATCTAGGCACCTCACAAGTTCGATTCAAGGTGCCAAGATGTGATCTTGATTTTTCATTTCTGCAGCCTACAGTATGATCATGTATCTGCCAGTGATTAAGCTTATATTGAAGTGCTTAATGTATATAGCCTTTTTATCCAAATAACTCCACTGCACTATGGCTGACCTTCGTTAGCACTATAGAGGTTTTTTATGTTATGCTAATGCCAGGCTAAAGCTGCTATACCATGACTTACACAGTCTGATTTTAATAGCGGTTTTACCCTAAATGTGGACAATTTAAACAGATATTCAGGTAACACGTTTCTTACTTGGTATGCTGCAGTTTTACAATGAATGCTTCAGTAAATAACTTATCTCTGAATATTACAAGGTTAGCCTGTTAGCAACTTATCCAGGTGGTTATTAGACAAAGCAACATTTTTATGTAGTCATTTATACTGTAGTTTCCATATACATAAAATTGAGTGTAGTTTGTGACTGCAAACATGCGCATTAGTGAGATCCTGCATTTTCTTTTCTTTATCCAAGCCAAGCTGTGCTAAAGTATCCTACTTTATAATGTATGTTGGTGTGTATGAGTTTATTTTATAGTAGAGATTTTGCTGGGCCAATATAAAAAATTCAACATTTTATGAATCAATTCAGAGTCTCTAAGGAGTGATTTGCGATGCATCTAAAAATGAAGCATATAAGGACAAGCGAATGGTTAATATGATTTTTCTTTCTCTTCTTTTTTTTCTTCTTTCATAATCTAATCAGAGATTACCTTGACCATTAATCAGTTAATGGTTAAGATGAGGATTTCATTTTGTGTCAGTGTAAAATGCACTTTGTTTGACTTGCGTCAAATAGCAACACCAGAGAAGGTTTGAGGACTTTAGGACTCGAGTCACTTGATTGACACTGTCATGTGGAGGCTCAGTTGATGTGTGTTGCTGAACAAATCAACATTCCTGGGTCTGGAATTGATTATATAATTCAGGTTAACATTTAAAGAGGTCATCTACCTCAGAAGAGTTTCCATTGAAGAATGTAGCTCACCGCAGTACAGATAAGTGTAATGGAAGGCTGTTGTCTCTTAATACATTACTAGGATCCATAAAAAGCTGTGTTCGTCAAACTACGACCTTTGTCATTTCCGGACTCACATAGGTGTGTTATTATCTAATCAAAGGAATAGCAGACAGCAGAGTCTGCTCCTTACTACATGTGGTAGGTGAAAGTTTAGGACAATACAAGGCCACATCAGAGAGCTCTCCACTGTGGATGCTTTACCGGATGTTGCATCATATCAGACTTGATTGGTCAAGTCTTTATTATGTTACTGTCAGTCCTGGTTTATTTCAGCATTTATTAGCTGACAAGAGGTATTTACAGGTATAAATGGTTAACAGACTAGTTTTATTTGTGTGTTTGTTTAATTTTTATTTATTTAAATTTTTTTGGAGAGTGCTGCTAATTTTACTTTAGATTTTTCTGATTACTGGTTAATTACATCATCTTCATTCACTGTCTTTTAGAGCAGTGTACAGTAATTATCCCAGTCATAAGTCTGGTACATACATATAGTTATTTCATGTCTGTCTTCATAACAGTCTTTGTGTTTCAGTCAGTAATGACCTGTTTGGGTGTCTTTCTTTGCTTCTGCAGTGACAGTTATGCGCGTGTGAGAGCAGTGGTCATGACTCGGGATGACTCCAGTGGCGGATGGCTGCCTCTGGGAGGTGGAGGCCTCAGCTGTGTGTCAGTCCACAAAGTCAGCCGGCCAGACACGGACAACTCCAGCGGTGTGGATTTCCTCATCCAGGGGGAGCGTCTCAAAGACAAATCGGTAAGACCGGTGCATCCGCTTCTGGCCCTAAATCTGTGCCATTATGGACTCATACCCTGCTGTGACGCATATCCTTCTGAAAGGAGCTGTGGGATGAGATCATCACACCCTGCGCTCACAGGAAGTGGCTGGTTGGCGCTCGTCCACAGTGCAGGTAGCTCAAAATAGGAGCGCACTGCATGATGCAGAGTGATGTCATCAGTAAAAGAGACAAGCTGCTCTGAAAAAGAGAATGTGGGAGTTCTCTTCCCTCAGACAAACGTAGAACAGATTGGAGCGTTGATTTTGAAAGCTTCTTTTTTTTCTAGATTTTGTGGTATTGGTCATAAAATTACTGTTGGTAAGTAGCAGTCTGATGTTTTCACCAAGGAAAGAATCAGTGTTTGCTCCTCTAGGAAGACGTTTTTTTTTGTTTTGTTTTGTTTTTTCTCCCCCTCTTTTTTTCCCTCTCTGCCAAAAATCATGGTCCAGTCATGCCACACCACATCCGTGGTGCGCGCACACCACCTCATGTCATACCAGCTGTCTGCGTTATTAAAAATTTCAAAGGACACTTTAAAACATCAAGCACAGTTGTTCATCACAAATGATGTTGACACAGTTTTACTGCCCAGGAAGAAAGTTTGAGTGGTGGGAAACATACTATGTGCTATGATAAAATGATTCTTCCTAATAACAAGTTTCTAACCAGGTATCATCTATATCAGTATACCATAACTGATGCCACACAATTTTAGTTTCATCAGTAAAACCTATGAGTTACCTAGTAAAACCTAAACAGTAAATTTCCTTTCTAATAATGTAATCAGCTATCAGCCAGATTTTCATTGCTCTGTAAGGTTCCCTTTGGTGTAATTTTATAAGAAGCTATGTAAGACATTTTTAGTGTAGAGTATCAGCACCCAGGAAGCATGAGTTCCAACTTTAATGCAAACTTAAGTATTACCAGACTCTGTGATGTACAGTGTTATGCAACACTTTTTTAAAATTTTATTTTATTTTTTTTTAGTTTTTTATTTCCAGTCAGAAACGGTCATTAAGTACAGGTTATTCAAAAAGCAGAAAATGTATTAAACAGAAGACTAATGTACAGTTTTTCCATATTTAGTGTGTTCACTCTTTGCCTTTATTATGGCTTTCATTCTTCACCGGAGACTTGCTTTCAGTCTTTCAAAGAAATCTGCAGGGATATTTTTTTCCACACCTCCAAAGTTCAGTCTTAGAAGTTTGTTGCATTTTCTGCTTCTCATAATCCGAATTACAAATTGAGACTAATCAGTCCATAATTCCTTATGGGGTTCTAGTGCAAATTTTTAATCGTTTTTGTTTATTTCCTTGTCTCAATAAAGCATTGAGGTGCCTTTTTTTTCAGAATTTGTCAGCACGAGTGGAGCTTGATGTTCTCTTATTTCACAAGGTTAAAAGCTGTTTATGATAAAATGATAAAGATGATGAAACTTTAGGTGGTCTACCAGGTCTTGCACGGTTGTTCTTTATATCTGATTTTTTGAACTTCCACTTTGGAAACTCCTGTTTTTTTGTTGTTGGTTTTTTTGGCCCTACTTCTTTATGCAAGTGGTTTATCGTAAATCTGAAGAGAACTACAAACAAAATTGCAAGGCAGTTTAGGTGTGTTTGGGTAGTTGCTTGTGTGAATGTTAGTGTCTCTTTGAAGGGGAGCATAATGTCAGTGACTCCTTTGGGAACAGCTTTTGCTGGGAGGACACTGCTGTAACAGGTTGGGTTTAAGATTTGAAGGATGGAAGCGTTAAAGTGGCAGTATGGTGCCCAAAAGTAAAGACTGGACAGATTAAATACTAATAGATTTGATGTTGTACTTGGTCTTTGAGGCTTTTGTGTGTCTGATTTTCAGACCGTGCTGTATATTGAAATGAATCAATAAGACCCAGCGCTACCAGTTACTACTTTAGCAGTTACCTGGCTTTTATTCAGTGTTAGAATACTGTGCCAAAGCTGAATGAGGTCCATGTGAGAGCCTTCAGCCTACTGTAGAAAGCATGCATAGAGGAGAGCGTCAGGGAGGGAGCAGGGCTTAAGAAATGGTCTGGCTTTTCTCTGGGATGCACAGAGAGAGCAAGAGAGAGAGATGGTGGTGACTATAATGTTGGAGGGGATCTGCCTACAAGTGTAACGATGCGGCACAGAGTGTACTGATGAGTCAGCACAGGCTGAATATAGCCCACCAATGTGCCTCTGCTCTCACTCTATTCAACCACCTTACAGATGAGCTTTAATTTGCCTCTGAATTACACTGCCATCCGAAAATGTAGAAGAAATGAGCGGGTCACATAGGAAGATCTTATCTGTAACCAGGTAGGGTTTTATTGTTTGGGACCGTTTTGTTTTCTGTCTGTATGCACAAATTGCTGCAGTAGTTCAGCTCTGTTCTTTTAAACAGATGAAGATTTTGACGTTGAGGATGGTGGTGCTTACGTTCGTGTTTGTGCCATGCTTAGGGTGGGGTGGGTCTGCCTTCTGCTCGGATCTCCTGGAACACCTCATCTCTTCTGCTCTGTCGAACAGGCCAGCACTGATAGCAGCCTGTCTCTCTTTGTGGCACAACTCAGCAGTGGCTCCAACATGAGTGCTCCACACGCTGGACTGGAATTCCATTCATATCTGTCTTTCGGGCTCTCTTCCTTTCATCTCTTTCTGTCTTTCTTCTTTTCAAGCTTCTCTGTCTGCCTTTTCTTCCTTTGTTCCTCCCCCACTGTTTGTTTATCTCCATTTGCTCACCTTTCTCTCCTCTCATACCATGCATGGCCTTCTGGAATGCGGTATTGAATGGTGTCTTCTCCTGTAACGGGGATACTTCCTCCTCTGCTCCACTTGCATTCATCTGACTCTCTGTGGCTCCACTCAGTCTCACCTTGACAGTCAACCCCTAGTCTTGCTGTGGAAGTGGGCAAAGGCTTTAAGGCCTACTGTTCAGAAACATCCTCACACACACATAGTGTTTGAACACAAAACTAATATGTGAAGACACAAAAGAAGATAATGAACACACAGCATAATATTAAAAGCAATATAAGTGGAGTACTGTGTGAAAGTCCAAAACCAACCGTTCGTATATTAAATTTCCAGTCGAAATGGGCATGAAGTACAAATCATTAATTTCTCAATGTTGATGGGGAAAAAAGCAGAAAACATATATTTAACGGTCTCCAAATAGTATATTGAATCTGTCAGTGTTTTTGTCCACTCTTTACTTTTGTGCATGATACTGCCACTTTGATGTATCCATCCTTCCTATTTTAAACCAGTTACAGCAGTGTCCTCCCATCAAAGCCTCCTCCCAAATGTGTCACAGACGTTATATTCCTCTTTAAAGAGACACTAACATTCACACAAGCAACTACTCAGTCACCTAAGCTGCCTTGCATTTTTTTTTCTAACGTGCTTCTAAAACCTTTAAGGGTGATATTTCTGTTGAGATTAGATAGAAGATAATCCACTCGCATAAGGAAAGAGAAAATCAGTGGGAATTAAATAATAGTTTCCAAAACCCTTCTTCAAAAAAAATGTGACCTCTAACAACCATGCAAAACATGGATCACTCCAAGTTTTATTACACTTTTCTATAACCTAAGAACAGCTCAGCAGTCTTTTATTGAAGTTCCTGTGGCTACTGAATAACAAGCCTTAGTATGTAATAAGCCCAGCATTTTAGGGGTTAATGGGCATTTTCACAGGAAATTAACTAAATGAAGGGTGGTCTCTGACTTTCGCACGTTACTGTATAGAGGCTAGGCAGTTAACAATTAGGCTTTCAAGTTAACTGCTTAAGTGATTAAACAGCATTGTTCTGAGAAATTTAAATGTGATGCAGATCTTGCATGTATTTTTTGTGGCTGTTTTTTGTTTTACTTTTTTTGTATAGACCTTTTCATGAGACTGTAGAAACATAATTGTTAGAGTTTAGTCACAGATGCAAGTGCTTATTTTCTCTTGCCTTTCCTGTTTATCTCTCTCTCTCTCTCTCTCTCTCTCTCTCTCTCTCTCTCTCTCTCTCTCTCTCTCTCTCTCTCTCTCTCTCCCTCCCTCTCCCCCCCTCTTCGCTCTCTTGCGCTCAAACCCTAGAGACTAATGGGCGTCTCTCATTTCATTTAATCTGCTCAGAGGAAGGCCTGGAGCTCATTCAAAGGCCCTTATTATTAATACTCTTTTGAGCACTCACTCTCACTTCACTGTGACTGCATGTGCTCTGACTTTGGCTCAGAGAACTTATGCCAACTGTATGATTGGATAAAATGTGTATTTCCTATTAAATTGTAACAATAAACTCAGAACATCACGAACATCATATGATTTATATGTTTATACACGGTTCCCAATATAATGCTGACCCTGCTGTGGTACTCTAACTAAGTCAGACTATTTTATTTCCCATCAGGTTGTGCTGGAGTGTAACATAAAGAGGGACCTGGTATACAACAAAGTCACCCCTATCTTCCACCACTGGAGGATTGATAACAAGAAGTTTGGACTGACTTTCCAGAGTCCAGCTGATGCAAGGGCCTTCGACCGGGGTATACGGCGAGCCATGGAGGACATTAAACAAGGTTGGCCCCCTCTAACATTGCCCCCCCCCCCTTCTCATTTTTTATTTCTTCCCTCTATTTGAAATCACAACTGCCTTTACATTGTGTGAACATTTCATTAAAAATTCATAAATGGCCGTATAAAACAATTATAAGAGTAAGAATTTGACAAAGTTAAAAACTTGTTTCCTTCTATAATGTTTCCATTTTGGAGAAGCAAGTTTTGAGTCTGATCAAAATTTTTGGCTGTCCGAAATTCTGTGAAAAAGCTCTACGAACAGTGTCTTCCTCAACCCCTAGTTTTGGGTAGATTTGATTAAATTCTGTTTATTATTTTGGCTGGGCAATTTAACATCCTTTTTTTTCCCCTTTAACTCTGGCAGTTGCCAGCAAATAAAATGCCATTTTATGCTGACCCTGTGCATGTGTGTTTTGGTCCATTGGCATGGTATGGTCCAGTTCCAGACCTGATCAGAACCCCAGATACCAGAATTTACGCAATTCTTTTCAAAATGTCTTCAGAACGTGACGCATCTCTTGGAAACTGCCTAGTGTGGAGTTATTTTGAAATCAGTTAGATAGCCAGCCAAGCCTGGGTAACTGCGAAAGGGAAAGGATTACTGGCAAATAAGGAAAGTGTAGTCATCTGGGTGATGAACAGAGCCTATGCAGCAGAGAGAAACATGAATAGTACTGGGGGAGGAGGTGGCCATTAGAGTTAGCAAGAGCACCCTCCAAACCCTACTGTGTTACACAACTCTGTCCTAGCCTTTTTATCTTCTCAATACTTTGGACCTGTGGTGACCGGTGGATCTGAAGTAGCCCATGCTAATGAAAGGGGGCTTTGCCCTTGACCAGTTTCCTTTTAGCAAACTTGCACTGCATTTACATTACAGGAATTTGGGCACAGCAGCACAGTGAAGCAGGCGAAGATAGCAAGAAAATTGTTTCTGAACTTTATGCAAATAAGCAACAAATTCCCCTGTGCAGCAGCCAATCAGATGACCAAAGTTAAGCTACATGCTGAAATCCTTGTTGAAAAGATGGAGCATAAGTTAGCAGTAGATTGTAATTTAATGTGGTATTTTTTTTAAAAAAAGTATTTAGCCTTTTGCAGGTAAGGCAGTGTTCAGAATATTGATTTACATACATACATTGACGAATGTAATATTTATTTCGTTAATGCGCAAGTGAAACTGAAACTGCATTCAACAGAATGCAGTGTTTGCAGCATCCAGCACATGGCAAACATGGTCTAATAGTTAAGCCTTTGCTTTTTCCTTGTTATTATTTGTGTAAACAGCTGTGTTGGAGAGAAGTGTTTTGCTCTGCACCTGTGTCCAGGAGAAGCGATCACAGAGGAAAGTTCATTCATTAGTACATGTGCTGTTGTGTGCGTACATGAAGGATCTTATAACAAATATTAAAGCATATGTTAACCTTGTTAGTGGTCTAAGTTAGTGTTACTTTCACAGACATGGTTTAGATTGTGGATGTAGTGAGTTATTCGTTTGTAGCTGCTGTGATTAGCAGTTAGCCATTAGCGTTTTGGTTCCATGTTTGTAGAGTGGCTTCGTGTTGTAGCTGTTTAAAAACTAAATGGATGATGTGCCTGAATACTGACTGCTGCCTCTCAAGTGTATCCCTACTGTTCTCACGTGGCCTACAAACACTTACTCTGGACAGCTAAACTTGTCTTGCATTTTAGTGAAACATCCCCAAAGCGGCCAACAGTTTGTAAGGGAAGTGATCCGCTTCGCTGTAATGTAAATGCTGCCATAGACCACAGAGAAGTGGTTCATTAGATCAGCTAAACACTAATTATTGGCGCTTCTCATGGACCCTCTTAACATCTGTAAGCGAGATTGACTGCGCTGTGGTTCAGTTTGGGTGGAATTTTCTGGAGGGTCTAGGACAGAGCAGACTCAGCAGATGGGGTGGGCTGCTCTTGTGTATTTCAAGCACGGCCGTGTTGTGTAATGCCTCGCGCAGGTTCCTCTGTATTCCTGTTACATCGCTCCACTGCTCGGACCGCAGTGTGTCAGCTATGCAGGGCTCTGTTGCCATGGCAACCAGGCACATGGCTCATCCAGCACTGTGGCCTGGCACTGGCGGAGTCGTGCTGTAGGAGGCTCGAAGCTGTTCCCATCCACGCTGTGTTCTCTCGTTCTCTCTCTCTCTCTCTCTCTCTCTCTCGCTCGCTCGCTCACTCGCTCGCTCTCTCTCTCTTTTTCTCTCTCTCTCTCTCTCTCTCTCTCTCTCTCTCTCTCTCTCTCTCTCTCTCTCTCTCTCCCTCTCCCTCTGTTTCTATTTCTATTATTTTTCTTTTTCTTTCTTTCTTTTTCTCTTTATCCCTCTCTCTGCCCCTCGCTTCCTCTCCTTTAGTCTAGCCATAAGCTCTACACCTTTCAAAACTAACTGGTTAAATAGGTAGACAAACATTACTTGTAATGTATTGCAACACTCTGAAATACATACCCCCATCATCTTCTCTCACCTTCACTGCTGACTGTTGTCTGCCCATTTTATTTTTTTCATGACACATTCATTTAACAGACTAATTTTAGACCTCAGTGGTTAATGGTTCGAGTTGTACAGCTCACATTTGAACTGTACAGTATCTCCTTTAGACAATGTTAATGTTTGGAATTACCTGCATAAATATTTGGTGCTGTGTTCCTTTGAGCAAGGGGGCCACAGTGGCCTGAACTCAGTGCTGAGCACTGTGTCCATCCACTCCAGCGCCACCTGTGTCGTAGGCCCGAGTGCTGGACTCTCTTATTCACCCTTCTCCTCTTCTTCTTGCAGGCTGTCCGATGTACAGTGACTCAGACACTCCTGAGGATGGATTACAGGTGAGTTGTACACAAAGTTAATGCTGAAAGGATCATAGAATGGCCAGGACTTTGAAACATTGTAAAATAAGTGGTTGCCTAATGCCCCTTAGTCATTTGGCATTCATTTTGAGTGGTCGGTGTCTGAACAAATCAAAGAACTCGGCATCCTCCGTTAGCAAATGTCGTGTGAAATGAAAATCGGCACCTGGTATGGCAGAAGCATGTAGCAGTCAACAGATATCTGACTCAGTTTCGCAAATGTGTGGTGATGAAATCTCTCCCTGTGGACAGACCTAATCTGCTGTCTCGAATGCTTTTTCCTTATGGACTAGGTTGGTGAATGTGGCACGATACATAGTTTTGAAGAAAACTGATTCTTTCTTTAGTGTCTGCACAGCTCACTTATCCTTGGTTTAGTAAAATTTACCATATATTACTATTATTTGGTGCTCCAAAACGGTGAAAAGATCAAAAGAGTGATTTTCAAAGAAAATTAACAAAGTGAGGTACAGTTTTACTTGTGGCACATTTTGTGGTTCAACTCAAATACTGGTTTTAAATACTGTTTTAGTGGAGTTTTGCTATGGAGAGAGTAGCAATTCTGTCGAGTGTCAAGGAGGTTGTTTTTAAGAGTGGGGTTTTTTTTTTTTGCTTTTTGATGTGATGGGACACATTTATTGCTTGTTTGTACATCCAGCAATTGTCAGACTTGTTCTCCACAAAGGATGTGATCATTCACTGTGTAATTGAACAGAGGATACTATATTCTAAACACTGAGTAGCATTCCACAAAAGACAAAATTTGCTGGAGGAGGGATGTTTTTGGGTTCTGGTAAACAGAGTTTATAGAAGGTGGTACTTTCTCTGGGAAATTTTATTTAAGGTACACATTTGGACCTTAAGACCCACTGTTGTACCTCTTAAGGTACATTTGCGTTTTTTGATGGAACAAAAAAATAAAACCAAGTGTAGAAAAGGGCCAATACTAATCGCCAATCACCTTTCAGCATGATCGCCCAATAGCCGATACCTGTGTTTTTTTTTCTGGCCGTATCAATCAGACTGATCGTAAGTAGGCCTTCAGCCCCTAGTCAGAAATCAAAAGGTCAAAAGATCTAGTGTTTGAACGAAGAACTGCGGTGTCCTGTGACCAAGGGGCCTTGCACAAGGCTGCAGCAGTCCTTAAATATGGCTCCTATGTTTTACGTCACTGATCAGCCCTGAGGATCGGCAGTTTGAGAACATCGGCCGATCACATATTTGGGCTGAAAATCGGTCTATACTGATACACAGCCGATGGATCGTTGCATCTCTGAAGTGCCTTTTTTCTGACAGTGTAGAGATGGTATGATACCTTTTTGTCTTTTCTAATAACGTACCAATATTATTGAAACATGGAGTGTCTGCCAATGCCGACCCAACATTTCTCCTTCTTCTTTTTAAAGTTATTAACCTTTAACCCCTTAAATGGCCAGGGCCTGCTGGCAAGCCCAAAGTTTTTTCACTCTTCTGTAACCTAAGAATAGCTCTGCCAGTTTTCATTGAAGTCCCTGTAGTTAAATAACAAGCTTTAATGTGTAATGAGCCTGGGATTTTAAGGGGTTAATTTGAGCTATTTTTAATTAAAGCACATCACTTACGATCAGCATCTAAAATTAGGTTATCATGCTTGAGCTACTCAAACCTTCTACTAGCACATGAAGAAATACACATCTCACATCATTTACATGATTCATTTTTTTTCCTTTGACATCTGATCGAGCATTTTCTGCTGATATCAGCCTGATACTGAAATCCATTGATACGGATGTGCCAGCTCTCATTTTTATCATTCATGTATCACAATCAGTAAAGCAGAGCAATATTCTGAAAGGAACAATAGATTTCATTGCATTGAACAAGTGAAAACACCAGGCTGCAGGCTGTTCACTACATAGTGATACTATTGTCAGCGACTAGGATTATAATATCAGTATTTTGAGCATGTAAAAGTTTCAGAATGCCTTGGCAAGTTTTGGCAAAATTTGAGATCCTTGTTCTCAGCCATCCTGAAATCTGATTCCATTCATAGAGGAAAGGGCTGGAAACCTGTGAATCCTGCGAAGATTACCTGGGATCAGTGATACATCAGGTCCAATGGCACTGCTGTTGCTAGGCGGCAGGAGAGTAGAGGAGGGATGCAGTGAGCCACTGAGGATGTAGCCATGGTGATTCACCAGCAGAGCGCTGGGGTTATAGACCTAGGACACAGCACAACACTTAGTCACTCTCACTCCACGGCAGAACGGCTAGCTCACTGCCTTCCCAAATGGCATGGAAACGTTCAAAACAAGCCTGCTTCGGTGCTTACACATTTACCAGTGCTTCAACCTGCAGTGAGAAACCGTGACTATAGCAGGTGGCTTTTCGGTAACTGCTTTCTGCCCGAAGTGATGCCCTGTGGTATCCCTGAAAAGGATAAATGTTTGAAACATGTCTGTATATAACATCCTGTCAGTGTCTCTTAACTTTTTGAACACAAACTGAGAAACATGATCCTTTAGTTTACTTCAGACATCTCCAAGGCGGGTCTGGACTATGCGGGCGCTGTTTAAGGAGAAATAATTGCAAAACTCGGTATGCTCTTTCGGAATAAAGAGAGCACAGATAAGATGAATTGCTCCCTTGTTTTGAATAGATGGAAATGCCTGAAGATTTGGCTTCTGGGAGTTGAGTATGCTATCCTGGTGTGATTGCAGCCATCTTAGTCAGAGCCAAGAATTTGTTTGCAGTCTCCCCTCCCTCCCCTTAGTGAGGAAGTTGTGTACAGGAAAATCATCTTGTGGGGAGGCAGTAAACTTGGAAAAGAGAGAACACATCTTGCTCTTTGGGTTACGTCGGGTCATAATTAGTTTGATCCTGAAGTGACTCGTGAAAAGGCTGTATATTTCAGCGCACAGCGCTTAAGTCCGTTTGAATTTCCAAAAACGGGTGCACAAGGAAAGCAGGTATTACGTGTGAGTTTGTATTTGATAAGCGGACCTGTGCACACATGCCATGAATAGGGAGGTCTTTTGAGAGTGCAGGCCTGCAGAGCTGGGGGCCGTGTTTGCCTGAGAGGTTTTGAAGCCAGAGAGAGAGAAAGAGCGAGCAAGCTTTCCTCCTGCTGGTATTCTGCCAGCCCACAGTGCTTATCTCCCGCAGACCTCTGTGGGCAGATCACAACCAGATTTGCCCCTGCATATGCTGGGGCTCAGGCCGCTCTGCACTGAGGGCTTTAAAAGGAGCTCCAAGCCTGGTTCCCATTTGAACTGCCTGACTCTCCTCCCTTCCTCCCGCCACACACACACTCTCTCCTCTCTCTCTCTCTCTCTCACACACACACACACACACACACACTCTTACATGCACGCACACACACAGCTGTCATCTGGCTTTTTAAGTTCTGGACTGCGTTTCTCCAGCTGGAGCTGGTTTATGACATTCCCCCAGCAGACCCATTGGCCGTGCTTTCTCTCCTCACTCGCTCACATGCACACAATGCACAGATGCATGCACCATTTTCTCCTCTCTGTCTTGCTCTTCACTAGGGGTGGGAATCTCTAGGCACTTCACAGTTTGTTTTCAATTCAGGGTGCTAAGATTTGATTATAAAAAGTTTCTCAGTGCATCTTGATTTTTGTAGAATATATATGGAAGTATTTAATATAGAACATTGTACTTTGTAAGAGGCCATTTTTATCTGAATATTCGCCAGGCTATTGCTAACCTTCATTAGAGCTTTAATGAGTTTTCCATTATTGTGGTACTGCCAAGCTAATACTGCCATACCTTGACGTAACCAGACTGTTTTAATAATAATTACAGCAGTTAGGGGTGGGCAGTATGATGATTGTTTTATCTTGATCAGTATTTATCATGATAAACAATACGCATTTCTGAGCATGTCATGGATATCAATGCTAAAAAGACTGCATGTTTCAATACAAAGAGATCATAATTAGTCCTATTTAATTGGATGTAGTGCAGTATGTGCAGTGTTGAATAATCACTATTCTTATTTTTTGTGACACTACAAGCACATTTTGTCTGCGTGTCAAAATATCTTACATATAATTGTATTAGTTCTAGCCTAAATGTGGACATTTGAAACTTGTAACAGACATTCAGGTAGCGTTTCTTACTTTGTATGCTCCAGTTTTACAGTGACTCCTTACATACTCTGAATATTACTGGATTAGCCTGTTAGCAGTTTGCCAAGGTGATTGCTAAACAAAGCTGTGTTCCTATGAAGGGTCACTGGTTGTATGGCTTCAGCCTTTTATTTCATATACAAACTTTTGGCTGCTAAAATGCATGTGTTAGTGAGATCCTGCATTTTCTTTCCCCCTCCAAGCTGGGCTTTGCCAAAGTGTCCTAGTGTCTAGGGGTGCGCATGATTGCGTTTCCCCTACTTTAAAACAAAGAGCCTCTATAAAAATCCGATTACAATGTTTTGTGAATCGATTCAGAGTCTATCGAGATGCATCTAAGAATCGATTACTTTTCCCACCTCTGCTCTTCACTCCGTTTTTGCCTTCCTTCACACTGTCTGCATGTGTTTGAGAGCATGTGCTTGTGCGTCAAGAGAAAAAAAAAAGACACATAGTGAAAAAAGAAAAAAGAAGAAAAAGAGAGGGAGAGGGGGAGAAAAAAAGAAGTCAAAGGAAGCATCTCTTAGCAACCACAGGACAGTAATTACTGTAGCAGCAGCTGGGAGCAAACCAGATTTCCGCTGTGCGTTAAAACACTGGCGTGGGCTACTTTACACACGGCACTGACTAACCAGTGCCAGCAGCCTCCTCCACATGCAGAGAGGAGAAAAACCTGGACGTGGGTGGTGTGGGTGGGTGTGTGTGTGTGTGAGAGAGAGAGAAAGAGGGAAAATTAAGTAGTTTTCCCTTAGAGCGACAAGCTCATGTGACTGCAGGGATGTGCATGCTGTAATTTAGATATCAATTTTCGAGCCTTGTGATATTTCCCCACTTCCTTGTTTTTTGGAAACTTCCTTCTTCTCTCTGTTGCGGTGGAGGTGGTCAGGCCTAACTGCAGTGCTCAGCCTCCCAAACCCATGGCAGGCTCCCTCCCTGCTGTCCTCTGAGTTGCCTTTGCTGTGTTTACATGTTGCATCTCAGTAACATTTCTTTAAGTTTCTGGATGATATTATGTACATTTAGTCAAATGTAATGTTGGACAGTATAACAAATCACATGTAATGTGATTTTAATGTATCCACATTTTCTGGATTATTTTATTTTATTTATTTATTTTTTTTATTGGAATTGAAACAGAAGTAAACTCCTCTGGATAGACATTTCTGGATATCTGTTGCTGCTGTAGGCCTCTGTATTCCTTTATTTGGCACATTTGAGGTGCCTCTATGTTTGATAAGCTCATGTTTGTAGATTCGGCCACCGTAAAAATGTGTCTGGGAACGCATGCAAGGACAGGAACTCAGCACTCGACAGAAGATGTTTGAGTCATTCCCACGTTAATGCTGTTCCTGAACACAGGGCTCCACCTGGTGGAAGCAAAGAGAACATAGCTTCAGCAATGGCCTTTACCCTCGAAGCTAATGCCTCTATAAGCTAGTGATGATGTTTATGAGGAATGTTATTCAGTTACATGCCCTCTGAATGAAGTGTTTTATATTTGAGGGGCTGTAATCACTGCTTCTTCTTTTTCAGGTTAACCAGGATCCCCCTTCCATTTACACACCCATGAGAGAACCATTCTCCCATCATGGTGGAGTGGTGTCCACTGAGCCTTTCCGTGGCTGTTATGTGCGTACCCAGCCCTTTGATGAGTTCCCCAGCCCCAACCGCCGCTACCTGCCTCCTCAGGTCAGAAGAACTCCTGTCAAGACTTTTTGGTTTAAAAGTAATACCCTGTCAAAAAATGAAGTCTTTGCAATGTTCCCCTTACTTTAAATGTAGGAGATCAGCCCAAGACATGGTTGATGTCTGGAATTTGCTTTGTTCGTTTCACACTGGCAGTTTCAAATAACGGAAGCGCGTGGTGTTAAGTATTCTCAGCTGCACTTGCTGTGGTTTTATATGCTGAATGGCAATAAAAATGGTTAAAAGTATGGACAGGATTCAGGCTTTAAGATGGCCCTTAGTCAACAGCATACAGTGTCAAACCACATAAGCATAAGTGTATCTGAGATTGCATAACATGGCCTAAAGCAAGTTTGTGATGGTTTGAGCATACAGTTGCACAGTACTAATGCTATCTTTCATTAGCCGTTAGCTACCTTAGCCTCGTTGATCTGGTGCAAAACTAAAGAAGCAAACTTGTGAACACCAAATCTACCATTGCTTGTTATCTGCCTTAGCCTTCCAATGCAAAGCTAAAGATGCAAACATCCAGACACAAAACATGATGAACTTTAAATTTATACAATTTTCCACTTTGCCCAGATGTAGCTGATCAGCCAAGACATGTTTGTTGTCCAAATTTTGCTCTTTTAGTTTAGGCTGAAGCTGCGAGGCTAATGTTGCTTCTTCTCCGAACTCATTTAAACTGCCTTTTGGGCATCATTAGGTTTATTAATTTATTTATTCATTGATTTATTAAGTTATTAAATATTTATTAAGTTGTACCAAATTCCGAATTGCTTTGCAGAGTCCGACTCCCCATTGCCTGTACGTACATAATGCATGTGTGATCGGCACTAGGTTACATGTGTGACTTCTGTTGTTTATATTTCTAAATATAGATCCTCAGTTCAAAAATTCCAGATTAACAGTTGCTATAACACAAAACAACAGAAATCATTAACATAATCTGCATGCCTGCATGTGAAGGAGAGTCAGATTATGGTACAATGCATATTTTTTAAACTGGGTACCCACAGCATTCAGCTACATGGTGAGCCTTTGTTCATTTTTATAGCTCAAAGTCACACTGTGTCCTAAAGCCCCACTGCACGATCTTATTGAAGACCTGGATAAGCTTTGAGCAGATTAAGAGAAGTTTTAGGGATGTACTTACAGAAAAGATGTGGGCAACTATTGACTTTGTGTATGTTAGCTTTGTATCTAAACTAGAAAATCAAAATTTGGACACTAAACATGTCTTGGCTGGTCAAGTACATATTGGGTATGTGGAAAGTTGTGTAATTTTTATTTTTATAATTTTTTTTTTTTTTTTTTATTTAATTATACCGAACCATTCCTTAAAGTGTTAAATCTATAGTCATGACTCTGTTCTGTTTTTTGATCGCAGGTCTCTTTCAACACCACACGCCACGTAAGCTTTCACATGGATGATGAGGAGGTCGTTCGCATCAACCCCCGCAAGGACGTTCTTATCCGGGGCTATGAGGACTACCGGCACCCCGTCATGTGGAAGCAAGACATGGAGCGAGACGATGGGGATTTCTCCACCACCTTTTCCAAACTGGACAACAAGAAAAGTGAGTACTTGTTTCCGGAAGGCCCGGAAGCTCACACGGGCGGCAAAGACTCCATCAAAACCCAGCAGCCCTCTCCTCTCCTCAAGTCCAAGAAGTCCCGGAGGCGCAGAGAGGACGGGGAGCGCTCACGCTGCATTTACTGCCGCGAGATGTTCAACCATGAGGATAACTGGCGGGGTCAGTGCCAGGACGCGCCGGACCCCATAAAGCAGTGCATTTACAAGGTCAGCTGTATGCTGTGCGCTGAGAGCATGCTCTACCACTGCATGTCTGACTCAGAGGGTGACTTTTCGGACCCATGCTCTTGCGACACCAGTGAAGAGCAGTTCTGCCTGCGCTGGCTGGCCTTGCTGGGCCTGTCCCTCATCGCGCCCTGCATGTGTTGCTATCCTCCCCTGCGGGCCTGCCACCACTGCGGAGAGGCCTGCCACTGCTGTGGGGGGAAACACAAGGCCGCTGGATGAGTCCAGCCATGCTACACCTCCAACACCACACGGCCACGTGGAAAACCGCCGGCATCGTTTTTTTCATTCACCCTCAGATAGGTGAGGTGTTCTCCCACCCGCCTCTGGAGGCTTTGGAGATTTGATTTGGCTGAGAGCAGCGGAAGCCGACACCTTCAGGTCTTCTCGGGCTCTCGAGAGCTGCGTCACGGAGCTCATAACGTGAGGAAAGGCGTTTACAAAATGAACTAGGAGAGATCACTAAACACTCACAAACATGCAAAAAGACAAAAAAAAAGATGAAAAAAAAATAATCACTCAACATAGAATACAAGTCACCATGTCAGACTGTCATTACAGATAACGTGTAACCTTTGTGAAGGAATATTGTCTTTTGTACAGAGATCAAAACTATAACAAAGAAAACAAAATAGTTGTGCATACAGAGAATCTGCTGTATGGGTATGCTAAAAGGGATATTTTCTTGCTTTTTGTGAATTTGCAGTAGGGTAAAAGTGGCCTTTTCTTTCGACTCGAGCATTCGCTGACCGTGTAATTATTAGACAAAAAAAGTGCACTAGATATGTTTTCTCCCATGAAAGGTAACCCTCATGAATTCTAATGGTACGTTTAACTAAAAAAGGAAAACACTTTGATCAAGTTCTAGGAGTACAGATTTTTTTTGTGATGGGTGTGTATGCAGTTAGTTTTTCCCTCCTTTCTTTTCACTGTTTTGCAAAAGACAGTAACGTCATTTCTTTTTTGAAATGGTAGTGTGACATATAGCCTTTTGTTATGAATTGTGCTAATGTTTAAAAGACATCCATCTGTAATTGGCTAAATTATTTGGACCGCATGGGTGCATTCCAGTATTGAGTGATTGTGGACAGCTGTGATACGTCATCTATCCCCAGTCATTTTCCATGTCAAGATTAATGGTGTTATATTACAGTTGATTGAGAGACCAATTGCAGGAATGCTCGTTTTTGCTTTCAATTTCATCTCGTTTATCGGAGTGAAACTGGGTTCTTTTCAGCTTCTTAACGGTTTTCAAGCTGAAATTGTGCTCAACCAGCAAGTTTTTTTCTTTTCTTTTTTTTTAATTGACATGGTACATTTAGGCATTATTATGATTATGGATAAAAGGGTGTCCAGTTTTCATTATTAAACAAGGCACTTATATTATTATTATTTTTTTTTTATTAGGATAACCCTGTATTTGAGTTAATTCGTACAAAATGCCCCTCATAAAAGCACTAGTTTCCAAGCTTTGGTTACAGCTCCATCTCCACCTGTTCCATACTGCATGTAGTCCATGTATTTCTGTTAGTCTTTGAAAAGTTTGTGTAAATGAACTTCTCAGTGGCCAAAAGCTAAAAAGAACCCACACAAACCTAGACGTATACATAACAGCCTGATAAGTCGTTTTACTGACAGACTGTAATTCATTGCACGGTACAAGATTTTGCTCTCAACTCTAAATTGCATGCTTATCAAAGGATTCACAAACCATTGTTGTAGTTGGACAGAGTCAGACATAAGTTCAACCCTGCCTGCTTTTAGACTGTGTGTCCAGTCCTGTTAGCTCATATACACTATACGGTTTATAAATATCACCCAAATGAAGCTTTTTTTTTCCTGCTTGCAGGAATATCGCCCCCAGTATTTAAAAGGCCAGTATAAGTAGTCCCAGAAAGATCTTTCCTCTGTCTCCTCTTTACATCCACACACTTTACTTTCTATGCAACTATTTCCATGAGAAACACTTAGACCTCTTCATACAAGTCAGTGACGTGACACTTTAATATAGTAGATGTTAATCTCGGTACCAAACTCGAAACCCTATGTAAATATAACACTATATTTAAGCAACAATAATAATCCCATTCAAATTTTTAAGAGAGATTTGTATTTATCACCGCTGTCAGTATATTACTATAGCTTGAGTTGACAGCATTATGTACATAGGTCACCTTTTAGTATTATTTCACATTGAAAGTAGAGGGAGTACATGATGAAAAATGGTTGAGCTTTTAATAGAGATTCTCTCTAGTTTTGTATTGCAAACAGAAGGATAGGAAGCTAATGTGGTACAGTAGTGGCAGTCCACTTTTAAAAGGTTTTGTCATATGAAGCTGCTAGAAACAATCACTAATTTTGCGTTGAGAGGAATAAAATTCAGCTATGGATGACTGTTAAAACATCATAGTTCTTAGATATATAATATTGATTGGTTGTTTTCTTTTAACTGTTTTAATAAGCACGCCCATCTTTATGTTTGTCCAGTCCTTTATTCCATCTTTCCCATATTGTTGTAATTGGATTGCATTTTGCATTGCAAGCTGAACCAAGGTTTGATAAACCTTAATAAAACTTGCTGGCTGAGAAGCAAATTGTAGAATAGGCTACATTCATACAATTCTATTGTTAGACAAATACTGTAATACCTAGTTTCATTCTGCATTAACCAGCACAGGGCAACCACAGTAATGTGCTGTATTTAATATGCAACTTGTCGGCTTTCTTTTCTTACATTCTTTCCACCTTGCCATTAACTTAGCATTTATCTGTCTTCAGTTTTTAACCACTTGCTGCTAGTGTTTTTTTTTTGTTTGTTTTTTTTTGTTTCCTTTTTTTTATTCTTGGACATTGTGCATAACTCTGGAATGCATAAAAGATGAACATTCTTTACTGTTTAGTTTAGAGAAATGCATATGTAAACAAGTCATTTCAGTGTGATGTAAAAAAAAATGGCTACTTTCACAGCAGTTCAGTGGTTTCGTTGAAATTCTCCAATGCTTTGGTGCACTGATATGTAGCTAGGCTTTTTTCCTTTTCATAGCGCTTGATGTAAAGCTCACGTGATTAGTCCTAAGTTGTGAAAACATTTGTGTTATGGTAATTGCAGTATAAATGGTACTCTGATGATTCCAGTATGAACACTGCCTGTTTCTTTATCTGCATCTCTAAGTTTTAGTGCCATTCGCTTCACCCACTGACAACCTCGAAAAAGTGCCTCACGTCCATCATAATTTCCATCCAAAAACTTAACAGCTCTTGCTATGGTTGTATTGGTTTATACACGTCTAGGTATTTGTATCATGGTTTGAAAATACCAAGTATATGATGTAATATTTATAGTTCAGTAACTCATGTCATAGTTGTATTTTCTTTATACAGATGTAGCTTGTTACGTTTCATAAATATATAATGTAAATATGCATACAAATGTTTGTAACTGTTTTTATGTTACATCATACACTTGTAATTTGACATATAAAATAACATTACCATAATAAAAGGTGAGTTTTAATGTAGACTGAGTGTGTGTGAGTGAGAAAATGTGAAGGATCACCTGTTGACATGATGAGCACTGACTGATTAAGCAAAGATGTGATTCTCTCATAATTTTAAAAGGATATGAATTTACATAGTAAGCAGTTCCAGCCCATATCTTAAGAAGTTTAAAATCTCTGAAAGAAAATCTAATGTCAGTAAGTAAAGATTGAATTAGCTTCTGTGCTTGTAGGAAAATTAAACTAAACACTGGCCCTTAATTATAAAGCTTCTTAAAGTAGAAGTGCTGATCTGGGATCAGATTTTTCTGCTATTCACTGTACTGACAGGAACAGGAACCTCCTCAGAGTAGCTTTATAAATACGAGCCATTGTCAGTATTAGTGACGCTGTACTTTCAAAAACAGTAAGTTTGAAATAAAAATAAAACAGAATAAATTCAGTTACTATGAAATTTGCAGCAGCTATATTTGACAGTATGTACAGAAACTGACAGTATGTACCTGCCAAGTTCTGTTGTGGCCGGAGAAAAGTTAGAAAAATTTTCTTTTATTTTCGTTTCTAAGTTCACAGATTTTTTTTTAAAAAAAATCAGAGTCAAATTTCTACTTTCAGTCTTTGTGATGAGCCATTTTATTCACTAACAATCCAAAATAATCAGTAAACTTGCATATGTCTGAGTTTTATTTAGTTTATTTTAATGTTGGTAGTGGTAAAATGGTAGGGTGGGGTGGGGGGGGTTACTTTGGCTAATATTTTGCCATATAACACCCTGCATGTAACTCTCTACCATGAAGACATGCAAAAATGTTTTAGGCCAAAATCTTTTCTCAAAACTCATAAAACAAGGTCTCAGACATCAGACAATGTATTCTTAACCATTTCATGTAAAAGCTTCAAATAGGAAGGTTTTAGAGGCATTAAACACGTTGGATGTCTGGTTCCTATAAAGTTTCTGTAGAACAAAGCAGAAAATACCAAAAACACTTATTTATTTATATCTTAACAATTTAATTATGCAGAAATTTTAAAAAATCAAAAAAAAAATCCCCTTTATCTGTTAAAAGGGATAGTTTAAAGTGCCTCTCATTCCCTACCACAAGATGATCTGTGTGGTCAGATGGTTCGGGCAGATTAGGCCCAGATAATGATCTTTTATTGCCATTAGAGTGACTTACACATTTGTAATCATTAAGTATTACTTTCTTCCTGGGTCTCTGTCAGACAATTTTTATTAACTCCAGAAGTAAATATATAATAAACAGAAGTTTGTTACTTTTGTGAGAAGAATACATTCTTGATTCATAGATTAAAAGTTGATTTCGTTAAGCTACCACAATAAAGATATTCAGTAATTTGCTGCTGAAAATTCACAGCTTAGGAAAATATAATATTTTTGGCATGCTGAAGAGCACTCTCTTACCACACTACATATTCCCATAAACAGCATGCCATGTGCTTTTCAGAAAGGGTACCAGCCAGGTTCTTAGATGTGAAATATTTACTTCAAAACCTTAAACTATTGCGAAGGAGCTCTGTAAATTCTATAAATTCAATCATTAAAGTCAGGCTGGTGGTGATAATTAGGTACTGCCTGCATGGATTCAAGACATATTGCTTTTAAACCCCCCACCCCCCTGTTTTATTAGCTCTATTATTAGTGACATTATGATCCAGTTTCATCACTTTGTGCTTCAGCCCCTAACAAGCAAATACATGAAACAGGCCACACTTTTCACAATAAAGGCCATAGGAACTAACTGAGGCTGGAACAAAGAGAAGCGGTTCATGTAGCACAACGGATGTATTTTCGTCGCACGAGCTCGCTGTGATAGCTTGCTGGTTATCTTTCACGGGTCGCTTCATCGTTTCTGATTTCATTTATACTGAACGAAATGGAAAGTGATATACTTGATGGCTTGGATCAAGTCGGGTAAGCACGATTCATTTTAATCTATCAGTTTTAATCCTTTAGCCCGTTAGCTAGCAGAGCTAGCAGGAGTGTTGCTGTGCAGCTGAGTGAAAAGCTCGCCACGCTCCGGACTGAAAGCTCAAGTCTGCTTCTTATTCCACAGCCTCTTGTTCGATTTGTCCCGTTCCACCTTAAACAGTGCAGCAGCTACGAATGTTCCCGCTCCACCTTAAATGGCATAAAATGAAATAAAAAAGCTGGCGAATAGGAAGCCAAATTCAGCCTCATTATTTAAGCTCGTGTTTGCTTTTAGCATTTCACTGCAGCTCTTAAGTGTATTTACATTTACAGATACAACGGAGCCCTGGATAACGAGAATGCCCTATTCACTGCTTGTGAAGAGGGCTTTTCCTCTCAAGAGTATGTCGCACTGTGTAGGTGGTTGGCGGCTAAACTGGACCAGCACTGTGACCTGGAGAGTGAAAAATCAAACACATCAGGTAACGTTCTCCACATAAAGGGGAACTCCACCGATTTTTCAAAAAATTCTACGTTATAAATGGTTAAGATGTAAACAAAGTCATTCAGAGTGATTTAGTGTGAAACGCTCAGTTCTAGAGGAACTTGCCGATACAGAATTGTTCACAGTGGTGGTGATAAGAACCAGACGTCTGAAGAGTTGCCTCTGAAAGCTTCCTCACAGAAAGTTATTACATGAAGTGATTAGATATGCTGCCTGATGGCTGACCTTTTATGAAGGTTTTGTGAGTAAAACTTTTAGCTTAAGATGTATTTTAATACATTTATGGCGGAGATGTACATACAGGGCGTTGTAAGCCAAAATAGTCAGATTTGTTCAGATTGACTGTTTTGCCATCATCAACATTACATATAAAACACGTGAATGCACGTGTAGGTTCACTGGTGGTGTTGGATAGTAAATAAAATGACTAAATTTGTGTTGTAGACATTGTGATGCCTGGTTCCTATAACCACCACTGTGAAGAAATTAGTCTCCAAGTTTCTCTTTAATGCACCATTTCACATCAAACCACTCTCAATGACTCAGTGATTCAGAAATGTAGAAAAAATTGTGGAATTCCCCTTTAACATCATATTTTGTATACAAAGCATACAAATAGTGATACAAAATGTTACTTCTTTGGGTGTAACAATACTTTCATTTTCGAGTTTTATACGATTTTTAAATCTTAGTTCAAAATGTAATTCAATTTTCAATATTTTATGCGTTAGATGTTTTCTGAGGGTCTCTAAGTATGCACTACAGAGGCACCACACAAGCTCTCTAGCAGAATAAACCCCACAAAAACAAACCTCCTAGAATTTATAGTCAAGTTTTGAAAAAAAGCCGATTTGAGTGTGGTGAATACATAGTATAAACATCTCCTGTCCACTGTACTCTGATAGGAGCACCCAGATGATTAGTTTTTATCGTAGACATCTTAAGTCATGTGTTCGTACTGTAGTTTGCATCATGCCCATTATAGGAATTCTGGGTCTAAGTAGTTTTCTCTATGGGAAAAATTATTGGTGTTGTCAGAAATCGCCGCTATCGCAGCCTGTGGTAAACAAGAATGTTTCAGGCCCCATACTTTTTGCCCTATATATATTTTTCCCCTAAATTTAAGATCCTCTAAATTGCAAAGTCATTCAGAAATTGAAATAAGAATATTACATGCAAGTGAACCAACATCATAACACTGGCAACTTCATCGCATATCCCTCGCAAACCATCAAGCTTTGTCGTATGTGGTTATTAAGTTGCTTTGGCAGTAATACCTAGTTTGAGCAGTTGGTGGTGGTATAGAATAGCGCTGAAGTGTAATTGTAGACTGTTAGCTTACTTGTAGAATATATGTTGTGTGATTCATATTTCAGCTGCTACACAACCTTGTAATGTAGGGGATCCAGTGATATTCTGGGGAAAAATGTCAGGTTTAGTACTTTTTTGTTAACACTGGGCACACAGAAAATGGCATTCATTTTTTCCATAGACCCTAATTCAGGCATGACCCTGACTACAGAATGACAACATGACTTCAAAGGTCTATTAACAGTGGTTTCCACAAAATGAGGCAAATGAGACCCCCAGAAGAGGCAGAGGGGGGCTATCTTCTATAGAGTTGTAAATTTCAGTGTACTGTTTCAAACTATTTTTTTTTTGTTAGCTACTTCTTTTTTAATTTATTTTCCATTTTTGATACTGTATTAAAGCTGTTGCATTCTTACTTCACATAACTCACATTTTACATAAGCTATTTGTACTAAGATTGCACAGTATAAAATATTTCAAACATATTGTCTTGTCCTGTTTGTGATGTGGTGTTAATATTTTGACAGAGGATGCTAAGACGGAGATGCTTCACTTAGGCAAGCTGTTCAGTGAACTGGTTTGTCCATATAAGGGGCTTGTTTCAGGGTTAATGGAAGGAGAACTGAAGAACAAAAAGGACCATCTGAAAATCATTTGTAAGTTTTGTGACTCATGTGATTGTATGACCTAATTATAAACTGTCTGAACTGCTGCTTAACAATGTTTTGTATTTGTAGTGTTTTTGGTATCTGAACTTCAGGCTGCACAGATTGTGGCCAGCAAGACAGGGACTGACACAAAGATTAAGAAACAGATTACACCTCTGCAAGATCTCCAAATGATTTGCAAAGCACTAAAACTTGGAGAACCTGGCCAGCAACAAACATCAGACTTGTTTTCCTATATAGAAAACCAGGTTAGTTCTCATTTGATGTGCATGTGTTATTTTAAGTATAGATTTCTAGCTTATAAATTATAACTCTGAAAAGATATAATTTATAGATCTATGTATATTTATAGATGATACAAACAGTTTAGAGCTTAAAGGGTTTATATCCTACATTTTTCTTGTTTTTTATCTTTTTCCTGTAGAACCACCTATGTGTTTGTGGCTTTATGAAAAAAAGAACATTTTACACAACCATTTTCCAACCTCCCTTTATCCCTTAGAATTAAACAGACTATTTTTGTTGAAGTGCTCCTTATAACTTCACTGTAAATGGGCGGGGCTAAACTGATATAGGATTAATAGGCAGATATATGTAAATGAGTTGTTTTCCGTGACCTCATAAAAACCATAAATTCAAAATGGGCTGATTTTGCAGCTTAGTTTTCATTTATGGACTGTATGGACTGGGGAGTAACAGGTACGTTTTGAAGCTTTAACAGTGGTTATATACAACATTAAACTCTTATTTAAAAAAAGTGAGGAAAATTCATATTTCCATAATATGGGCCATTTACAATATGGTACAGTTTTGCCTTTAACATATTAAGCTTTTCTTTGTGAATTTCAAAGTCAGAATATGCTGTACATCTAACCATTTCTCACTAAGTGGCTGCCATTGTTGTTGTAAAATCTGCTAGTAACCATTGAGTTTGGCAATTTATTGTTTGTGTTGGCATATTTACCAGGTAAATGTTTTGCTCAAGAAAGTTCCAGAGAAGCATATTGGAAAACCAGTATTGAGGCATTCCCTTAGCAGTGAACAGTGGGTAAGCAGTTGATGATAATTTTTGAGATACCAGTAGTATATTTGGTCTTTAAGACTGTATGAATAAGTATTTTTGAGCTTGAAAATCAAACAGCCATGGGTGTGTTGAGCTGACCATCATTACTAATCATCTGTCTTTATGCACATCTCAGGAACTGTAGACCAGTTTTTGATATTTCAACAACTTAATGAAAGAAAATATGAGTATTTAACATGCTCTTAGTCAGTAAGCAGTGCTATTTCTGAAGTGTTTCAGATCTGAGCTAAGTATTTGAATGTATTAATTTCTGGTTTTTGGTCACTTTGCTGTGGATTTTTGTCTAAGTTTTGGTAAAATTTTACATGAAGTAATGTTATTTCTAACCTTTGGCTTATTTGTATCCTCAGAGGCAGCTGGAGAAGATAAATTGCATTCTTTCCGCAGACTACGAGTGTCGTCGGCGCATGCTGATCAAACGGCTGGATGTCACTGTGCAGTCTTTCAGCTGGTCTGACAGAGCCAAGGCAGGTTCAGCTACAGCTATCTATGATTATTCTGCTTCATGCCCCTATGCAGTGAATTTGATCTGTAATTTCAGTATGTTCCTGTTTAAAAAGGTGTCAATTAATCATTTTGTCATATGTATTACACTGATATCAAACAAGACTTCTTGCTTTTTTTTTTCTTTTCATCAGGCAAAAATTGACACGATGGCCAAAGCCTATCAGCCAAAGAGACACTCATTGACGTTGAAGTCATCAATAAGCCTTGCTCATCTACTGGCAGCACGAGAAGATATCTGCAACGTGGTGAAGACAAGCAGTGGTGCCAGCAGAGAGAAGACTGTCTGTGCTGTGAACAAAGTGAGTAGGGCTTGCATGTAACTTTACATCATGTACAACAATGGTACATTTCAGCTCCTGCATTACAACGCTGGTGCATTCGTCTGAATAATAGTTGCATGCAGTGGCGTTCATTGTGTATTATGCTGAATTCCCAGGCTTGCAATCATTCCTATTCTCTTTAGTTGTGTTGAATTAAGTCCTTTTATTGAAATATGATTGAGTATGAGCTTTATACAGCCATATGCAAACGTTTGGGCAACCTAGTCAAATTACATGCTTTGTTTATGCTTTCATGCTCATCCTCTACAGTGGGTTCTCTGTGGAGGATGTGTTCACTTAGAAAATCAACAAAACATGCAATTTGACCAGGGCGCCCAAATGATTGCATATGACTCCGGTCCATTTTAATGCACAGTTACTGTTGAGTTGCAGAACTTAACATATTAAGAAAAAAAACAAAATGTGGCCTAGGGCTGTAGATGTGTTAATTTATTTTTACTTAGAAACTGTATTGGTTAGTTATGCACTCCTCTTTTGTTGAATGTTAACCCACTTTTTACTATTTGAGGGCCAAATTTAACCATATTTCACCTAAGGTCTTTTCTTTCTGTGTTTTAAATGAACAATTTGTTTTCTGTGTTTAGGTGCTTATGGGAAGGGTTCCTGATCGGGGTGGAAGACCATCAGAGATTGAAGCTCCTCCCCCTGAGATGCCACCTTGGCAGAAGAGACAGGACGGAGGAGGACGAGGGGGGTGGATACAGAGGAGGAGGAGGAGGATACGGTGGAGGCGGATACAGGGGTGGAGGTCATGGAGGAGGAGGATATGGAGGAGGAGGCGGGGGATATGGACGAGGGGGATATGGGGGTGGAGGATATGGAGGAGGAGGATCCAAAGGTGGGTGGGGCCGAGGAGGTGGAGAACGAGATCACTGGGGAAAGGGTGGTAAGGGAGGTTATTATCGGTGACACAAATTGAAATGGATGTGCACACGTTAAAACGTATTAGGATGCATTCGTTTGTTCAACAGTAGGTTTTTTCCGTTATTTTCGTCCTCATTTGGAACGTGTGCTGAGACTTAATCAGACATTGAAAACACTTAAATAAGACCTGTCATTTCTATGTGGTCACCTAATGCAACAATGAATTTCAACCACCAAGTGGGACCGCTGGTCTGTGTGGTTACATATGTGATGAGGAAGACGGAACATTGTAATTAAATGAACAAAATGGCCAAGCATTTATGTAGTTGTGATCAACATGTTTCCATGTGTTTTGTTTTATTTGGTAATCAGATTTGTTTAGGGATTCAGCCTTCCTTGTTTTTAAGGACAAGCAGATGCCAGTAGATGAAGTATATAATTTACTGATGATATCATGCATGCTGTAAACTGTACCTCCAACAGCCGCAAACAGCTGCAAATAAAGCTGCCGTAATCTGACACCCCTGCAAGCAACATTTTTAAACTGAGAAGGGTGCTTTTTATTATTGTTATTATTACTCTTAAATCATGTGTTTTGTGTTGGAGAATTTGACAATAGGTCACGATATGAAGTGCTAATGCACCTTTGCAGTTTAGAAAGAGCTGTCCAGTGGTCAGTGCTGTCAGTAAAGAATGTTGTACACTAAATAAAAAAACACATTGGTTTTGTTTAATTTATCTTGTTTTGTTCTGGTTGGATTTTGTGTAATCATTTAAAAATACTGGAAATGTTGCCTTCAGTTTTGAACTGTTGTCTAAACTGCAACGAGTTATGTGGTTTTGGGAATGAATTGAGTGGTCAAACAGTGTATTCACATTCATGATTTTATCTTTTCTCAAAAAGACCACAAAGTGTTTAAAGGGGAATTCTAGATTTTTTTTTTCCAAAATTTCTAAATAATTCAACCACTGACATATAACCAAAGTCATTCAGAGTAGTTAAATGTGAAATGGTGCATTGAGAAGAAACTTACCAACTCTGCTTTCTTTGCAGCGGTTGTGATTGGAACTGCAATAAATACAGTGAAAATATAGACATTTCATTTGCTGTCCTAAATGGCCAGTGAACCGACACGTGTCTTCTGTGCATGGGCGTAGCTAGAACTCTTAGCAGTGGGCCACCCCGTTCTAAGAAAAAATATAAATAAAATAGTGTTACTGTACAAAACTGACATATAAACTGATGCACTGGATTTTCTCTGTACAGAACAAAATCTGGCCATTTCCATATGAATAAAACATTACAATAATACAAGTGTTGCTGAAAGTAAACTACAAGACAGAACTGTTGATGTAATGTATTTTATTATTTATGGCTTTTTTTTCCTTTCATAAGGAAATGATGTATTTGAATCAAGTAAATTAAATGCATCAATTTTTAAATGTACAAAGTTAAGAAAAATATTTCATACACACAGACCACATAAATTATTTAGATTGCATTCACTACAGGTTATACGTGAGTCTAATGATTAAGTTAGCCAGACTGAACAGTATACTGGAAGCTACAGCACATGCATGTACTTAACTGTAAAAAGTGATTAGTTAGTATGATACAGTTGTAGCTGACTCATTTTTGATACTTAACTCATCTTACCATGGCATAGCCTATTTCATAATGCAGCTCACAGAGCAGCACTGCTGCACTGCACATCAACTCTGTTTGCTGAGCAATTTAGCCTGTCACAACAAGATAAGCTAATTATTTAATGCAGCGCCATCCGACTCTCATAACTGACTGGTAACTACTCTGATGGCAACTGAATACTTACTCTAGCTAAGTTTCATGTACATAAATGTGCTTTTACTAACAAAAAAAACTTTTGTTCTATTTATGAAACTGAAGGCCTTATTAAAACTACAAAGCTCTGTGACAATAAAGAAAGCCAAAAACTCAATGGACATATGAAATTTAATATTTTCAGATGATGGTCAAGGCCTAGGCTCTTTTTGTGTTTTATTTTTTATTTATTATTTAATGTATGCATGCGATTTATTTTCCTTAACATTTGGACGTCTGGCCGCCATGGAATAATTCACATCAAATCACTCGTTTTATATATATATATATATATATATATATATATATATATATATATGTGTGTGTGTGTGTGTGTGTGTGTGTGTGTGTGTGTTTTGTTTGTTTGTTTGTTGGTTTTTTTGTTTGTTTTTTTAACAACTATATTATGCCGCATGTTCCGATTTTTTTTTTTCGGTGGAATTCCCCTTTAATGGTTCCAGTACAATAACAGTACACTAGGGGGAAGTATTTCGCCCTGTATAAAAAAGACAAAATGAGGCAAGTTTTGTTTCAGAGAAACTCTAACGAGCAGTCCACCTGCTTGGCTTTAGCATTGAACAACTCATGGCGTCAGTGTGCGGGGTTGATGGAGAGAGACTGAAACACAACATCTGTGTTTGCATTGATGAGTGCAGAGAGAAGCTGTACGGTTTAAGTCGGGACATCTGGAGCAGACCGGAGCTGGCCTACAAAGAAAAGCAGAGCCATGACTTGCTCGTTCGCTTCTTTTCGGAGGCGGGCGGCTGGAGCGTTGAACCCAGCTACATTTTAGAGACGGCTTTCCGGGCGACTTGGTGTCTCGGCGCTCAGAAGAACCTCAAAGTCGTAAATGTTGGTTTCTTGTGCGAATACGACGCCCTGCCTGGTCTCGGTCACGCGTGTGGCCATAATCTCATCGCAGAGGTTGGTGTAGCTGCAGCATTCGGCCTGAAGGGGGCGTTCGAGAGTCAGGCAGACATTCCTGTGAAGGTAAAGTCAACGAAGATACTGAAACACTGACAGATTACTTTTTATTTTAAATGTTATTTAAACAGTCACGTACAGGGCTAAATGACCAGCTCCAATTCCATCTGGAAAGAATTAAACATGCAGATTTATATTGAACCTATTGGAATGAAAGGACAGTACATTCATCCACACATGAGCAATAAATTATAATTAATTTTATATTAAAAGTTAGATAAATGAAATTAACATTGTAAATAAATAAATTGACCTGTATATAATGTTGCTCAATACAGTGCTTGAATAAATTCATCTAACAGCTGAGTTGTCTTTTTAGCTTTTTTATGCTGTTGTATTTAGGAACCAAAAAAAATGAATCTGCAATCAGGTAACTGCAGAATAGCCTAAAATTAGGAACCAGAGTCATGACTCTGAAACTGTGTATATGAAATTTGCTGAATAAGGTTACAGACAAATTACTATTTTTTTTTTTTTTACTCTATTCGTATTGTAGTACAAACGTAATATGGGCTTACTACAACCCTGGACATTTGAGTGTGTTCCCTGCTCCCAACACACCTGATTCAATAAATCAATGATCTAATAATCAATAAAAGAAGTGTAAGTACGGCCCCATCTCATACAGAAAATAAATACATGTAAAGTGGATTTGTCAAGTGTAAAATTTTGGAATGAAGCAGTGTGTGTATGTGTGTATGTGTGTATGTATGTATGTATGTATGCAGGTATTTATCTCACATTTAAAAATTCCATCCCGTGTATTTCATGTTATTCTTACTTAACATGTCTCAGCATTTTTAGGAGTGTAACAATATGCATATTTTCAGGCTCAATACAATTTAGATTCTGAGATTTGTTAAAACATCTTACATTTTTTACATGTTCAGTTTCAGTTTCAAGTTTCAGTTTCAAGTTTATTTGTCATTTGCACAACATATCAGGACATTCATGCATTGAAATGCTTATGGTGAGGCTCAGGTAATCACTCTACAGAAAGTAAACAAAGTAAAAATAAAAATACAAGAAAATACTGAAACTGAAATAATATAAATATACACAAAATATACACAAAATATAGAAACAGGAGGGACTTATGTAAGGAGAAGAAGAATCCTCTCTGCTATGTACAAATATATTTATATTAAACAAGAATATATAAATTTTAAAGTGACTTAAGTGACTCAGTGTTATTGTTATTAAAGTGACTTGGTGTTAAATGTTATTGTCCATAGCAGTAATATGGTATAATAATAATAATAATACTGACAAAGTGTTAGCTCTACTGGACGTCTATCCTGTAACAGCATTTTTTATCCTAATTTAATGTTTAATTAGAGATTTAGTTTAATGTCTAATTGCATCTCTTTTAAATTATTGTTTTTTACATTCTCATTCTATTCTCATGCATCTCTTTAAACTTTAATTTGAAATATCTTTGTCCTTTTTCATTTGTAAAGCACTTTGAATGAACACAGTGTATTAAAGGTGCTATACAAATAAACTTGCATTCATAAGCTCTGCAAATCAGGTGAACATGAATCATAGGATTTTTATGTCATAAGAATGTAAATGCATAGAAGAGTGAATAGATGGACCAAGGTTGGGCTAAGTGTACAATAATGTGCATGCTTCAGATAACAGTTCTGGGAACCCCTGCTGAAGAGGAAGGAGGAGGTAAAATAGACCTGATCCAGGCTGGAGCGTTTGCAGACATGGATGTTGTGCTCATGGCTCATCCCTCCCAGGAAGATAAAGCCTTCCATCCCTGCACTTCCATAAAAGAGTAAGCATTTTTAAAGTGTTAGGTGTCACATTTCATTATGGTCTGCACATGTTCACTGTCCTTTGCTATGCTGACCTACGATCTTTTCAAAAATAATTTTCAAAGAATTTCTAAACCAGCATAGCATGTTTACACTCTGTTGTCAAACATGTTTTTCAGTTGCACTGTAAAGTATTATGGGAAAGCCTCTCATGCTGCTGCTTACCCATGGGAGGGTGTCAATGCGCTGGACGCTGCTGTGCTTGCTTACAGCAGCTTGTCCGTGCTGAGGCAGCAGCTGAGGCCAGATTGGAGGCTGCATGGTAAGAGACAGACATGCGGACACATCTGCTATGGAATTTCGTTCTTCCTATATAGTATCCTCAAAACATTAATCCTGATTAGCCTGATGCAGTTGTTCATGTTGGCCTACTTTTGATCCATGGTTTATGAGCATTGTCACCACATTACCTTTGGCAGGCATTATCAAGCATGGTGGAACAAAGCCTAACATTATTCCAGACTACACAGAGATGGATTATTATATGCGTACACCGCTGCTCAAAGACCTTCCTGACCTCAAAGATAAAGTAGAGGCATGCTTCAGATCAGCTGCCATAGCAACCGGCTGTCAAGTAAGTGGGAGAAAATAAAGACTGTCATATTATTGTGACTATTGATGTTGAACTTAAGGTATTTTGTTTGTTTCATCTTCTTCTTTGTTATTTAAATAGTCACTCAGTCACTGTCATTATAGGTGGAAATAACATATCCTCACCCAGCCTATTCCAACATCCTTCCAAATCCTTCCTTGGAAAAACACTATGAAGAGAATGGCAGAGCTCTAGGCATGGAGTTCAAAGAAGGAGGCAGTAATTTTTCCGGTAAATAAATATTTCAACTTTTTGTTGTTTTGTTTTATGTGCAAATCATATTCGTTTTAACAAATAATGTTGAAACCACCTCAGCTTTTAATGGACCTGTATCATGGAAAAATAAATGCCTCACTATTTCTAAATAAGAGTTTGATGTAGGATGTAAACATTGTTAAAGTCTCACGACATACTGTTCAGTCCACATTCCACACACTCCATATATGGAAACTATGCTACAAAACAGCCTGTGTATTTACCAAAAACAACGCATTTGAATATATCTGCCCTTTCAGCCTGCAACAGTTTAGCCCAACACATTCAGAAGCCCTGGACTGCTTTTTTCATGTGGGACAATACAGGACAGCAAATCAAAACAGAGATTATTAAAAAGTATGACTCATAAGTGAGAATTTTTTTTTCTTTCTCATTTTTATTAAGTTTGTTTTTTTGACAGGCTCCACAGACTTCGGCAATGTGTCCTATGTTGTCCCTGGAATTCACCCTTTCTTTTACATCGGGACTGAGGCACTGAACCACACACTTGAGTATGCAACAGCTGCAGGTGAGCTTCTCCCAATGGAAAAGTTTTCTTTTGACTTATTTAACTGTCAGTAGGAATAATTAACCCATACCACATGCTGCCACCACCATGCAGTTCACTAGAGATGGGATTTTTGACTCCTGCATTGTGTTGTGTCTGTGTTTGTCTGTTGCTCTGTTTTGGCGAAACAGCACTTTGCTACATGTGTCTATACTTAAAACATTTCAATGTGGACACTAATGAGTAACAAGCCAGATTTGTGGATTACTCAGTTTGTTTTTGTGAGTCACTGAGCGTGACCATTCAGCACTACAGTAACATCTGTAGCTCCTTTAGCCCTTTTAATTAAGAGCCCATATGTGGTCCAAAGTTCATTTTTTTCCGCTCTCATAATTTATAGTTTATAGATCAGTATCTTAGTAGTTACTGAATAATTTGTAGTAGTTACTGAACAACAAGTCTTAAGATTAATAAATGAATAATAAGCCCAGGGTTCAAAAGTTATTGGTGACCTCCTGAAAGCTGCTTGAATTATATATGGTGGTCCTGTGTGAAGGACTGACCAACTCAAAGCAGGCAGATGATGGTAGCACAACCTTTTCACCACTTTTAATATTCTTGTGCATTTTACAGATTAAAACACATAAATATTACACTGCAAAGTCTCTTTAACCTTGTCTTATCTTAAAATCTGAAATGTGTTGAATGCTAATTATAAAACACAGTTATTTTCCATCAATGATTTATTTTTTAGAAGGGCAACAATTTAAAACAAAAAACTCCAAACATTGATTTGAAGACACCACACTTAGAAACATGCCTGTTGTAATTTTTCAAAGGTGTCTTGGTCTAAAGTGTTAAAATCGTGTATTATACCACCATGACTGGCTACCTCGTCTGACATTTTATGAGATACACAAATAAGAAGATGCACTACTTTTTCACATTGATAAGCAGCAAACAAAAAATCATGCCAAACTACTTGGTTCTTTTTAGAGAGAAAGTCAGAAACATGTTTTTTTTGTTTTGACAATAACACCAGCTCTGAAACTTCACAAAATAAAGAAATATCCTTAAATCTCAGTCAATACCTATCTATTATGCTATCTTTTTTAACATATATATATAGTTATTCATTCATTTTTTTTATTCAAATACAAAAAAATAACATAACTCATGCAATAAATGTTGGCCTTCTGGCCTTGGTGAGTAAACTACATATTCACTCTCTGTTACAGGCTCAGAGAAAGCACAGATGTACACGCTGAGGACAGCCAAAGCTCTGGCCATGACGGCTGCTGATGTGCTTTTGAACCCAACCTTACTCAAGCAGGTCAAAGAGGAGTTCATAGTTGCCAAATGCTCACAAGAGCAAAAAAGCCAATAAGGCATTTACTCCATAAACAGGTATGACTTAACACATTGAAGCATTGCCTTATATCATGTACATTGTGATATATCACGTTCATTTCTTCTCCTGTTGTGCACCATATCAGAGTACCCTGAAGTTCCAGTAACAGACTGCATCATAACATAGCATGTAAGAGTCCTTTAATTCTGTCAGGTGTTAATCACATTTCTAACTTTTAGCATGATCTGTTAATGAGATGACTAAGACAGTGTGTAAACAGGTCCCAGGAAAAAGTGTTTGATTGCACCATTGAAACTTTCGCAAAATGGATTGTTTATTACACTTCTCAAACATGTTCAGATATGATTTACCTACTTGAAGGACAAATAAAAAAAATAACCTTTTTAGAAGGTAGAGGGAAGTTTAATGGATAAGTAAATTCTTTTTGGATTTGTCACGTTCCTAAATATGAAAGAAATGTTCTTAATTTGTTTGTTGTTCTCTGACACATCTTTTTCCCCACTGAAGACTGTTGTTACTGGCATTAATCAAATAGCATCATGCCTCTCGATTCACATGTAATTTATCCTGAAAAGTGTCCTTATTACACCATAAATTATTCAGTTTTGTGATGTAATAGTAACCAACTTGATATGGCTTTGCATTGTATTCACTATTATACAATGTGGATACAGTTAAAATAACATAGAAATGCATAATTACAGGCCAAACAACAAATAAAAATGAATGTCTGATTCTCATATACAACTTCCCAAACACAACAGTGCTTTTTTTAACAGTCTGGTATCTTTAGTTTTTTTTTAATCTACCTGGCATGCTCATGTACTTTTGTTTTGGTTTTGTATTTTTCATAGTAGGTTGCTATTGGCATTAGAATGGTACATAGGACAGATGCATGTATTTGGCAAAACAAAGCTGGGTCCTTATCTGTAAATAATGAATGGGTAATTCTTTGTATCAAAGCAAAAGGTGTTTATTTTCTCCTGTAGAACATATTTTATTAAGGAAGGTTGTGGTTGGTCAAGTTATTTAGAACAGTTCATGAGTGCTCATTCATGAACAGGGCTTATAGGTATTGAAAAAAAAAACTGTCATTGGGGCAGTACGCTCAAGGGTACATCTCAGTACCTTTAGTCAGGGAACATAATTAGTTAGTTAAGTGACCCTTATTAGTCCCACAGTGGGGAAAATTTCACCTCTGCATTTTAACCCATCGTGCAGTGAAACACCTCATACACACTAGTGAATGCACACACACTAGGGGACAGTGAACACACTTGCCCAGAGCGGTGGGCAGCTCTATCCACAGTACCCAGGGAGAAGTTGGGGGTTAGGTCCCATGCTCAAGGGCACTTCAGTCATGTACTGTCAGCTCAGGGGACCAAACCAGCGACCTTCCAGTCATAAGGCTGGTTCCCTAACCTCCAGCCCACGACTGCTATAATCCATTGAAATTATATTTTCTAAGTTGTATTGACTCCACACACCTCATCTCCAGGCTTTTTATGTTATTGTTCTGTTTTAAAACATTAGGTTATAAAAAAAGGTACAAATATGTACTTTCACCTGTGAAAAACCTATTTAAGGTGCACAGTTGGACTTTAAAACCACTGTTGTACCTTTTGAGGGTACATTTACGTTGTTTGTACCTTGATGAACCTGTACAGTACCTTTGTTTCTGACAGTGTCTAACTTGAACCTTTTTACACTACCTTACATTACCTAGTTTTAAACTATTTCAGTGAGAGATTCCAAAACTGTTGTCAAAATGCAAGAAACAAGATCCATTTTTTAAAAAGTACAAACAGTTCAAGACATGAAGCATGAAGAAGGCAGAATGTACCTTTTTATTTCCATTTGTCAGTGCCTCATTCCTCTAGTCAGAATATGTCACAAAGGATTCCCTGCCTTCAGTTGTTCAAATCGCATTGCTGTTTAAATAGAGGCAGGTGCTGTCCTCTGGCTTTTTATTGTGTTAGGAGTAGATGGACCAGTAGATGATGTTGAAGAGGGTGTAAGCTCCTGGAAAGATCACCCTTGAGTACTTGTCTATGGCATGTGTGTCTATCCAGATGTTAACATAGCCTCTTGAGCTTTTCACCTGCCTGGGGGTCTGACTGTCTGCTATTGTGAACTGGGCCAGCATCCTCTCCTGCCTCCCTCCGTTCTCTGGCATCCCATAGTTCCCTGTGGTGTTCTGGTCCATGTCACTGTAGCCAGTCGTCATCATGATGTCCTCGTCTGGGTTTGCTATACCACATGTGCAGGGTAACTAGGGAGTAAGAGCATCAACAGGATAAATTGCTATAATGAGGTGTTGGTTTCCACATTGTAAATTATAGGAGAAAGTGTTGTTATTTGTCATCAAGGATATTTTAGAAGTAACTGCATTATAATATGGAGTTAGAGAAGCTGGATGTGCACACTTGATTGCCAGTCCATTGTGTCATTATTTTTACCAGTTGGTTGAGTTTCTTTCTGCTGTATATTCTTAAATAGTTTATTTTTGCAAACACAACTGAAAACAATTATTTTATTCATAGTTGTTCATAGCCATTTGTAGCCCCTTTCTGCAGGCCACCTAGAGGCCATTCTGCTATTGGAAATTAACTAGGACACTGCTGTGACTCTGTGTTGAGCTGTTAGTAAGCAATGAGGGGTAAAAGGGGTGAAAACAACTCAAAACTTCTCTCTGTGCTAGGATGAAACAACTCCAGCTTTCTTGGTATTGAAAAGTTGTGCACGACTGACACAATAAAAATAGCATTGAAACACAATAAAAACACTTTTATAAATTATGCTTTCTCACCTATGAAGATGATAATCCAGTTCATTTCCAGAGTTCAATTCCAAGACTTGTAACAATTGGATTTAATGACTTTTTAAAAAGTATAATAGCTAATGTATTATGAAAAACACTTTTTTATTTTTCTAAGAAGGGTGCTATTAAATGTAACACAGCACTATTATTTCTTATATGTGTAAAGCCCACTAACAACAACATGTATCACGAAAAAAAAGAAAATTTTTCAACGAGGTCTATAATGCATGCATCATATATTTTGTCACAGAGTACATATTTCAGCTGAGGGACCTCCTCCAAAACAAATGGAAATTGCATTTCATGACTATCATGAAAAAGGGTTAAATGTGACACTACTGTGTGCTGGTGTATTTTGTCTGTTCCAAGCCTGTGATACATATTGTGTAAAGTAAGAATGTCCTCAAGTATCATCATGTTACATTTCACACTCTTAGCTCATAGCAAACAGTGTATAAAATATTGACAAAGTACCGTTACCAACATCAACATGTCAGCCTGTTAGTTATGCTGGTGTCAGTAGTGATGCGTCTATGTGTAAATGGGAATTTCTCTGATTTTTCACAATTTCTGCATAATTTAATGGTAAAAATGTAAATAGTCACTCAGAGTGGTTTGATATGAAATGCTCTGTTCTGGAGAAACTTACAGAGTCAGAATTGTTCACAGTGGTGGTGATAGGAACCAGACATAGGAGTATAATGCCTCTAAAAGCTACATCACAGAAAGTTATCACATGAAATCATTACAAATACACTGAATTTAAAATCAAGTCATGGTGGAGAGGCACATGCAGTGAGTAATAAGACAAAATAGTCCTAAAACAATTTTTTAGATTTATCATTATTTTACTATTATTAACATTACATATAAAAACTGATCATTTTGCATAACAAACAAAATGGCTATATTTGTAGACATTTATAATTTAGACTTTAGATTGTAGACATCTAATATTTGCGACCCCTGGTTCCTATCAGCGCCACTGTAAAGAAATCAGTGTCAGTATGTTTCTGTACATTGTGCAGTCACATCACTCTGAATGACTTTGTTTACATCTCAATGATTGACTTGTGGCAAAAGTCTGGAAAATTGGTTAAATTGTCCTTTAAAGCCATAAATCAGGGGTGTCCAGCTCTGGTCCAGAACAGTTCAGGGATTTGTCTGCACAGTGTATTTATTGATTTTTTAAGTTTAGTGGTTGTGTTTAAACAGGGAAATCCCCAAACTGTACTGGACACTGGCCCTGAAGGTCCAGAGTTAACTGCCCCGTCATAGATCACATGTGAAACTGTGTGCACACTTACTCTCTCTCTAAGCTTCCTCTCTCTGCGCTCCTGCACTGTGGTCAGGTAGTTGACTGCTGCATACTCTATTACAGAGAGGAAGACGAACACAAAGCTGACCCATAAGTAGATGTCCACTGCTTTGATGTAGGACACACGCGGCATGGAGGCGTTGACCCCAGTGATGATAGTGGACATTGTAAGAACCGTAGTGATACCTGAGCGAAAGCAAAGAATTGTATGACGCTTCTTTTTGCAAGTCCTGTAGTATCACAACTGATTTCACAGATTTCTTAATAACCTGAATGAAATGTGAAATTGAATTGTTTTGTCTAATCATAAATCATGTGTGTACAATTTTGTGCAAGTTTGTATACTTGTGAGGCTGGACGATGCCTACAGAATCATGGTGGTGTTAGGCCTACCTAAAGGTACTCTAGCAGGCACAGCTCTGCGATCAATCCAGAAGGACACCCAGGACAGCATGACCATCAGCGTGGCAGGGAAGTACGTCTGCAGCAAGAAGAAGAAAATGTGTCGCCGGAGGGTGAAATGGATGTACAGCCTGTTGTACCAGCCTGTGAAATGAGAAATACTGTTTAATAAGCTTGACAGCATACAGCAGGGGTCACTTCTGGGGACAGTCCAGCCATAGAGCTTGAGTCCAGCATGGTTTAGTGACTTTCCTGCTCTAACACACCAGCTAATCCTGGTAATTAACTGATTAGTTGAATCAGGTGTGTTTGAGCAGGGAAATCAGCAAGCTGTGCTGGATTAAGGCCCTTCAGCACTGGAGTTGATGGTCACTGACATACAGTGCATGGCAGTTTTGATATTTGTTGATAAAATAATGGATTACCTGTGCTGCTGTAGAAAGCTAGCTTTGTAGTTGTGTGAAACTTTTGGATGAGAAATTGCGAAAGTGAAATCCTGTCATCTGTGTTCAAAGATTCATTTCCTTTCTTCCAGTACAACATGAGGTCATCATCCGTGTATGCATCTGAAATGACAGCATATTCTCTTGGACACCACTTATGTAAACAGAGCACAGTCCTACAAAACTAGAACTTGATTAGTGTAATATGGTTTTATATATCAGTAATAAGTATTGCTTATATACACCTTAGTATGTGAAAAATGTTCTGGATAGAGTTTTCTAAAAGCTGTGTACCATCATGTCACAATCATCACTATTCATCATTACATGCTTACTGTAATGCTGATTGTGTGATACTGCTGATTGTGCTGATACTGTGATACTTTGGGAAATCAGTACTTCTATGCAAAGTGATTATAAATAAAGGAATATATTTCACATTATCTACATACAGCTCTCTATCTCAAGTGAGCAGGTCTGGGTGTCCAGAGGAAAACGACTCAGGTCCATATTGCACATGGCAGTGACTGTTACCCTGAAAGACACAAAGGACATCATCATGTACGCTTATTTGATATTATTTTGACAGTTTCATTCTATTAAATGGGAGTTATAATTTCTGCATAATTGAACTGTTAAGATGTAAACAGTGTGTTGATGTGAAATTCACCATCCCAGAGAAACTTACTGAGTAAGAATTGTTTACAGTGGTGGTGACAGGAACCAGACGTCTGAAACATTTAATGCTACATCACAGAAAACTGTTCCATTAAATAGTTACAAATACTCTGTCTGATATCTATATATATATAAAGCATTGTTGTACGACCGTTTTGAGAAAAGCTTTTAAGGTATTTTTTTATTATTATTCATTTATGGTGAAGAGCACCTCTTTTTTCTTTTGGGACTAATCACTGTTTTACCATTATCAACATTATATGTTAAAACATTACAAAGATGATGGGTTCTCTGCTCATTTTGGATACAGAATACAATGGCTATATTTGCATTGTAGACATCATGAACCCTGGTTTCTATCAGTGCCACTGTGAAGAAATCCGAGTTGGTAGGTTTCTCTACAGTGCACCATTTCGCATCCAACCACTGTGAATGTTATGTGAATGTTATGATTGAATTATGTATTTTTTTTAATTGGTGCAACATAAAAGGGCCTCAGTATTACAAATCACTGTACAGTAAAGCTCAGCTATTAGACAGAGTGTTGAAAACGATGCTCGTTCTACCATCTGATGATCTTTAAATGAAAAGATCCTAAATGAAAATCTACTGAGCATGTTTGACTGTTTGATGATAGAATGCAAAGTTATTGATTTTTGCCATTCCATGTACCATATATTAACATTATATTTACTGGATTGAATTTATCTTTGTGTTTATGGGTTTATTTCTTGTTTTATGTATTTCATGTAGAGTGATATGTTCTCATTGGTGGCCATTCATTGTGATGAGCGTTAGTAGTAGGTTTATTAGCATAAGCAAGAGACAAAGCTTTAGGGTTGCTCTTTTTATTGTTTACAAGAAAATGCAGGCCAAATCTTTACATAACTGTAGCTTCATAAGCTACACAAGGTTTGGAAACCTCTGTTCTCTGAACTGAGGAAAGAGGGGAGGCAATTTCTCAAGTGTTTCTGCAGCTAGCGGCATTGATCCACAGTTCATGAGTTCAGTATGGGGTAGAATGTTCTAAATTTAACTAAAAGTGGTGTACTGTGGACAGCAGTAGCCTGGAGGCAGGAATGTTTGGACACAGTTGTGGGTTTGATACCCAGCTGATGCCTTCTTCCTGCTGCTCTGCCTTGAGCAAAGCCCAAACCCTAAGCTTCCACAGAGACTGTGGATGTGTCCTTGTATTAGATGTGTTTTATTTGAGAAAGTGTACCTCAAACTGTAGAGCACATTTCCATCAGGATAAACACGCAGCATCACGTTGTCTGTGGTGGTGTCGTGGATGAAAGATCTTTTGGAGTGAACAAAGAATATGTCAGGCACCCAGATCTTCTTCACCAGTCTGCTGTCGAAGGTCATGCTTTGGTTGTTGCTGCTGGGAAAGGACAGGCGCTCATCCTTCCAGTAATGCCTCAGATACAGAGTCATGGTGAAGTCCTGAGACATGAGAAGGTCAAAGGTGATGTTTAAAGCTTTTCTACCACATGTTTAAGCTTTTAGAAAATAATTAAAATATGCAGCTAGTGATGAAACATATCACATTTGGCTACAATTTAGAGCAACTCAGGCTTTTCAGAAGACTTTTGGCCAATATTGCTTTGAATGTGTTTACGTTGTCACTAAAACATCTGTTCTTTTTTCTGGTTAAATTTCTTTTCTCTTGTCTACTACACCCCCAACAAAAGAAAGCCTAACAGTTCTTGGATCGTATTTACTTGCTTTTCATCATGCTTCTGCTTTTACTGGAATTGCTTTCTAAACAGCTATGAAATAAAATATTTTTTTTTTAAATAAAAGACTTTTATTTAGAGTAATATTTAAATAGTATTAAAGTTTCAAAACATACCATTCACTCCCTAGTCTATACAATCTACATATGAAAACTACGCTGCAAAAACAGCCCCTTTTGAATTTGAATTGTTTTTATGATGTCAAGAAAACCAACACATTTACATGTATCTACTGATTCAGCCTACAGCAGTTTAGCCCCAACCATTTATGCTGAAGTTATGAGAAATGTTTTAGCCCAGCCTGCTTTTTAGCAACGCACAATACAGGGCAGCCAGTCAGAAGAGAGGCAATTTACATATCTCAATCTTAAAGGCACAGTTTAATTGTAATTTAATTATTTCATTGTAAAGGATAAGGATAGGTTGGAAAATGGTCATGTAAAAATTAATTACAGTTGTTTTTGGTTTACAAAACCACAGAAACATTATAAGTGGACCTCATGGAAAAAAAAATAAACACAAAGAAAATGTAGGATATGGGCCCTTAAATGTTTAGTCACTAACAGTTTAAAATCACTCAGCTTATTCAAATATTTAACTATTCAACTTTCCTTAAATATTGTTCCAAAGATGTTTAGAAGTTTACCTTGCTTTTGTAATTTAAAATATGCTCCAACTAATTTACAGACAGTGAGGACTCACCATATCAACTTCAGAGATAGTGTCCAGGCTCTCCACCTGAACATCTACTCCCACTGGTATGGGAGGTCCTGTGATTGCACAATTAAATGAAAGAAGCACTTTATCAGGTCATTTATTTTCATACAATAAAGGCTAGCAAATTTTTTGATTAATCGTGACCTCTAAAATGTACACACTATTGTAATTCAGGGCTCAGGGAAAGGGTTTCAACAATGAACAGGATTTGATGGTGTTTATGGTGCACAGGATTTTTGCCCTATTTTAGCCTCAGACTCTCCATTATCCCCATAGTACAAAAATACAATTAGGTCACAATGGATCAAAGTTGTAGCTCTCACATCTGGACTGTGTCCAGGTCTCTGTTTTGCCTTCAGTAGGTGATTTTAAAGCTGTCAACAGTTGACGTCTGAAAAGCAAGCAGTTGAAATCAGCAAAAGATACTAGTTAGAACAGCACAAGATTGGCCAGACCAAAGTAACAGATTAGGGCATCTTATTCTATGTGATAGTGTATTTTTAACTTCATTGTCATGGCCTTTTCTAATAGCTATCGTTGTGTGTTATGGCCTCTTTCAGAGCTTGAAAATGCCTCCCTGTTGCTGCTCTCGCTGGGATGTTAAGTCAGAATACTTAGAGTCACTATTAATACAAAGGTCATGCTGTTTTCTAATCCTGTACACTGTGAAACCCACACCAAATCCCTGTACACTGACCATGAAACCACAAACAAATCACAAAATCCCGTTCACCCGGAGCATATTCAAATATTACCAGTGTAGGCTGTAGCTTTGAATCTGTCAGGGTCAGCATGAATCTGTATGAGGCACCACAGTGATACTCCTTGAGGATTAAGCAGGTTAATATGGCATTTTATACTCGCCCATAGAAGCATTTGTGAGTTTGCTGACATCTATCAAACTGAATGCATATTATCACTGTCAGAAGAAAACCATGTGTCTTTTTTTCCTCTTTACAGAATTTAATACACCAGCTGACCTTTACATTGGGTCGAAATTTAATTAATGATGAATGGACTAATAGAAATGTTCCAAAATTACTTAGAAACAGATCTTTTTACATTAATATCCATTGTAGGTTGAAAATGTTTTTTTTACAAGGTTTGTTCCGACAGTGATGATATATTTGCAGATATTTCATATCACTAGGTAGTAGGAATAGCACTTTGAGAACAAAAAAGAGAAGAAAAAAGAACGAATTTGATCCAGTCCTGCAACAAATCTGGCCTAAAACAGCACACACATAGATTAAGTAATGTAATGTTGTTAGCTACCTATCTTTCTATAGAGACATATAGGGTTCAGGTAGTTTAAGTATGATAATCTCCTTTTAGATGCTCATCTTAAGTGAAGTGCTTCAATTTAAAATAGCTCATTTAAAAGCTTAGTAGTTTTGTTCAAGTATAAATGTCCAATCAGTATCAGCTGGTACTCAAGCCTTCAACAGCAATATCAGAAAGGAAAAAGTGGTATCAGGCCATCTCTAATTTGAATTACAGTTCCCTCAGTAGACGTTGCCTTAATTTTCTTTAACACAAAATTGACAAACACATGGTTTAATTGGGAAAAAAAGCTCCATGGACAAAAAATTAGTCACATGCATAATTTCCTCTCTGATATGTGGGTAAACATCCCCAAGCCTGGATGACATCAGCAATTCTGTCAGGCAAAGATTACAAAAGTCTATTGAGTTCCTATCCATTTTAGCCCACGCTTCTTCTAACTTTGTGCTTCATGTCTAAGCAGAACACTGCATTGACATTTCCACATTCCAGGATGACAACTGTAGGGTGTCTGTATGTGACAGGTTCAACAGACATGCTGGAACAATGGGACACTGTGACTGACTAGCAATCTTGGCAAACCTCGATCCCAATTCTCAATTTGGGACAGGAGGTAAAATGCTAAAATAGGCACACATGAAATGTGTATCCAGTTTGTGTAAAAGTGGGTTGAAATGGTACAGAAACTGAAGTGGCTGGTGTAATGCTTGCCACTGATAAGATTGCCGCTCTAATTTAAGCAAGGGGATGTGTAACCAAGTATTAGAAAATTCATGTTGCATATGGCTTATTTTTTGCCCAGTAAGCCTATACTGAAAACTTACCTCCAAATGCTGGCCTCATTGTAAAGTCATGGTCATCTATCCTTAATAGTTGCTCTGATTTTGTCATGGGAGATTTTGTCATATCAGGACTTCTTCTGAAGATTGGACTGTTTAAACGATCACATATAATAAAGCATAGTTTACATTTGTAAGAAAATAAAATGCTGCTCATATAATCCACATGTCTTTCAGTAATGTCAAACAGCCTCATGAAAACACTTGATTTAACATATCTCCCCTTCTGGAGATATAGCAGAAAGTGTGGCAGATGTAAAACTGTCCTGTAGATATTTATGCCTGAAACAAAATGTGATGACTCACTATACTGAGACTGATCAAACTCCTGAAGCCTGTAATACAAATTCTAAATTCTTGCTTATTTCGCAGAGAACACTGGTTTAATGTACTGAAAACAACAGAAAAATGTTCAAACAGTATGAAGCAAAAAGTCAGACCTGCCAGATTTATGCGTTCCTCCTTGCACCACATTCGTTTCCCTCCGAATTCTGTACAAAAGAGGGTATAGACTCCACATCAGCTATAACACTTAAACTGCCATCCATACAAATAAATCATAACATGGTATATTTAGGGATTTCCCAGTATCGGGGTTGTTTTTGTCCTGTTTTCTGCACTGATGCTGACAATAGCTTAAGACTGGTGGCCTTGTGGCCTAGAGGTCAGTTATAGCATCATTATTTGAACATTACAGCTCATTCCTAACAGAATTTGCGCATCTCTGTGCAGTAAGCCTTGCCTGCGTAATATTAAGTAGGTCACAGTAGATGAATTTGAATGCCCAAAATGGATTAATGTAGGAACAAAGGAAGAGAAGTGCACGCTGCCTCACAGACTGTTGAAGTGGGGTGGCAAGGCGTAAAGTGGTGTTTTAATATTATCTCCTGTGACAATGGCAGGGTGTTGCTCTTCGGGGCAGGGGGAGAGTGCTGTGGTAATGGCTGCTGCTCCCCTCTGTCCCACTCACTCAGCAGCTGGTTACTAATCCTCTTGGCAAAAAGGTCCCTCCAGTACACTCCCCTCCTCCCTGCCCCAGAGAATGCACAGTCTACACGCTGCAGTGTTTTTCTTCTACTCTCTGTGTGCTCTCTTTCTTGCATATACAGTACTGTGCAAAAGACCACCCTACATGTATTTAATTTCCATTCAAAATGGCCTTAAGTACAAGTTATTAAGTTTTCAGGAGATATTTCTGAGGAGATTAGATACAAGATAATCCACTTACACAAGGAAGGAGAAAGTCAAAGAGAATTAAGTGAAAAAACAGGAGTTTACAAACCTGGATTAAAAGATATAGAGAGAATGGGACTCCTAACAACTATGTAAGACCTGGTAGACCTCCAAAACTGTCACCATCAGAAAAACAGCACTTAAAGCTTTCATCTTTGAGAGAGAGGAGAAAATCAAGCTCCACTCTTGCTTTAGTCCATCTTTCCACTGTGAGAAGACAACTCGACACTATGGGTCTGAAAGGATGTGTAGCTGCCAAGAAGACACTACTTTGAAAAGGCTATACACATAAAAGAAGAAAAAATTTCAACAAAATCAAAGAAAGAAGCTGCTGGTGTTCTCGGAACAATGGACTGTACACCTCAGAGTCCAGATCTCAACAACACTGAATGTGTTTGGGATTACTTGGATCATGAGAAGCAGAAAATACAACCAACTTCTAAAGCTGAACTGTGGAGGTGTGGGAAAATATCCCTGCAGAAAAAAATGGAAGCTGTAATAAAATAAAGGCAAAGGTTAGACACACTAGAGGCAAAAATTTATATTATATTATATTATATTATATTCATTTGTTGAGGTATCAGTGTAACTTTCTGTTTATTATGTGCTTCCTGCTTTTTTCCCTGACATGAAAAACTTGAATGTAATAGCCATTTTCACTGGAAATCAAATAAAGGGTCGTCTCTGATTTCTGCACAGTCTTGTCCATGCCTGAATAAAGAAATGTGTATATTAATAATACAAAGTGATTTGCCTTTATGCCTTTACCTGGGATGCTCACGTTTTCCTAGATCTGCTTCAAGAGAAGCTGTAGAGTAGCTGTGGGAAATCCCAATAACACTACACAGTGTCATCTAATTTGAAAAGCTAACTGCACTTCCAAGAAGCTGAGTCAAATGTTTGCAGCTAGTGGTTTTAGCCTTTGCTCTGTGCTGAAAGAACTCATACAAACCATATGTCCTCTGATTACAATATCTCTGGCAGATTAGGCCAGGAAAGTGCCATTTGGATACATTAGGAGTCTGTTAGTCTCAAACTTAGAGCCAGAGTTGCTGTATATGATGAAGGATTTATAGTGTAGACCTGCTACTGAAAAATCTTCTATCGCATTTGACAACTAAAAACATGCAAAATCAAGGAAAGGAAAAGCAAAACAACAGATGTGCTACAAATTTGGTCAAACAGACATTGAAGTTGTGTTATTTAGTGTTTTCTTACCTAAAACTACACCCATTCTGCGCTCAGTGTATTCTCGGTATTGCTAAATAGTAATATTTACATGCCTCAGTCAGACACCAGAACCTTAATTTGCTGCCTCTTCTCATACTGAATTCTGTGCAGAAGCCCTTAGTGCTCTTAGTGCCTTAATACCTTGGCCCTTGTACTTTCACTGCTTACACTAGAGATTAGTCAAGTCATTGTCATTGTGTGTTCTGTATGAAGTAAACAACAGCAGCAGACCTTAAATTTCAACCTGACACAGTGCATGAAGAGGTTGAAATAAATGAATCATAGTTAATATCTAACCAACTTAACTCAATCAGAAAACTTTTTGTCAGGTCTAAATTAAGATCACCAAAACTATGCTCCAAATGTTTCCCCTTCAGTCAAACATATGATGCATACAGTCCAGCAAAACAAGAGAAAAAACCTTCATGGACTCTACACTATGAGGCTAAAGTTAAATCTGAACGTGTTGGCCTTTTGTCCTGCTTCATCTCTTAACGGGTTGAAGAACTAGACTAAAGCATTTACAATTTACCACTTTCAATAATACAGCAAAAAAGACAAAAGCCATTATATACTGTTGGAAGTCTACTGACCAAATGACCTCTTTACCTGCTTTGCTTGTAGGTCTCCAGTTTGTGACCCCTCTGAGGAGCTGACCTCCCGGCTGCACCTATTAGCCAGACACAGAACAGCAGAACTACAGCATCTATCTGCATGGTGCACATACCCCTGCACACCACCTCCAGTCAGATTCTACACGCCTCACAGGCAGAAGATCCTGAACACACAGCCGAGGACATAGTTTTTTAGCATTGGAGCCTAGGAAGAATGCACAGCTCTGCTCTCACTGTAAACATCCCTCAGTGCTTAATCTCCCCACTGGGAAAAGCAATTTTGACTAAACCCATAAATCCTTGAGCGTCAGATGGCACAGATTTGATCCCTCCAGTGGCGGATGTGCCGTGCTCGCTCTGCACCGCCCCGAACCAATTCTCCTAATGATCCACTGCTCTGCATTTCACTGTGAGGTCAGTCACGAGGATGGAGGATGCCGCACAAACAGACAGACGCACTAGCTGCGAGACGCTGGCCCCCCTTTTAGTCTGCTCAGATCATCCAATCTGGATGCATTTGTGAGCACTGGCTCTAAAAATACAGTGTTTTACAATTGTGCTTAGATAGACTTAAATCCTCTGTGACATTTGCCTTTTGCTCATGACTGCACAGAATAGCATAATACAAGCAAACCTAGCACTTAATATTAAGGAACTAAGCAATTATTAGTGCACGGCACACAACTTTCAATCTCTGACTGAACTTTCAAATTCTAAGTAATAATGTGATGGTGCTGTGACTGTGATCATGAAGTAGGGTTAGTTTTATGAGTCACTTTTTTTTAAACTGGTATAAAAAAGCAGTGTGTGTGTTTGATATGTTTGATGCTGGGATTGGTGATCTTAGTGACCTAATTCTAGTAAGTGGGAATGACAGTAATGACATTCTGAATAGAAACATAGACCTCTGCAGTGGCTGTGGTTATACTTTATTGATCAGTGAAAAGGTAGGTTGGATTTTCATTTTGGCCAGTGATGTGGCTGCAACACTAGTGCTGTAGTACTCAAGTCTGATCTCAAACTTGTCTCTGGTCTCACCAGATTCTGTCTTTGGTCTTGACTGAGTCTTTTTACCATTAAGAAAATGATATATTTTGTTTATTTTTCCTTTTAAAGGGCCCATGTCATGAAAAAATTAATTCTCCTCACTTTTTTCAAATAAGAATTGTAGAATGTAAATATTGTTAAGGTTTCAAAATGCACTGTTCACTCTCCAATCCATACAGTTTATATATAAAGTTGTAAAAACAGCCTGTGAGTTTATATTTACTTTATCTACCTATTTTGCTTACAACAGTTTATCCCCACCCATTCCTTCTGCCTGGACTGCACAGGTCATTTACATATACCTGTCTTAAAGGCATAATAACAGAAACCACACAGTTTAATTCTAAGAGATGAAGAGAGGTTGGAAAATGGTAAAATGTAAAAATTAATTATGACTGTTTTTGGTAGATAGAAGCACACAAACATTATAAGTGGACCTGGAATGAATGAATGAATGAATGAATGAATGAATGAAAACAAGAAAAATGTAGGATGTGGGCTCTAACTGTCACCAACATGCACTGACTCAAGGAAGGAAAAAAATAATTGTGTCTGTTTGTGTTTCATTTAATTGCAGTGAAAGCGGTTAAAAGTAGTTAAGGCTCGATCTCAGTGAGGACTCTTTAATTTATTCATTGGGGGTTTCGGTCTTGACCCGGTATCACTTTCATTTAGACTCAGTCTTCACTTCGTCTTGGCTAGTCATGATCTTGGCATTAGGCTTATAGTGAACCAAGGTGGTCCTGACTACAGCCCTACCCTAGACAAGTATGCAAACTGGCATAACTTCAGTCACACACAATGGCATGCATTTTTTAAACCTTTCTTTCTGACTTTCTGTCTTTCTTTCTCCACATCAAAAATAATTTAAATTTAACTTACTATTTTTACTGTATAAAAGGCAGCTTGGTTCAGGTTTAGTACTTGGTACGGTAATGACAGTTCAGCTCAATGGCGCTTCTGTAGACTGAACTTAAATTGCGTCCCAGTTCCTGTAATCTACAGCCACGCTCGTCTGACCATGTACATTTATGTGGATGTCAATAGCGCCATCTGGTGGACTAGATGTCAAGACAGAAGATGCTAGACAAAAGCAACATCTATCTATTTTGTATTCCGGCCTTATTTATTTTTGCTGACTACTTAGGAAGACCGAATTAACAGAACCCATAAAAATACCTAACAGTACATTAATATCAAGCATCTTACATGGAACAGTGGCACCCACTGCCTTCAGAACCGCTTCAGTCGTGGCAGTACTGCTGTTCAACGCAGGGGCCCAAAATGATCTAGAAGCACAGTTTTCTTCAGAGTGCTCCTGAAAAACAGAAAACAGGAAAAAAAAAAAGCCAAGAAAGGCGTATTTCAGGCACACAGAGCAGAAACTACATTAAAAAGAGCTAAGAGTTGAAAGGGAATGTCTTCTTAATTAAATGGTTAATAAACAAAGTCACTCAGAGTGGTTTGGTGTGAAATGCTCCGTTTTAGAGAAACTTACAGAATCAGAATTATTCACAGTGGCGCAGATACGAACCCGACGTCGACATCTAAGCTTCCTGACAGAACTTTTTACTTTGTCTGACACAGTATAGTTTGGGGATAAAGTCCTAAAACATATCGAATCAGTTTATTTTAATCTATTCATGGTGGGGGGACAATAAGGCAACATAGTCCCTAAAGAAAACTCAGATTTTCTACGAATTTACCGCGGGTTCCTATCACCACCACTGTAAAGAAATCTGAGTCTGTAAGTTTCTCTACAAATGAATCATTTCACATCAGACTAGTCTGAATGAGTTTACATCTCAACCACTGAATTATGGCTCTGTGAACTTCTCCTTTAAACAGGCCTAAGTTTTATTCGCGGGTGGATTTTGATATAAATTAAGACTGAAAATATGTTTTGTGGGAGTTATTGTGCCACCGAAAATGTTTCTAAAGTCATCTCTCTCTCTCTCTCTCTCTCTCTCTCTCTCTCTCTCTCTCTCTCTCTCTCTCTCTCTCATGTGATGTCACACACAGGGTCAAAGTTGGCTCGTAGCTATGATGCTTCATAGACAATTCAAACATGGAGTCTATCTTCCACGAAAAAGTGAGCTCTGGTGTTGTTTCTTTTCTCTTATTATCTAGTTGCCGATTGATATTTTTATCCTAACTGCGAGCTGCACTTAATACGAATGAAAAAGTCGTCTATAAAACGCGTGTCTCGTGTGATTGTAGCTTTAGCTAGCGCTTTGCTAGGTTGTTTAGCTGACTTGCTAAGCTAGCTCGCTAACTGACAACAACACTCAAGCTAGACGGTGTTTTGACGAGTTACGACAAAGTGTGTAGGTGATGTTTATTGCGTAGATTTATGTATGTTGGTTGAGCTCGTTTTAGAGGCAATGTCGATGTCATTATAAGCCATGTAGGTTAGCTAAGCTTCAGTAGTTCCTGTGTGTTAAATAACTAGTTAGCTAACCAAAATATTACAAATATATTAGTGCGAAGTCAGCTTTTATGAGCTAGCTAACCTTAAGGTTAGTTAACGTCACCTAACTAGCTAGCAAGTTTCCGCCCCAATTGCATTGGAAGAAATTTTACGTTTAGCTAACGTGATGTTATTATATTACATGCTATAATTTACAGTTTTGTTAGATTCACATTCATCTGTGCTTACATTAAAGTTACATTAACGTTACCAGTGTTATGGCTTTCTCTGTCAGGTGGCCACAGCTACGTCAAAGGTTGCTTTCAGTTATGGTTCATTTTAGCTGGGATGATGTCTGAAAAGTACATGATATGTCCAAAACTTTATAGACACCTCCTCATCCAACATTTCTTGCTAAATTAAGGGTATTAATAGAGAGTTTGTTCCCCTTTTGCTGCAGCAATAGTCTCTACTCTTCTGAGAACGCAGGAGTCATTGTACCTGCGATTGTTGGAACATTGCTGTGATTATTTGACTGCATTCGGCCATAAGAGCATTAGTGAGGTCAAGTACTGATGGTAGATGTTTTGTTCTGGATTACAAATGCCACTGCAACTCATCCCAAATGTATTCAGTGATGCTCCATCACTCCAGAGAATGCAGTTCCACTGTTTCACAACCCAGTCCTGGGGGGCTTGATACCCATCTAACTGCCACTTGGCATTGGTCATGGTGCGCTTAGGCTCATTATACTGGCAGTGCTTTTCTGTGGAGATAAAACAGCCTATGTGTGCATATTTGATTTGCCTTTGTCAGCAATGCGTGCATGTCAGTTGTCAATATATTAAATGCCACATTATTGCCTTGTAGCAAGAGGGCTCTTTATGTGCCCAGCACTGCCTGAATAACCTACTTCAGGGGGAATATTTCACTCCAGTGGACTTGTCATCCATTGCACAGCAGCTGGATGAGGAAGAAAGGATAAGGATGGCTGAGGGTGGTGTACTGAGTGAGGAGTACAGGACGTTTTTACAGGTAGGCAGTAATGTTGGGGTACATGCAAGGGTCAGTGTTGTGGGAAGCTGTTCAGTAGCTTAACAGTGTTTTTGCTGCCCCATCTTTATCTCAGCAACCGTCCGGAAACATGGACGACAGCGGATTCTTTTCCATTCAAGTGAGATATTTTATATCATTTTTGACATTAGGTTTGTTAATAATAATAATAATGATACGAAGAAATAGAATAATTTATAGATATGTGTCATTCCATGTCACACTACTAGAGCTCGCTGCTACATTAGCAGTGTTGTCATAAGCACATTCAGGTACAAAGTTTACAAACATAAATTTGTAAAGAGCCAAAGTTGGCTACTTGGTTATAGAAATGTTCTTTAATAATCAGTTTTTTTATTTCAGCTATAGTTCTTCAAGTGTCTCGTTATTATTTATGTATGTATGTTAGGTTAGGTTAGGTTTATGTTAAATAAATGAAATTATATTTTCCCTGTCAGGATATTAACATCTCAAGTGAAGTCTTTTCCAGTTACTCTGGCCTAACAGTGCCCTCACCTGGACCGATTAACTATCACAATGATAGATGAAATTTAATAAAAACATAAAGCTGAAGACCTTTTGATAATATTCAGCAGCCATCTTGGTTTTCCCCATGATCTGTCTGTCAAGTATGTAAATATTAATCTCAAATGATCATGCTTTTTAAACATGTGTTTACATTACAACAGTGGTACTTTGGAGCTTGACCTGCTGTTTGTTGTTTTGAATCCCTCTGATCTTTCAACAATGATAGAGCTCCACATCTGTGACTCATGAAATTATTGACGATTAAAATATACTCTTAACTTAAAATAACTATGAGCCTTTCTTTGTATCCGATGAACATTTTTTACCAGCAAGTGCCCAAAGAGTCACATCAGTTTTTTTAATGGCTTTAAAATCCATGGTGGATGATGTCAGAACTGCTTTTCTTCAGGTGATTTGACATGGAATGACCTATATTCAAAACATCTTCGTACAACAAATGTTTGAATGAGACGTTAAAGAAAGCTTTTACTTTTCTATTTGTATTTGTATTTGAACTGCCAGAAAATGACTGCCTTGATATTATACCATCATGGCAGGTAATAAGTAATGCTCTAGGAGTTTGGGGTTTGGAGCTGATCCTCTTCAACAGCCGTGAGTACCAGCGACTAACGATAGACCCAGTGTAAGTACCTATGTGTGCTTTCATGAGTCAGTGTTGTCTTACTAATATATTTTCTGTGGTTTCTTTAATCCATATTTACTAGAATGTCATTTGTGGTTTCAGAAATGAAAAAGCCTTTATATGTAACTACAAAGAGCACTGGTTTACAGTACGAAAACTGGGGCAGCAGGTATGATGTCTGAATAATACATTTTATTTCTGAAGCACCTTTCATATTCATATGTCTTGTACAACTGTAATCACAAAAGACAATTTAATGAATTGTTAAAGTGCATAAATAAGCTGCTTTTATATTTGTGGCATCTGAAGATCTCTGATGGCTATCTGACTGAAAACAACTAAGGATTTTTGCAAAACAGTGTGTAATAAAAATTAAATTTAATCTCACTGTACTGTCATTCTTTGTAGTGGTTTAATTTGAACTCGCTTTTAACGGGACCAGAGCTGATATCAGATACATACCTGGCACTTTTCCTTGCACAATTACAGCAGGAAGGTAAACTCTTTTTAAGTAGCATTTTATTTGCTGCAATATCTTTAGTTTACCTTGCATGTAAAAGATGACCCTTACTATGGATGCATTCCTGTCTTGTCTTTAGGGTATTCCATTTTTGTGATTCGCGGGAACTTGCCTGAATGTGAAGCAGACCAGATTTTGGAAATCATGAGGGTGGAGCAGCAACACAGACCAAAACTCATTGGAGAGGATGAGGCTCAGACAAGTAGTGGTCAAAGGTATGGAGTCACAAGCAGGGACTACATTGTTATTGACAGAACACACCATGCACTGTGCACATCATACATGTTTTCACTTAAAAGCTATTTTAAGCCTGTATGCATGAAGTTACATCACCAAGGACCGACTTTTTTCTTTTTTTAATTCCCTTTTTTCCCTCATTCATATTGACTAACACTTCTTCTTAAATTATTAAGCCTGTAATATCATAATGAGCCAGTAGTGAGACCCATAATTGTAAGTACTGTAGGCAGAGACCCTGTATTTTTGGACTTTACACCAGCAAGGACAGCAAGGAAGTTTGACTTAATGCATTAGTTTAACCATGGCCTATCATTTTCTCCAGAACCTCAGGGCAGCATGCATTGGAGACTAGGCACGGTCTGGAAGAGGGTGTGATGGACGAGGATGAGGAGGAGCTGAGGAAGGCTTTGGCTCTGAGCAGACAGGATATGGAAGTGGAGGATGAGGAGGCTGACCTTCGCAGAGCCATACAGCTCAGTATGCAGGGTAAGACATGGATACATTAGAACATGTGGCGATGATGCTGAGGTTGTTCTCTAACATGCAAGTGTGTTATAGCCAGGATGAAAATTGTTTTTCCTCTTGGAGCCCATTCAAAGGTATCAATGTAAACCTAAACTCTACGATGGTCTTCCAAACACAGTATAGAAACTGTGAAAACAGATGGAACTCATGAATGCTTTACTGATTCCTCATCTGACTTGATTAGGATGTACAGTAGCTAGCAATATATGAAATGAATCTGCTTTCAGAAGTACTACCCAGAGTTTGACTGAAAGTCATGCAGCGAAATCATGTGTTGTTTGAAAGTCCACACACGCCCTGTTGATCTACGTAATGCTCAAAAATTGGCAATGGATGATCATATTGTTATTTGGTTAGTACATCCTGCTGTGGAAATTGCATGTGTGCATTTACAAATTCTGCTGTATTAACCCCTATAGGTAAAATATGCTCAGACATATATTGAAGCTATATTAATAATTTTGTAGTTTTGTTGACAATACCTACACAGATCTTCTCTTACTCTAGGAGCTTCAGGGAGCAGTAGCCTTATAGGTACTAAAGAGGTTGGAGCTGCCATGACTCCAGGTTCCTCAGGAAGCACTACAGGTGATGTGGCACAAAGCACTCCAAGTGAAAGCCTCACAGCAGAGGAGCTCCGCAGGAGAAGACAGGCCTACTTTGACAGGCATGAAGCATTTTGAAGCATTTTATTTCCACTCTGATCATTGAAGACCTTTTCACCTGTACATTTTTGCTTTTTGAAATTTACAAGGATAGTAAATTTCAACCAGTGCTACCTAACATGTAATTGTTGTCTACTTATGTTAGCAGCTCACATGCATGTCATAATGCTTTAGCTATTTGCTTTCCTTTTTCTTACACAACCATATAGGCAGTCCCAACAGCAGGCTCAATCAGCATCTTCACAGGACACAAACGTTGCTGGTAAGGGCTAATTCAGATTAGTTTTTTAAATGGTGTTATGACATGGAGCTAGATGTTTTTGAGAAGTCTATAAAAGCATCCCTCTTGATGTACTTTATATATAGTATTATAGTATGAGTAGTTAAAACACACATAGAATTTTATATGTATATTCCTAAAAAAGGTGCCACAGAGGGTTCTTTGAGCGATGCCACAGAGGATCCACTTGATTGAATAATGAAACCTAATGTAATGGTTCTATACCAACATAAGAGTTCTTCCTAGACCACTTACATTATGTGGAAGTTGTTTAAACATTCAAAAAGTTTTTCACGGGCTCCCAGCCATCTGTTGATGGGAGTCCAAAACAGCATAACTGTCCTTGCTTTGACTGGGTGGGTAGGATGACCCTCCCTCCCCATCACTCAGTGCAAAGCCAGCCAATGCAGGCATTCATTAGCGAATGTAACAAAATGGCAGTTAGCTAACTCCTCCAAGCGTGTTGAGCTGTCCAGTGTCCGTTGCATTAGTAGCTGTTCGAAAAGATGCGGTGGCACTAGCCTTCACCCTCTTAGTTTGGTAGATTGACGTGACCTAGTTATGGAATGGAATTGGCATTTATTAAATTGGGGAGAAAATTGGGCACAAAAAAGTTCCTCAGGGCACTAAAGGTGGTTTTTCTATGCCACTGCACAAACAACCCTTTTTGGTACCTTTTTTTTTATATGTGTATTTTTAAGTTTTTGGTATTACTTTCCTTTTTAACAGGTGGAGAGCAAGACACTGGGAGTAAACACAGCCAGTAAGGACATAGTGGCAATGGGGATCTATAGCCAGAGCCCTATATCAACCAACTACTACCTGCCCCGTCCACCTCTTCAAAACGTCTCAGTGTCTGAATGACAGGAAGGACCAGATCCCAGGAAGGGCCATTTACCACCAACGCACCACTATGTGGATCCATTCATAAGGCTCTTATATGGACAGAACTGTTAAACAGACATTTACATGAAAAATAGTATGATGATCTACTGTTTAAAGTGGTGTTGTATGCACTGCTGCTTTACCTTTTAAAGTCAGAGGGAAAAGGGAGGGCTCATTAGCCCAGTACAGTTTTTCTTGCTTACGTCTGTTACGGCCTTTTTACCACAGCGCCTTTAAATATGCTAATATAACTTTCATAATACTGATCTGTTTGTAATTTTTGGGACTCATAGTGAAACAGGAGGTTTGTGAATTGAGCAAGTGTGCCTGCATTGATGACTTAATAGATCAGCAGAGGGTGCTTTCACAAACATGTCAGCTGGGGCAGAGTGGAAAGGAAACTGAATCCCTTCTTTAGGGTGCGGGGGCTAAGGACCACTTAATGGGCACACCACACCCTGTCTTACCTTTCTTTGCCAGCTATAATTTTAAGAGGGACCGATTTCTTAGTGAATTCTGGTGCAGTACCTGTATCTGTTTGGGTAGTGCTCTGGGATGGTTTTAAGAGATTGCTTGAAAAAGCTCAAAACTACCTTTTTTTGGTGTGGGTTCAGTGATATAAGGGTCCACTGTGACCTCAGAATCTCATTTTGGGGAAAAAAGCTGAAAGGAAAAAGTATTGTCAAGTCTTATTTTACACTCTGTCCTCCCAGGATCAGAATTTGTCATGACTCTTTAAGAAAGATACTATAGCAATGGGCAGTATTAAACTGCATGGATTCATAGCTCTCAGTATAATCGAACAGTTACTGCTGTTTGTTCTTTAACAACTGTTGTTCGTCTCTGTGTGCGCTTGTGTGTTTGTGTGTTTGTGTGTGTGTGTGTGTGTGTGTGTGTGTGTGTGTGTGTGTACGCATCAAGCCCGCATAGATAACACATCTGTTAATGGATACTCTGCATTGGTCACTGGAATATAAAAGCATATAATGTATTGACAGGGCAGTTACTCTCAGACCCTACTTAATCGCTGTACTTCCAATGCAGTAAAGTAATGAAGCTTTACTGAGAGTGTTTACAGGTACCTCTCACTGGATTTACCAGTGCCGCGAATATCTTGAGTGAGTTTGACGTATGCAGCAATCAAGAGGTGGTTTTTCAAGCAGTCAAAAAAAATGTCATGTATACTAGTAGTAAAGAAATATGCTACTATGGAGATTAAACCATCTAGTTTTTCACCCATATTTTAATTCATTAATTTTCTTCCTAATAGACTATACTCACACACTTAGTTTTCAGTTTTTAATTCATTAAAACAGGCTGTGGATGTTGAAGACTTTTTGTTTTAGTACATAATCTTACTCCCAACCCTTTGCAGTAGACTAAGTGATCTTTATGCTCATGCACCGACAATTATCTTTGTAGCTTTTGATTTTTTTACTTCTTAAAATTAAATGATGGGTTTTCCCTTTGAATCGTATCCCTCTGCTCAAGTTTATTCCTTTGACTACTTTTAAAAGAACGCTTTTGAACATTCTGATTTAAGCCATATGACCTCAACAGACCGTGCGACTGTATGGTAAAACTGTTGTAGTAGGATTGCAAAGCAAAAATGTAAACTTCTCCTACACTTGAAAATGCATAATATTCTATTAAGTATTATTTTGACAAACTGCTCAATCATTCCATTAGATTTGCTTTGGATTAAACTTGCTTTGTGGACTGTACATGTTTGAACGCCCAATTGTTAATAGATAATCCTCGGTGCACACTTGCACTTTGTTTCTCCAAACAAATGGGAACAGAGCAGCCTGAAACGTATCCTTTAGCTGGTGTTTGTTGGTAAGTTAAAGGAGAACAAAGCTTGTCTATAGTCACATTTATGTTTTGATCAGTAAATAAATTGCATCTATGTATGTCTATTTTTCTGCATTTGACTGTCACTTTCTTTTAGACAGTATATTTTTTTGAATGTGTTTGTATAGTTTGCAAACTAGTGATCAGTGTATTTACTTGTTGCTCAGGTCAGTTTAAGCAATACCTTGATTTGGGTAGTTACTTTTAATGTAATTATATGTAATAGTTAATTTAGCTGAGGATTTTATGCTGATTGTAAAAGTTTGCTTGTTATTTCTTCTCTTCAGATCATACATTGAGGAAAGTGATGATGGAAAATAGCGTGTTCTTCTTTCTGATCTGCGCTTCCTGCTTCAAGACTTCCCTCCAAGCTCAGGAAGCCCAAGCTCCTAACATCACTCATCTGACCTTTAAAAATATTGACTTTGCCATGAACCTTTATCGCAAGATTTCCAGCCATCATGATAATAACATTTTCTTCTCGCCCCTGAGCGTTTCCACAGCATTTGCCACACTGTCTTTGGCAGCCAGGGACTCTACTCGCAGCCAGATTCTGTCAGGGCTGAATCTGGACACGCTGGAACAAAATGGGCAGCCTGAGGTCATTCCACAACTCTTCCAGCACCTCCAGGGGAACATCACCCATGATGGAGCACTGAAACTAGAACAGGGAACAGCACTCTTCGTGGACCTGCATTTCCAAGTAGACAGGGCTTTCAGTGATAAGATCAAGAAGTTCTTTGACGCTGATATCGAGAATGTGGACTTTGAAAAAGCTGACCTCAGTAAGGAGACAATTAACAAGCATGTGAGGAAGAAAACTGGTGATAAAGTGAAGGAGATAGTGACTAACATCGAACCACTGACTCGGATGATGCTGATCAATACCATTTTCTTTCAGGGTGAGTTATATGCATACTTAAACTAACAGTCATGGCATCCCAATTGGCTTGCTGACTGGAACTGGCTTGACTGGAACTAGCTTGACTTCGAAGTAGTGAGTTAAGTCTTAAGCAAGAGATGTTGCATGTGTGTATCTAAATGAGATTGTTCTTTTTCAACATCCAGGTGCCTGGGAGAGTCCATTTAACCCAAACAACACTGAAAACAGTCGTTTTTATGTAGACAAATACAACATTGTCCAGGTTCCCATGATGTTGAGTGTGGATAAGTTTTACATTGCCAGTGATGACGAGCTTAAAGTAAAGGTGTTGCGTCTGCCTTATTTGGGTGGTGCAGCTATGCTCATTGTCCTACCTGACAGCAATGTTGATTACACCATCATAGATGATGAAATAAATGCTGATAGATTTCTTAACTGGATCAAGAATATGAAAAAAACGTAAGTCTGAAAGTTAATGTTATGTGATTGTCAGTTTTATTTTGTTTTTTTTTGTCACCATGAACTCAAAATTTTCTTAAGCATTTCCATAAAATATAGATAAATGTAATGGGAAATCACTGAAATATCTGTGTTTGAAATTACAGTGCAGTTGCTGGAATTTAATGTCTCACTCTCTCATTCATCTTCCTAGAAAACTTGAGGTCTGCCTGCCCAAATTTAAGATGGAACAGTCGTACCCCCTGCACAAAATCCTGCCAGCTATGGGCATTCAAAACATCTTCAAGAACACAGCTAATCTCAAAGGCATGAGCCAGGAGCCTGGTCTAAAAGTCTCACAAGTATGCATTTTTGCCTGTAATATAAGGGCCATATTATGAAATGCTTGCGATGCAGATGCTTTTAAGGATGGATAATTAGATATTGCTACATCATATGCTAATATTTCACCTGTTTGAGATCAGTTTGAAATAATGTGAAACCAGAATATAAAATTTGTACAGTGGAGATCTTAAGGGAAAATATGGTTCGCTTACTTACCCTTGATTTGTGTGCAGGTTCTGCACAAAGCTGTGATTGAAGTGGATGAGAAAGGCACTGTGGCTGCTGCAGCAACAAGCGTGGGAATCACAGCTTACTCTATGCCAACCACCTTCATCGTAAACAGGCCTTTCTTCTTTTTTATATACCACGAAGCAACCAACAGTCTGCTGTTTATGGGCAGAGTGATTGATCCCACTGAGCACTGAATCAGCATGTGCTGTCATCAACAAATTAGTGCCCTGGATTAGAAACATTACTCCTACTATGCCCATGGTCACTTCTGCATTCTCACTGATTAAAGCACTGTTGTTCTAGATCATGTCAATTGGTTATATATTATCAATAAATATTTTTTTTTCTTAAATGGACATCTAAGCTACAAAGTGTACACAAACTATAGGAAAATATTTGCATATATGTGCAATAGTTAAATCTGTTCCTAAACTGGTTTGGTCATGTACTTTGGCTAAAGAATTCCTGTAATTTTTCAAACTACATTACTTTTTGCATTATAAGATTAGGGTTAAGTTTAGATTCAGACCACAACATACTTTTAGATTATTGTAAGGCTCATAGCAGACCTATCTGTTAAAGGTTGGTTTTATATTAGACTGTGAAAAAGGATTAGTTTTATGTTTTGGACTGAATTACATTAAGATTTGAGTCCTTTCAAGCATTGAAAATGTATGTGTTAAATAGCAATTTACAGTGTGAAGATATTAAACATCGTAAAACTGAACTTTGTGGTTTCAAATTTTTCATGATCTAATAAATTTCACAGTATCATCTTAAACAGTGGGTGATAAAAATGATCAAAAGCTGTTTTAGCTTGTAAGTTACAATTTTTGATATCAGAAATTCAAAATGTTAATTAGTTTTCGTTAGTAGGAAATATATTTTAGCATGAACGATTTCAGTTAACTTTTGTCAGTTTGTTTTAATGGAAGGAACACTTTTTACTAGTATAAATTAAATTCTAACAGATTAATTTTCCAAGTAAAAAATAATGTTAAGACAATGAAATTCTAATTATCATATGTTCAAAGTGATTTCTTGCTAGAAAATTAAAATTCTAAAGAAATTGAGAATATATATTAAAATCGCACATGAAACAATACAGTTTTCCCAAGCAAGAAATAGTCAAATTTGTCGAACGCCGACCTTTTTTAAATTAATGTCTGTGAGTTGCTATCTGAAACGACTTGGCTAGACAATTAAAATGGGGAAATGGGGAATTTTAATACGACAGCAGGTGGAGTTGGTTGGAGGTATCTGGCAACCCAGTTGGTCGTCACTACAGTAATGGCTGCGCCCTCGTGTTGGGCATGTGAATGAGGGAGAGTTTAATCAAACGCTTGACGTTACAACGTATTGGAGAGCTAAACCACCTGTGAGTACTGATTATATTTGTTTTGACTGCGTCCGAAAGAGTTAAAAACAATTAGTTATTAACTAGTTGAAGTGGATGATGTTATTTTAATGGATTAGCATAATGGCTAATGCTAGTTTGCCAAATATGTCCCTATTTGTGTCAAAATAATAAAAAAATATATATTTTAAGATAAAACTACAAGTTAGTTTCTAGTAGACCACCCTGCGTATTGTATGACAACTTTATATGTTTTTGTTGGGGACACATTTTTGAGAACTATTTTCGAGATCCTAAGCAGCAGCAGTCACTCACACACACTAGAGCAGTGGTTCTTAAAGTCTGGTCCTGGACCGCTTTCCTGCACATTTTAGGTTTTCACAATCCGTAAGTACACCGCATACAGCTAATGAACTAATCAGCGAGCCCTGCCTGAGGTAAACTGGAACTTAGAGACCCCCAGACAGTCTATATTTTTGCTCTATCCCCATCTGCTGTGAGCAGGGCTCAAGCAAAAATGTGGACCGTCTGGTGGTCCTTGAGGACGAGATTAAAAAACACTGCTTTAAAGAGAACCCTACGACAGTGGTCTATCCAGAACCAGGATTAGGAATCACTGCTGTATAATTGTTCTGTATTATTGGAATGTATTCAAAATTCAGAAATCTTAGCATTTATGAAGTAAATACTAAAATCAAACTTTGTATTTTGTTTAAGCCTGTTTTCAGGTATCCAGTTTACATTTTGTATCTTATTCAGTTTCATTCACTTATTTCATGTAACATTAACAATAATTTCTCTCTAGCAGGAAAAAAAGATGAAGACTAAGAATTCGCAGTCAAAGAAGCGCTTCAGATCTGCTAAAAAAAGAGGGATCCTGGTAAAGGGCAAATGGCAGACTGTCAAGATAGATCCCAGTGTTTTTGCTGATGAGGGCATGAGTGAGATAGTTTGCTTTGAAGAACTAACAGATTATTCCCTGATTGAATCCGAAAAGACAGCGACTGTGTCCCAGTTGCTACAGGAGCCTGTTGGGAGAAAGAAGAAGAAGAATAATAAGAGAAAAGCCTGTGAAATAGAAGATGATGATGATGAAGAAGAAACCTTTGAAGAAGCACAGGAAGAATTTGCAGAGCTGTCATCTGATGACAACATTGAGCAAGTGGATATTGTGGAGAAACCAGCTAAAAAGCGGAAAAAGAAAAAGAAGAAACCTAAAAGTGATGCTGCAAACCTTGAAATGAAACACCTGGACAATGATAAGAATATGGAGAGCTCTTCAGAAGGTTTGTCCAATTTGGCTGAAGAGGGGGAAGAACAGATTACAGCACAAACAACACTGAAGTCTAAAAATAAGAAGAAAAAGAAGAAACAAGAAAAATCAGCTGCAGAACAAACAAGGCCTTCTTCACAGGTAAAAGAGACTGATGTCCAAATAGGACCCATTGACAAGACTAAAAGAAAAACCAAGAACTGGACAGATGCAGCCCTCTCACACTCAGCAGGTCAGGACACAGATATATCTGCTTGGAAAGACCTGTTTGTACCAGCACCTGTTTTGAAGGCACTAAGCAAACTTGGATTTTCTGCTCCTACACCAATTCAAGCTCTCGCTCTTCCTCCTGCCATTCGAGATCACATGGATATTCTGGGTGCAGCAGAGACAGGTAAAAGAAGTCATACTGTTGTTGTTTCAGCAGAAAGCTATATCATACATACAGTGCCATCTATTAGTAATCGGGCAGTGACTGGTTTTTGATCATATGGGTCTGCACTCTATATTCTTCATTCGGTTGTTGGCTGGTCAGTTGTTTGTCAGCCAGCTGTGTGGTGTTTAGGGGTGGGTATCAAATCTCAATACCTTTACGGTACAGACCAAATTACTTTAGTTCTACTTATTGAAAAATTCAGTGTCATTTAGTATCAAGGTGTATAAATTACGTTCTGCCTGCATGTTAATATCAGCACTTCTTGACTAGCCTGCAGTCTGTTACGGTCACTAAATATACCCACGTCCAGCACCTTACACTCATTTCTGGTAGCAAAAAGTACTGAAATCAAGATATTGATATTGATAAAGTTTGTAACAAATCCCAGCCCAACCTTAATGTAGTTGCATCATTATTTGTACACAAGAGAGCTAGCAAACAGTCCAGAGTATATTCTGCATGCAGCTTTTGTATCTGTATTTGTATTGCTATTGACTGTTGTTCACCACCCTGACCAAATAAGTGTTAACAGCTGTTAAGCAGGACATTGTGAGGCTGAAAGATTAGAATTAAGCAATCAGAAGACATGACGAAAACATTGTGTTCATTATAAACTGTTTGACACACTGAATTGAAGCAAGAGTGCACTGGTAAACTGTGGTAGTCAGTCTCTCACTGCTTTATGCTGTTAATTGTTCAGCAGTTTTCAACCTTTCTCTTTCAACTCTTTCTCTAATCATTTCAGAATAACCTGATATTAAAATGTTCCTTGTATTGAAACAGGCAAAATATACACTTTGGTTTGTCTGTCATTGTAAACCTCATTGTCATTGCTCTACAGGAAGTGGGAAGACTTTGTCTTTTGGGATTCCGATGATCCACACAATATTAGAGTGGAAGAAAACCATCCACTGTAAGAATGCAGGGGCAGATGGGAAGTCTAACACAGAGAAGAACACTGAGCCAGGATTCAGCAAAGCAGCTGACATAGCAATGAGCACAGACAACAGTGAGGAAAACTCCAGTGCACAGGAAGAGGGCAATTTGGATGATGAAGATGAGGGGATCATATTGGAGTCAGCAGAAGATGGAGACGATGTGGATGGTCAGACTGTAGAGGAAGACGATGATGGTGATGATGACTGTGGTTCTGTTGATCAAAGTCAAGATGATGATGGCTTAACAAATGATGACGAAAGCATAGGCTTAGACATTAAAACAATGGGAGAAGTGAAAGAAGACTGTGAGAAAAAGCCTTTGCTTGGACTTGTTCTCACCCCTACCAGAGAACTCGCTGTTCAGGTCAAGCATCACATCGATGCTGTGGCACAGTTCACAGGTTGGTATCATTAAGTGCAGGTACTTATCAGAGTGGTTTGATTGGTATATCAGCACTAATAATGATCTCTGTAAACAGGTATAAGAACTGCTATTCTGGTGGGTGGGATGGCACCACAGAAGCAAGACAGGATGTTGAAGCGCAAGCCGGAGATAGTGATAGCGACACCAGGGCGCCTGTGGGAGATGGTTCAGGACAAGCACCCCCATTTACGCAATCTACGGCAGCTCAGGTAAGGTTGTGTGGTTGTAATGTTTTCATCGCTTCCCTCCCATAGCACATAGAACTAAGACATGATAGATGGTCTGATTTTTGCTTAGTTACTTCACCATTTAGAGGTGAAGTTGTTTCATATTTTATGATGTGTATGTTTGCCTTTTTATTCTATTTAGTATTATTGACTTTTCCATTGATAAAGTATAAGATGCAGTAAAAGTTGGCAGCTGTTAACAAAGTACAAAATAACCTCCTCAGGTGCCTGGTCATTGATGAAGCTGACCGCATGGTGGAGAAAGGCCATTTTGCTGAGCTTGAGAAACTTCTGGAAATACTCAACACCTCCCAGTTCAACCCAAAAAGGCAGACCTTTGTGTTCTCTGCAACGCTGACCATGGTCCACAGCTTGCCTACCCGTCTGCTGCAGAAGAAAGGAAAAAAGCTGGAGGAGCGCAGCAAGCTGGAGCTCCTCATGGAGAAAGTAGGAATCAAAGGCAAACCCAAAGTCATCGACCTCACCCGTAAAGAGGCCACAGTGGAGACGCTCACTGAGACCAGAATCCACTGTGAGAAGGAAGAGAAAGATTTTTATCTCTACTACTTTTTGATGCAGTACCCTGGGCGCACAATGGTGTTCGCCAACAGTATTGACTGCATAAAGAGACTTACGTCACTATTAACTATTTTGGACTGTACCCCACTGCCACTGCATGCTAATATGCACCAGAAACAGAGACTGAAAAATCTGGAGAGATTTGCAGAAAGGGAGAGGTAAGGGAAGAACAAGCAGTTCTGTATAATACATTGTTAAGCATTTTTTTACCAGTGCCTTCTGATAGAATTTTTTTTTTTTAAACAGTTGCGTCCTCCTTACTACGGATGTTGCTGCTCGAGGGCTTGACATTCCAGACGTTCAGCATGTCATCCACTATCAGGTAATATTTCAAGTAGATGTTTTGTATCTCTTCATTATATAAATTAATATTTATTTGTTAAATTTTTTTAAATCTTTCGTTTTGCTTTGGAATAGGTTCCCCGGACATCTGAGACATATGTCCATCGTAGTGGACGTACAGCTCGTGCAGCTAAAGAAGGTCTTAGTCTGCTCCTGATTGGACCAGATGATATGATGAATTTTAAGAAGATCTATAGGACTCTAGGAAAGGATGAGGATCTTCCCCTGTTTCCTGTTCAGAACAAATGCATGACAGCCATTAAGGTATTGGGAGAAAGAAATCACATTGAAAAAAGGGTGTAGCTCAGTTTGGAGACAGTTTCATTTTGTTTTTTTTAATGTACATTTCTGCAATTAAACATGTATTAAGAATTCATTTAAAACCAGTAGAGTGAAAATGTTTTGAACAGAGATTACTATTTCAGGATAGACTTTCTTAAGATGCAGAGTTCTGTGCCTAGATATTCTTCTTATAACTTAATTGGTCTGATTCTTTGTCATTTCTACAGGAACGCGTTGACGTGGCCAGAAAAATAGAAAAAATTGAATACCACAACAGCCGAGAGAAGCAGCACAATTCTTGGTTCAGACAAGCAGCAGAGGAAATGGATATAGATCTTGATGATGATCTTCTTTTGGGTTAGTAAAACGTATTCTACAATGCTGGTGTTACATTAGCTTATGTATAAACCTTTGTTATTTAGAAATAAATTGATTTATGGTTTTGCAGGAGCTGGCAGGGATGAGAATGAAGAACGAGAGCAGCAGAAGTTAGTGAAAGGCTTGAAGAAACACCTGAAGCACTTACTCACTCAGCCAATCTTCAAACCCCACATGAAGACAAAATATCCTACTCAGATGGGCAAGCTGCAGTTGCCAGAGCTACCCTTGGCCAACGAAACAGCTCTAATTAGTGTGACCAATCAACGGCATAAACAAAACCAGCAGAAGCGTAAAGGGAATCATTAATAGCTGTAATTATTTTGTTGAGGATAAATAGCTATAAAGGGCTTAAAAAAACATGCTTTTACAAAAAACCTGTGTTCAGTTTATATACAAATGATCTGTCTAATCAAATCTTTATGCTTGATTTTGTCAATTAAACTTAGGTTTATGTATGTAAAAAAAAAAAAGTCATTTTCTGGTAACAGCAGTTTTTCTTATAGACTGTGGAAAGGCTGTATAAACGTTTCTTGTATAATATAAAGCAGTCAGTGGTCTTCCAAATGTGGAAATTTGGTCCAAGTCCCTTTTTTAATGTTCTCTACACTTGTAGAGAATGTCGTAGTGTGATGTCTTGTAGAGAAGGTATAAAGAAGGTTGAGATCCTTCTGGAATAGTGTGGTATACAGGGTGGCCATCGCTGCCGTCCATAGATATGATACACAGACTAATGTCCAGTGCCTCAGACAAAGCCAGGATCTCCACATGATCACACTCCATTGCCATGGCTTCCACTTCCTGAGAAACCAAAGAGGCTAATGTCAGTGGTGAAGCTTCTCTAATGACTGTAGAATATGAAACACAGTAACAAGGCTGACCTGAGTACAGTAAGCTTTTAGGCTGGGGGCCTCCACAAAGTGCTGGAAGAAGTCTGCATGGTTCTGCAAATGTGCTGATGTGAGGAGCCTCAAGTACTTCACCATGCTGTCTGAGGTAGCCTGATCATTGAAAAACCCCAAAAGGGTCTCTTCACGATCATCTGCTTCCAGCTGATCCAGTACCCTGAGAAACTTGAACAATGCCACACTTTTAGGCTAATGCTGTAGTTTGTGGTTTAAACATTCAGCTGTAATCATGGAAATTATGTGGCTCAAAGTACTTACAGTGCTGAGAAGATCTTTAAACTCATTTTCATCAAATCCTGCTTTTAGAAGTTCTTCATGACTTCTCAACAGTTTGTCCTTAATTCTGAAAAATGTAGACACAACACAACATTAGCATTGTTTTAACAAAAGTGCCAGAGAATATTGCAGGGAAGTCATAAGCTGTCGAAGCATCAACTCACTCGATATACCTTTTCATGGCACTTTCATTGTGCACCAGTGTTTCTACAAGTTGGAAGCACAAGGCTCTGTAAAAACAATTTCCGTCTCCTTTTATTCTGCGAATAAAGCCAAACTGATGGCAAATGTCCTATGAGAAAGAACACAAAGTAGTTGAGACAGAACAAGTACCATCCTCTTAAAGTGAATGCTTACTGTTAAGACATGTAAGCCTCAATGTGGTGTACATTATAAACAAAGTAAAATACTATTACCCAAGAGAAAAACTTTGTATCATTTCTGTAGGACTTAGTCCAGTGCAACCATGTGACATCGCAGTGCGACAATGGCAACCGACCAATAGAGGTGTTTTGTTTATTATTTTTAAAAAATGTTTTATTTCTATCATACTTTATTTTAGTATTGGACGTGTAATATAAATCATACATGTCTTTGACAGTCAGGCTTCCCTTCCCTCCCAACTTTGTGCTTTCCAAACCCACCCTACCATAGGGTGGCATACCATATGTGATTTTAACCCGCTTATGTCCAACAACGCTGCTAGAAAAAACAGCATAGACCAGCATTGCTGGTCACCAGAAAAACCAGCATGTGTTGTGTTTCGGACGCTGGTATGCTGGTTAGCAGCAGTGGAAGCTGATAAGCTGATCACCACCAAAACCAGCATATGTTATGTTTTGATGCTGACATGCTGGTCAACCAGCATGACCATGCTGGGGTGACCAGCTAAACCACCGCAGACCATGAAATGCGTGCTGGTCTGTGCTGATTTTCCAGAAGAGAACACAAAGCTCGTTCTGACTGGTCAAAAGTGATGACATTTTGTATAGTTTTACTTTGGCCGAACATTAACAGTGGCTTTTTGAATTTCTTTTATTGTATATAATTTTCAAATTTCTATTCACAATTAAATAAAAAAGTGATGTGACCAAAACACTAAATGACGCATTAAGAACACACTTTTTAGACATATCTTTTAATCGAAAAAAATACCTCCAGATTTGTGTTCAGCAATGCTGAAAGAGCATATGGGCCACAGAAAATGTTACATTTTCAGACATGGACATCAATAGGTTAATAACAGCATCGCACACAGAAATGCATCGTACACATACCTGAGATTTTGTGGCCTCAGACTCTTCCAGTATCTGAGCTGAAGTTGCCTCTTTAACTGAGACTAACCCGGACTCGTCCATCTGAAACAGAGGGGTGCAAGTTTTCAAATTGATAAAATCTCGAACGTTTCATAAGAAACATCTCGATATGCCTAGATAATTCATGTTAATCGAAACGGCTATGAAACAATCTGTCGTGATAAACACTTCTGAAAGCTTCTATTCTGAGTTACCGTATTTAAACGCCTCGAAGCTGTGGTGAGCTAACGCTCAGTTGACAAAGCGCAGGCTGAGGTCCGTCTGCTGTATGTTCCATGCAAACCAGTCGACGCTTCCAGCCTTCCAGCACGCGCGCTTCCGAAACAGCTGCTTAAATTCAAATATCGTTTGAAGCAGCATTCTGGAACATTTCAGATGTGGTTAATAATTGTTGTCACAGTAACCGGACGTATGGAACAACCACGTGCCTTCCTTTTAAAGGGACAGAGGATAACAAAAGCGAAAGTAGCACAAGCTCGCGACATAAATTCATGAGCTCTGTTAAATTGAACGAGTTGATTAAAATAATAATAATAATAATAATAATAATAATAATAAGAAGAAGAAGAAGAAGAAGAATACATACATATTTACATATTTGTAATTTAAATATTTTGCAAACATGGTTTCTCCACGTTATGCAACGGCAGGGGGCGCTATAATTCAGTCTTTAATTCAACGCAAAGTGTACACGAGGGATCCTATTCGCAAGGCCAAAAAAGTTTATAAATCTTAAATCTTATCACCTTTCCATGTAAGATTATATTGTATGTTTAAATGCACAGTCCCATTTGCCAGCACTTTCAATCTGCTTTTAATAAACATCTGCAACATACACACTTCACAAAATTGGCTTTCAGCCTCATCAATGCAAAGTAAATATGAGGGATTCTATTAACGAAAGGCCAAAAAATCATATTGTTGTTTATAAATCTTAAATCTTATCACCTTTCCATTTAAGATAATATTATATGTTTGCACACAGTTCCATTTGCCAGCACTTTCAAACTGCTTTTAAATCACATCATCAAAATACACAGTTTACAAAATTGGATTTCAGTCTCATCAGCATTCATAAACATATCTCATTGTCTTGGTTGAGCTGAGCAGTTCACTCCTTCCACTGGCTTTGCTGGTACTCTTCAGGTGGACTTTACTGGAGGTGTTTCTGCTCAGGGCCGATCCTTTCCTTCCTCTGTCCACACTCCCCTTCGTCAGCTCTGAGCCAGAGTCTGTCAGTCGCAGTGCTCGCCGCTCCATGTCCGCCTTCTCCAGGATGAACTCCTGCAGAAATTGTTACAAGCAGGTTTAACTTTCAGTTCTGCCGTAATAAACAAAATCTTCATTCTATTCTTTGGGATACAAGTAATTAGAAAATAATATTACCTTCATCATATCCATCATAGTCAGCAGGCTCATATCTTCTAATGGTCCATAGTGTTGCAAGTGGCATTGCTGTCCAAGGTTTTTCACGGCTATCAAAAGACTCCCAATCTCTTCGACCTGACCACACAAAAATACATAAACATCAATACTATTATAGCGCAGAAGGACTCTGAATTTGTGCGATTGAAGGTCAGAAATCAGACCTGGTCACGGGACTGGCCCTGGTGTATGTGCAGGGTCATCTCCAGTTGTTTATTCTTCTCTTTGATTTGATCCCACTGGGTCTGCAGCTCTGACAGCTCCTTATTTGTCATCTGTCTCAGCAAAAAAGTACAGACAGTTTGATCTTGTCTAAGGTGTTACTTTCATGTGGTATACTGTACTAAAGGAAGCAACAGGCAAAGCATGCTGGCTGGTGATATATTAGCACTCTATTTGTTGAGCCTGTGACTTCACATAACACATATAACTGACTCTAAAGCATGATTAAATATCAATTCCTTATTTTTCCAACTCAATTCCTTATTTTTCCAATTTCAGAGTGCAACTGTGATATGTGTGTTTCCACATACCAGTTTGTTTGTGGTGTGCTCCTGTTTAAGTGAGTCTAGGCTGCGTTGGCTCTGGTCCAGTTCCTCTGCTAGGCTGGCCAGTCGCTGCAGCAGGTCCTGCTGAGTGATGGACAGAGTCTCGTGGCGTCTGATGATGGGCATTGCCAAAGAGTCTGCTCCATATTCTAGATAATCTGCACATAAGAACAACCAGTCCAAACCCCATCATTGACAGAAGGGAAGCTACATCAGGTTTAATGAGATATACAAATCACATCAAGATTAGTAATTTATAAGTTTCTAATGTGAAACAGACTTATATAGATTAATTACTTAGTCCAATTTGAAAGACAGAATAAAGTTATCTCTTACTGTCTGGGAGTAAATCCAGAATCTTCATCAGATAGACTTCATAAATCTTATATTTATCAACCCTTTCTTTGAGACGTTGATGCCTGTGGATAAATAAGCAAAAGAAAAAAAAATTGCAGATTCTACTTGAAACCCACGAGTTATGGACATTTTCAGTCTTGTCACAAATCGCTTACCTCATCTGAAGGTGCTCAAGTTGCGCAGATAGCTCTGATTTCTCTTCCTCCTTCAACTCATTCTGTTTTCTCTCTACCTGGTATTTCTTTAACGCACGGCGTCGCTTCACCTCATTTTCCTCCACAAACTTCTCAAATTTTTCTGCCCTCTCTTTTGTCTGAGGGAAAATTGAGGTTATACACCAAATAAAATTGCAATTTATATTTTCTGTGCGATCTAAGTGTTGATTTCTATTGTGTGTCTGATTAATACTGTTTCAAGATGTTTGTTGCAGTAGAACCTTGATAAGCATCAGGCAAAATTCACTGAAAATTCACTGGTTCAGAGTTACATCATGTGACACTAAAATGTCAACAGATGAACCAAACAATAGGAGCATTGAAATATGAGGAGGAAAACATGCTTTCTTAATCTTGAGGTCCACCTACTTCTTGCTGTTTGTGCAAAAGTTCTGCCCTTTTCTGCTCCAGGGCCTGCATGCGACCTTTGAACTCCAGTCGTTTCTGCATTAACTGCCTGTTCACTTCATCCACCTGCACCTGCTTCTTCAGCACTAGAGTTCTCTGAAGAGTGTTGACACCTGTGTCCAGTATTCTGCCGGAGGACTGCAGATTGATTTACAGCAGCACACAAAGTTAGTGCACATGGAAACTCTTTCATTAAAGGTGCAGCGTGTAAGATTTAGTGGCATCAAGCAGTGAGGTTGCAGATTGCAACCAACTGAATACCCCTCCCTTCCAAGCGTGTAGTAGAACCTATGGTGGCCATCAGGTTTTCTGTCATCGCCTGTCCCAATTTTGTTTTGCTTCTCCATGTTTTCACTTCTTTGTTGACAAGGATTCACCTGACCTTGTTTTTTCTTGTGTTGAATAATAAGTATGATTCTCCATTTGTCAAAATTTGAGTCCTCGAACTTCTCACAACACAAAATGGTTAGCCAGCACTGGCAGCAACCACTAATTCTTCTTTCTATGTCTTCCAACCGGTGCTATAGCACCACCAAATTCAAGCTGCTGCTTCAACATAAAAACACAACAGGCACTTTCTAGAGCCACTGTATGGTTTGTCCATTCTGGGCTACCGTAGAAACATGGCGGCGCGACATGACGGCCTCTGTTAGAAGATATGAAAGATATGAAGCTAACAAAAACACAATGATTTGAGTTACAGATAATTATACACTAACGAAACATGGAATGGTTTGTATACTATATTGCATTTCTGCGAATAGCTCCCCCTAAATCTTACACACTGTACCTTTAATGTACAGATCATAAATATGCAGTGTAAAGAAATCATTAACTTGAAACTGTCATCCAGATATTGGAACTTTCAAGTGAGAAGGAAAAGTGCATAAAGGTCAACAAAGTCATTATAGTCAGATTATTTATATGATTATGAAGCAGCTTTGTTTAATGTAAACTTACATACCTCAGTAATGACAGGAATGTGATTGACATTCTCAACATGTTCTGTGTTCTGAAAACTACAGGAGTTAAAAAGAAAGAAGCATTTATGCAAATGAGCCACACGCATTCCTGTGGTTGTTAAAAGGCAGGTCTGGCCTGCAGCTAGCAATGTTATGTGGTACTGGGTGTACTGTTTGAACTATAGACCAGCACAAAATATTTTGTCAGCAGTTGTGTTAAAAAGGTTGTTAAACTTTTATAATGTTAAATGTTCCAATAAATTCAAAATGGAACGTTAACATATTAACAGAAGACACATTTTCAGGCACTACTTATTTGATTCGACACACCACTGTATGGAATATGCGTTCTGTGAATCGCTACATCCGTAGTTTTCATCTATATGTCATCTATGTTTCATATATGCATATGAAATCGTACCTGATGTCCTCTGATTGCGTTACAAAAATATTTTTCAACCTATTTTCCACTTTCAGCTGCAAACGGGGGTCATCCTTATTCAAAAAAGGGAGAGATAATGTAGCCATTTCTGGGGAGGCCGCCAGCCTGTGTTCAGTCAGAATGTTAAATCAGAGGAGAGAAAAGTCCGCGCTGTTGAAGTCCTCTTGTAGATTTGTTACATTTGTCCCCTGCACTCGAACAAGAGCTCTCCGGTCAGCTCTTTCCGGGTTGTGTGTTGCACGTTACCGGGACACCGAGGCACACACACGCAGGCACGCGCTCTGATCAGCTCTTTGCTGTCATGGCAACTGTCCGGCAGGCGTTCTCTTCAGGTTAATGTGAATTTTCACTAAGTGGCCTGCGGGGGGAGACGGTGGGTTGATCTACACAGAGGACCACCGTTGACCAGCACGGGTCCCTTATAGTTTTTTTACCAGACCACCATTAACCAGCACAGGTACTGTCCCTTATAGATTCTCAAAGGGCCACTGTTACCCAGTGCTGTATAATACTTCTATGACAATCAATAATATTTTCATCTCCTATAATATTCCTGTTTTGCTGTCTTATGATGATCTATAATACTTGTGTATCCTGCTGTATACTATAACAATTACCTGAATTATCTTACAGGAATCCTGAAATTCCTCTAGAATTACTATAGATCTTTTTCATAAGGAGCGGTCCACCTGCTCTCACAGTTTGGTGTTTTCCTGCTCTAACATGCCTAGTACAGCAGTTATGAAATCATAAGATTTTAAGCATGGCCAAGTTTATAATCAACAATCATGAAAAAGGCATTTCAGAAACCACAACACTTCTACTGAACATATATAATAGTAAGCAATTAAGTTTAGCCTCCTCAAACACAGTTATACAGTAATGTGCACGGCTGGGGGTTCAGAGGCAAATGAAGCTAAACAATGTTAAGCATGTCCTTAAAAGGCATTTGTAGCTCAGTCAGGGCAGCTTGGCCTTGTCAGCTCAGTCAGGCAGTGAAACGGGTTTCAGATCCCCATCCACACGCACAGGGTGAGTACAGAATTTCCTAAAACTCCTCTTTCTTCTGCAAAGTATTAAACTTCTGGCTTTAAATGCTAACAGTGTAAATGTGTACAGTTGCATCCTCATATCTACCAACTCCTGGGCTGACTGTGCTCTGTCTTTTAAAACACTAGAGGTGACAATGGAAAAAATGTAAAACAAGGCATTTGTAAGGCTCATGTGCCATCTGTACTTTGTTTACCCTCACCACATCTGTACTACTGTACACTAAAAAAGGGTGATGCATTGAATTTACTTGTGTAAAGTATGTATTCCCATCAAACATAATAATTGTGTTGTGTGCAAATTGAGTTGATATACTTTATTCATGTGAAAATGATGTACACATTTGTGTGAAGTAAATTCAGTGTATCACTTTTTTTAGTGCATATGAACAAGCTGTACTGGACTTTATAAGTGCTATAACAGATATGACATTTGCTTGAGGCTGCTCAAATAGTATCATGGTCATTTGGGATTAGCTTGAGTTTGATAAAGAGTTTGATAAAGAAATAAATTCTGTGATATAAACATTTTGTGTGTTTTAGCAGGTGACATCTTGTAGAACTCTTGTTGCATTTTAACATATTCCTGTCATGTGCCCTAATTCATGATTGTATTCATTCAGATCAAAGTTGTTTGGACTGCCACACAGACACAAGGACCACCACTGCAGCATTTCTCAACAGCCTTGCAGCTTCCCCACTAGATCAGCTCAGAGTTGCTCCTTATGGCAAGGTAAGATTTTTTTTTCCTTGATATCATGGAAAAAGTGCGTGCTTAATGTTGTATGTAAATAAGCTTGACGCTTTAAAAGGCACCATTCACTCATCAGTCCATGCAAACCAAGCTGCAAAAAAAGTCCATTGCTTATGTGATGTCACGAAAAACATATAGTCATCTATTCAGCATACAGCAGTTTAGCCACGCCCATTCACGTTGACGTTGTAGACGTAAAGCAGGGCAGCCAATCAGGACAGGCGTCACTTGTCGTATATCAGACTTAAAGGCATAGTAACAAACACAAGCCAGGGCCAGGTTTCTTAATCGTTTCGTAGTATTAAGATCATCTTAACTGCTACAGAGAGTGTTTAATGTGATTCTGCTCTACCATTTAACACTGATCTTTGTGCTAAGAGGCTTCCGGGAAGCCCAGCCCTGTTTAATTCTAGGTGATAAAGATAGGTTAGAAAAAGGCCACATAAACATGAATTATGTTTTTGGTACATAAACCCACACACACGTCATAAGCGGACCTCAGGGGAAGAAGATAAAATACAAGAAAAGAGTATATATGGGCCCTTTAATTCTGAAGTTACAACCCAGTTTCCCAGCCCTGCCAATCAACATGTCTGTACACACAGTAAAAATAATATGTTTTATCATGTACTGTGTACAGGTTTTAAAAACTAATTCAACTTCGGAGGTCTGTATACACAGAGGCCATGCTGCTTCATGGCGTTTACTCTAGCTTCAGGAGAGGGGTCTAATTATGGGAGGCTAAGGATAGCTGGGAATCTGTTATCAGTCCAATCTGAGTCTGTCCGGCCTACTTCCAAAAATGACATTAAAAAAAAAAACAGAAGGAAAGAAAAAAAAGGGGGGGGGAAGAGGAGGAAAGAATATGAAAAACCATTTGACCTATGAGTTAATTGCAGCGGCAAATAGATTCATTTCATTTTCGTTTCTTTGGGAGGATGCCAAGTGCTTGTGTGGGTCAAATGTACTTCAGGTTTAGTGCACGGTTTTGTTTTGGTTTTTTTGTGCCTCTTTCTCTGGAAGTCTCCATGTAGGAAACATGCCACTTATGCCATTCAGCCTATCTGAAACCTTTAGCATTCTGGCCAAGGCGATTAAATTCCCGTGTAGCCTGGGCTAACAGAGACAAAACACAAACAGCACGCCCACTGCATGATGTCATTTCGATAGCCGAACGTTAAAAGCTGCCGCTAGCAACACAAAAGCGTCAAACCTGTCGAGTGGTTGGTCATACATGGTAATCCTCAACGGCCTTCTCTGCTGCCTAAAATTACCACAGAGAACAGCTGAGCCCTTGATGACTGCTCGCTCTCCCCCTCTCTCGCGCGCTCTCTCTCTCCCTTTCTCTCTCTCTCACGCGCACTCTGTCGCTTGCGTTATAGTAACAGCCTCATTTCACAATGACACGTTTTAGTTACGCGGAGTATTTTTCGTTGTTTCATGCAAGCGGAATGAAGAGCAGCTCGGCGCTGGCTGTGCTCAGCCAGTGTTTTGACAGTGGAGGGCGACGAGGGAACCTCGGCGACGTCACCTCAATCCCCCCAGAGTGAGTGTGCCTTTGTTATGCTGTTGTTTCAGAGCAGAAGTGGGTAGAACAGCCTAAAACCACAATGCATTAAGACGATTCTTCCTGCAGTCAAATAATAATATATAAGATATAAAAGTTAAGTATTCAGTGCAGCGTGTCAGCACAGGAGGTGAATTTTATGTGCAATTCTAATCTATTTTTATTACTGTCCACCTCTGCTTAATTCTTATTCTTATATTTGCATTATGCAAACAATTTCAGTTAGTCTTATGAGGCAAATGCAAAAACAGAGCATTTACTTCATTGAAACCACCCTGTCTCAGAGCATAACAGAGGATTAAGTAAGATGCCAGTAGCTCAACATTCATTATCAACAAGGTTATATCCTCCTTGAGCCATGTAGGTCAACCTCACACCTACATTTGCGATAAATTTAGTCATGTGTCATTTTCAGGATGTGCACAACAATGCAATTAGGCCTACGCGTTGTCTGTTTCACAGGGATGTAGAGCCCATGATGCTGGCTATTAGAAAAGGTGATGTGCAGACCGTGTCTGAACTAGCCGCATCTACATCATGCATCCAAACACAGATGGAGGACTGGACAGCTCTGCATGAAGCAGCATACTGGGGACAAGCCGGCTGTGTTAAAGCTCTACTTAAAGGTGAGCATACTTATGCAACATGTATAGAAGCCTAAAGTCTTTCTCTTCCTTGAGTATCAGACCCAGTTAACTTAGGGAAGCTGGGGACTCGGAGCCACAGGATGTTTTGCTCTAATCGTTTCTACGGAATTCTAGATGGGAGGATAAACTTGCTGTACGAGTTTAGCCGCTGTTATGATTTAGCCCAGCTATGATTTGGCACGTGTCATGCAAGGTAGATAAGTGCAAACTAAGCATAGTGTATGTGCATTTTTTTCCTTCGCCCAGCGAAACCCACTTCAGTAGATAAGCGCACGCTCCAGGAGCAGACCGCTCTTCTAATTGCGACTGATGGAAAACACCTGGACTGTGTGAAGTGTCTTCTGGAGGCAGGAGCAGACCCAGATATCAGCAATAAAAACAAAGAGACACCACTATATAAAGGTACCATATACACGTTTATCTTATCTCTTGTGCTGCATATGCATGAGAGAGTGAATATATATATATGTAAGCATTTCTAAATGAAGGAGTATTTAGGGTGTGTATGTTTAATACTCTGCACCCTGTATCTCCAGCTTGTGAACAGGAGAGCATTGACATAGTGAGAGTGATCCTAGCGTTTGGAGGTGCAGTGAACCAGCGTTGTCATCGGGGGTGGACAGCTCTCCATGAAGCAGTGAGGCGTGGAAACACAGAGCTGTGTGAGACCCTCCTTCAAGCTGGAGCTGCCATCGATCCCCCCAGCACCTATGGTATCACTCCACTCATAGAGGCTGCTCGGCATGGGAGGACAAAGGTTGTGGACTACCTTACCCAAAAAGGTACACTGAAGATATTCATGCCATTTCGTGATCATTAGCAGGCTGGCGGGCATCTCAGCGGGGGAGGAGGAAAACTGTGATATTCGTCAGCAGTTGTGTAGGGTTGGTAGCAGTAAGCCGGCAATCTGCAGGCAGTGTTTATCTTCAAAGTTTCATCATCTGATGTGGGTGACTGATAAAATGCCACTATAAGATTCCAAGCATTTTCTATAAATGCAGCACATACAGTCATATGCAAAAGTTTGAACATCCCTAATCAAATTAGATTTTCTTGAATATCTAAGTGAATATAGGTTAACATCCTCTACAGGAAGCAAACGTAAATATGGCAATGTTCTTCTAGTTTCAAAATGTCATAACAGTTACATAACAATAACAGTTTAACATGTTAAAAAAGGAAAAAATATATATAAAATACAACTTTACGATTGCATAGGCCACAGTTTTATTTTTTGCAATATGCTAAATTCATCAAATAAACCATACATCCTTTGAAATAAAGGTATGAAATTGTCACTGGGGCAGTACCCCTCTTGTCACTGAGGTGGTACCCTCAAGGGTACATCTCAGTACCTTTAGCTAGGGAATATAATTGTCCCATAATCGACTGAAATTATATTTTCTAAGTTGAATTCACTCCACACACCCCGTCTCGTCCCCAGGCTTTTTATTTTAATGTTCTTTTTTAAGTCATTAGGTTATGAAAAGCTATAAAAAGGTGCTTTTCACTCAGGAAAAACTTATTTAAGGTACACAATTGGACCTTAAAAACACTGTTGTACCGTGAAGGTACATTGACATTGTTTGTACCTTGATGAATTAAAAATGTACCTGCACATAACCGTTATTTCTAACAGTGTAACCATGCATTAAAATGTGCAGAAGTGTGTTCTCTCTAGAGGATATGTACTTATTATGAATCAACAAAACATGTCATTTGGCCATGGTGTCCAAATACGACTGTATAGCAGTGAATCAGAAACTGACAGATGAAAGCAGCTGTATCCATATCTGACATTTTAAATTTCCTTTAGTCCAAATGTTCTGAGCTTGCCAGAGCACAAATCTGAAGAAAACACTTGAAACTGATCAAACCACCTTTGAATTTTTAATGTAGTTTAATGTAAAAAGTTTTTTTCAAAGTCATTTTGAACTACTTAAATTAGTGCGTTTGCCAGGAAATCTTCACACAGTGTAAAGGACAGCAGACATTTTAAAATTCTTTAAAAAATGAAAAATGATAGAGATAGACGCTTTTGCTGCAACAGCTACAATAAAGGTATTTGTATTAACATGTTTTGAAACTGATTAAGTCTATCAGATTGCCATGCCCTGCCTATCTTCTCTTTGGCTGTGTGTAAGAATATGCCATCTGGCAATGGGTGTGTTAGCTGTTGTAGTCTGATAAGACATAACTAATGGAAGAAGGGTCGTGATAGCATGCCTTAACTGACACAGTGTAGCTAATAATAAGTGAGAGAGCCAACGGGACATATAAAGCCATTTCCATTTGTGTCACAAACACCGTAGCAACATGCAAATGCCTCTTTGTCATTGATAAGTGTTCCTCTAAATAGAGATGAATGTCAACACCCTGGCAACACCAACTCTTTTTTTATCTGTATAGGTGCGAATGTAAACCTACAGTCATGTGAGGGAACAACAGCTCTGAGTGAAGCCAGTAAACAAGGCCATCTAGCTACAGTAGAGCTTCTGCTCAGACACCATGCAGATGCTAACAAAGCCTCCAACACTGGGCTTCTGCCTCTGCACATTGCTGCCCAGCATGGACATAAAGAGTAAGTATAATAGTGTACAACCTAGGAATCATTACAGAAGCTGCCAATATAATGCAATTTTAGTAATAATGTGCCTTACTGGGTTTTCTCAGAGAAGTACCCCTCAGGCTGCTGGACAGCTGTAGTAGAGCCCATTATTGTCTCTGACAGCTGTATGTCGACAATGTGACATAAATCAACAGTAGCAGTCAGGGGAGACATGAGGGTTGAGGATAAAGGGGGCCAAGGGGTCAACAAAGTACATTATATTGACAGTGCCTGCTGTGTGACAGGTGATGCAAATAAAGCATTTGCCTATGGCAACTGCCAATAGCCATCCTTTTTTGTGAACTGCACTAAGGAGCTTGCCTTTCCTTTTTTTCTGATAGTAAATATAAACATACACCGATCAGTTTTGTTTCTACGCTCATTGTCCATTTTAAAAACTCCAGCAGCACTGCTGTGTCTGATCCACTCGTACCAGCACAACACACACTAACACACCACCACCATGTCAGTGTTACTGCAGTGCTGAGAATGATCCACCACCCAAATAGTAATTATACAATTATACCATTATATATTTAATTACAAGCTAGTTATACAATGAATAACATTTACATTCAATTTACATTGTGTATCGACATGTTTGAGTCTGCATTTCTGACATTTTTATTAAAATAAATTAAATACGACATATCAACAAAATTATATATTAAGTATTAATATTAAAAAAAGTTATATTGACAGATACAAACACAGTGCCAATTGAACATAAAGAATTCACACTTTTGGCAAAAATTTCAACAGTTTGAATGAGATACAAGGAAAAATATTAATCTTGTTATACCATGATTTTGTTATCACTGCCTATAACTGAAAGGGTTCTAGGGGCTAAAATCTGGCCTTTAACTGAATCTCTTTGTCAACACGCAACATAACTGCATGGAGATTTATCCTATGGAAGAAATCAGATTGAGTTAATCCTAACTTTGTTATCTTGTTATTTACAGGATTGTCTCCTTGTTGCTGCCTGTCACAAGTCGAGCTAAGATACGGCAAAGTGGGATCACACCTCTCCATCTGGCAGCTGAGTTCAACCATGAAAATGTTGTGTCTTTCTTGATCAGTTCTGGCTCTGACGTAAACACAAGACTGTCCGACCAACGATCATCCTTATTCCATGACCATCGTACTACAGCTCTTTACTGTGCAGTGGCAGCCGGTAATGCATGTATCGTGGACACTTTGCTCAAGGCTGGTGCAAACCCCAACCTGGACCCTCTCAGCCCACTGATGGTTGCAGTGCGCCAGGGTTGTTTCAGGACTATTTCCACACTGGTGGAACATGGGGCAGATGTTAATGCTCGCATACCAGCCCATCCAACAGATTTTCCAGGAGTGCTGTTGTGTACGCATCATTTGGGAATTTTACATTATCTATTGGACAATGGTTGTCAGGCACAGGATTGTTTCAGGTGTTACCATAAAGAAACCAGGCAGCCTTACATCATCAATCAGAGCAGAAGGGAAGACACAGGGCAAAGGCTTCACACAGTGATGGCAAACACAATTCCATCACGAACAACCTGCTCAGAATCAACCACCAGAAATCTACAGGTATGAACAAATCAGATAAAACAATTATGCACTAATGCTGTTAAGATTGTAGTTTTATGTATACCTATAAAGAGAATTTAGGCCATTTCAGTCACAGCATTCAACTAAAAAGGATGTAAACTCACATAAACCGTACAAAATGGATATAGAGTGAGTATGACACAAAATCTTTAGATTCATTTGAAGAGATGTTAATAACATTTTATAGTATTACATTTAGATGACTTAAACATTTTACTTTTCTCTATAATGATTCATATGTTAAAATGTTGTCAAAGCCAATGTTGCAGCATATGTTTGATATTGTGTAGTTTCTTGTAGATTTTGTAAGGCATTTAACCACTTCAACCAGGACTGCCTAAAGCGTGGCCTGTGGGTCAAAACTGGTTTCTGAGGACATTTGATTTGGCCCGCCACAAAATTGCCCTAACAAAAAAGAACAGATTTTTATAGTATATATAACTTATATTCTTATTTTCCCTTTATAATTGCATTTTTGAAGTATTTAGTAAGTACATATAGTTACATGTTATAAAATGCATTTTAAAAAACTTTATTCATATATTGTTTTGTCCTTTGGCTTTTGGGCCACCCCAAATGATAGGCCTCATTCACCAATATCTTCTTAATTTTTTTCTAAATTTGTTTTTGAGAAAGGTCCTAAGAAAAGATCTATGTCAGATTTGTGACTTCGTTTTAAACTGCAGAACTGTTCACACCTTTGTGCTCTTGAGTGTGTATATAGATTCTGCTCTTACACAAGAACAAATCCCAAAAAAGAAAACATGGGTGAATGTCAGAATCTTGGTGAAAACTGTGAAAGTGCAACTGCATAAGGTAAAAGAGGCCCATTGCTCTTTGGCCCCCAAACAAAAAGGTTGGGTACCCCTGCCTTACACATTAAGGACCTGTTAGCAGGACTTATCTTCCTCACATTCGTAACTATGTATATTACATATTAGTTTTGTAGTAATTACTGAATAATTCATAGTAATTACCTGGTAGTAAGCCTTATGATAAATAAATGAATTATAATCCTTTTTAAGGGTTTAAATGAATTGTTCTTAATGATGAGTTTAAGGGGTTAAATAAATTGTTCTTAATGATGATGGTGCACCATGATCTGGTAAAACGTTGCAAAAAATGCATTTTGTTGCAAATATCTGATCTTCTCAAATGCTTTAGTTTACTTACAAAGTGTACTATAACATGTAACTGTTATTTTTATTCATTCTTTTAATAACACTCAAATGGTCAGTGGTATTCTGTAAAATTGCTGCTCTAAACCATTACCTAGATTGAAACAAGCATGACTTACAAGATGAACTAGTCAAAAACCTTGATTTAGCAGTATAACTGAACATTAATTGCATGTTTTGGTGAATGAAGGCAATATTTCAGCACATTTTCAATAACGTTTTATCGTTTTAATGCTTCTGACATAGCTCTGAATGCTTGTGCCTCTCTTGTCCCAACCTCAGTTTTGTGAATGGATCTCCTCTGCCTCTGTGTGTCATATGGCAGCACCCCTGATCAGCCTGCTTCTGGACTATGTAGGGAATGTCCACCTGTGCTGCAGAGTGACTGAACAGTTAAACAGCAAAGAAGAGTGGATTGGAATTAAGGAAAAAGCATGTAAGTAAATGGTGTCTGATCTCTAAAATTCTGATTTGTGCATGCTCTCAAGGACATTCCTTTTAATCTCATAAAGAGATGATGTCCCCTACCTCTCTGTGAGGCTCATCTAACATAGCATGGTCAATCTACCATTGACTTACAGTCATTGTGCTTTGACCGTTGACCACTGTGCTTTGACCTCCACAGTGTCTCCTCGTCCACTGATGCACCTTTGCAGGCTGAAGATTCGTGAGCAGGTTGGTGCCCACAGACTGTCGTCCCTAAATACTCTTCCACTACCAGGCAGACTACTCCACTATCTGCACTGTTCACAGACCAGCACTAGAGAATACCCAGACCTCACGCTTGGGTCAGCTCAAACGCAACGTGCAGGACCACAAAGATACTTATGATGCCTTTCTCAGGTGTGGCAGTTTCTACACCAGTAAGACTTTGGTAAAAATGAGGCAATGGGAAGAGTTAGAAATGCTGGAACAGGTGTGCATTAGGGAACATCTATAAATGCTGCTTGTGATACTGCAGGTTATATTCCAATGGTGCTTTCTGGTAAATGTGTACACATTTGCATTATTATTTGAAGGTGGGGATTCTTGGCATTCCTTTGTAAGGTAGAAAGTGATTCGGCGGTCAAACAATCAGTAAGTCCAAACTCTAGGTGCTTCTAATTTATATGGAACAGTAGTAATAAGTAAACAGTTGCAATTACCCAGTGTCCTTAGTAGTCTATAATTTGCAAGTAAAGATGTATACAGAAGTATAAATAGCAAGTAAAATTGCCAAACGCTGTCTATAAGAAATGCACTAATTACACTGGGGAACACAGCTACTGAGTGGACTTCAAATGTGTTTTGACTGAGAATTGAAGAAGAAAATGTATTACTTGAAGGTCTCTTCGTTGTAGATGATATAGTATTGTTTTATTGAGTGTGTTTGTGTTCAATGTGACATAAAATGTGGCCAAAATGAGTGTTAGAATTGATCAGTTATACAAAACATGAGTAATGTGGGCAGGAAAATGTGCAGAAAAGTGTTTGTTAAATGTGTTGTTGTTTGTTTGCTTGCCTTTTTTGTCTACAGAAAGGATGAATATTACTGCATTGATTGAATCTGGCTTTATGCTTTAAATTTAACACAAAATGCATGAGAGTGATAAACAAAGGCTTACTGTAGTGGTTTAAATATGCACAGTATCATGTATCAGTACAATGGATGCCACAGAGAACAAGAGTGTGGAATTAAACAGCGATTCTTTAAGTGTTTTGCTGAATGTAAATCATTTGAGGTAGCACATTCTAATCATTGTGAATAAATCAATGCTTACAAATAATCCAAACTCTTAACAAGACCTGACCTGTATTGAGAAATGTAACACACATACATTCCCTGAATATGATACAAACGCATTCTGTACTCTTAAATGACTACAGCATGATGTATTAGTTTAAGTCAGTGCTATCATCAATGAGGTTAATATTAGGCATGAATTACAGCTTCTAAAACAGTCTCAGGGTAAAGCAATGACGTGAACACCTTTCCCTAGGTAACATAAGCTACTAGCTTGATTTGAGTTTGCTACATTTATTTATTTGTCATTATTTGTCATTTAAGTGCTTCATCAGAAATGGGCAGGCCTAAGGCCTATTTGTGAAAAATTAGACATTTAACCCAATGCGGGAATACAAACTTAAAGGGAAATTCTACACATTTTTACAAAATTATGCATAATTAAATGTGTAAAGAAATTTAAAGTGTAATGAAAGTCAGTTGAAATGGTTTGATGTGAAATTTTGGAGAAACTTACATAGTCAGAATTGTTTATAGTGGTGTCGATAGGAACCAGATGTCTTTAGTATTCAGGTACATCACAGAAAGCTATTAAACGGTTCTGGTTATGTGACCTGATGTCTGAGACACTGTTTTATTATAGTGTTTAGATAAAGATTTGGCCTAAAATTAAAAAAGCAAAATGGTGCCCAAATAAAACTTTTTTTGGATTTCCCTCTGTTATGCCATTATCAATATCACATATAAAACGATTTAATAGTCATTTTGGATAACAAATTGGTAAGTTTCTCTACAGTGTACCATTTCACATAAAACCACCCCGAATGACCTTTTTTACATCTCAACAATTGAATAGAGCAGATTTTTTTACATCTGTGAAATCCTCCTTTAACTCTCTGGATATCCGTTTAAAATATTTACCCATCATCTCAGCTAATAACAGTTCAGTTTACACTCAAACAGTCGCGCTGAGACCTAAATGAAGCCGAACACACTGAAAATGGAGGCTGAAACCGGTTTGGTGGGAATCGGCTTGACCACCACGTGTGCTGTGTTGTTTTTAAGACCGTCCGGTATTTTTTGCATCTCCAAGTCAGTTCCGTTTACTTTCGCCCTGAGGCCCACGTGGGTGAGAGTGGCCTGGGGCAGCAGGAGGTGTGTGTGCGCGTGTGTATGGAGAGCCTGGCTCCCGCGGTACTGGAAGGGACTGCAGCCGCATGTGAAAAACACACTCAGCGGCTCCAGGTCCGGGGAGCCACGCCGAGCAGACGGCAGCAAGTTAGCCTTTCGTTCGTCGTAAATCCTGGCGCTTTTCTCGCCGTCGGACTCGTACGCGTGAGTTCCCACGTGCGAGTTCCTCTTCCAAGCGTGATGAGAGCACGGCCGCTCGCCGTGAGAGGAGCGGGGCTCTTCCCAGAAAGAGGCCGGGAGCTGCCGCTTGCGCATGGGCACCTGGCCCGTCCGCTGAGGGTCCTCCGGGTCCGGGTCCAAATCCAGACGCTCTGTGCGCGGCTCTCGCTTCCCATTCGCGTGGGAAAGAGATGCAGCGCTCTCCTGCGTGAGCGGGGCAGGTTTGTCCTCGGTAACTTTGGGGACAGAGTCGGTGACTCTGTGCGCATGGCACCGGGGCATCCGGGAGCACTTCTGCGAGAAGCGCTTCAGCTGTTTCTGGAGGTATTTTCTGTGGTCCACGGAGCGTCTACACGGGGCTGATTTGTCCAAGGCTGCCTTAATGTCGCTGGAAGCCAAGTTCACGAAATTTAGTAATGTTTTCACCTCGCTGTCTGAGCTTGCCATCTTTTATTTATGGTTATTATTTTTTTTAAAACAATTTGGTGTCTTTTTAATCCATTCCGCTGAAGCGCTCCAACAAACTTCACTCTGCATGAAGTAAGAAAAACATCCTGTAATTTATCAAGGGAAAAGGAAATTGACAGTTAATGATGATGATGCTCAGGACGTAGCATTTGATTTATCACAGCAAAAGACAAAAGTCCACATCATGAATACTCTATGAAAATCATTATTGAAATTATTCGTTGTCACGCAATAATTAATAAAAACAGTCAGTGATATTGCAACAAGAACCTGCGATTAAAAAACCTCCAATAATACACCAAAATAAAACACTAATAAAACTCACTATTTTTGGTGAAGCGTCTAGCTTTGCCCCTCTTTCTCTCTCTCTGGAACGGTTTAACCACTTGAACGAGCTGAATGAATATAAACTTCGTGTAGTTATGGTGCTTTTCTTTGAGCCAATCAGCGACCTCAGTTCCCCCCACAGCCACCCAATGAGCTGAAGCGTTCCCTGCTATCGAATTCTTTACCCGCGCAAATTGTTGTCATGGCAATCCCTAAGAAAAGAGGCTAATAGATGCTATATTTCTTTGTAGCGACCGTTGTCTCATTTCCCCGCACACTCATTGGATCCCTTCAAGACAAACTTTGCTCTTTTTGTATTTTTCCCCCACTTAAAAAGTATATATATATATATATATATATATATATATATATATATATATATATATATATATATATATATACAGCCCACAAACAGTTAGCTAGTTAGCTACATAGCTTAAACATCAAACGCTTGGTAGGCTGTAGCTAGCTTAAGTCTGTGTCCACTAGCTGGGGAGCTGGCATGCTTCACCGCAACAGGACAATAACAAGCTTTTAGGGTTTCGTTCAGGCTACTTTTAACTGTTCTGATCTAAAGTTCTCTTCTCTACCTAAGAGTGATGTAAGGAAAAGTAGGATTTGGGGGGGTGTCTAAAGAGATGTGCGCATAACCATGGAAAGGGGGCTTGAACGCTCAAGAATCTTGTCTTTCTGTTTGCCCCCTCAATCGAGCACCACAAAAGCTGAATTACTCATTCAAACCTCGCGGGACAAAAGGGAAGGAGCTGGATAGCACTCCTGCATTTGTAGTCAAACATTTAGAGACTTAAATCGAGTCGTCATGAAGGAGAAAGAGTTAGACAAAGCCCATAGAATTGCCATCAGCAAACATTTTCCTGTGTCATATTAGTGGGGTCTCCATGACTCCTTCTGGCCCGGGGACAATAGCACAAGTTTGCACACTCGAATACTGTCACCCTGCCAACGCCGACAAGGGCCAGAAACAGGACAATCCCTGCAGAAAGCACGGGCTCCGCGGGGAAGGTCGCAATAGAAAAGGAAAAAGGGACTTGTGAAATGCTAATTGAGCTCCGTCCCACATTGAGAGGGGGGTAAAGAGAGCAGGCTACCTATCGTCCCGTTGAGCCACCTCCTCCTAGCAGAGCGGTATTAGTTGAGAGGAGCAGTTGTCTGGACAGCACACTGCAAAGCATGCCCAAGCACCTTAGCTTCACATGTTGAGGCCTAAGCACAAAGCCCACGCACAAAGCATCAGTACACATTTAAATGTTTTTAGCACATATAATGGAAATTTGTGTATATGGTGTATTGTAAGTCATCATGGATTATTTCCATTATAGAAAAATACAAAGCTTTTTTAACAACCTGATTATTACACTTGACTTCTCTTTCGGACAAGAAGCAAGGACAAGTTAGTTTCATTGCTGTTTTCTTAGTTGTGTAATTGTAATATAACAGAAAAACTGTGTCTTCAGGCCACAATAACCAACACCGAGACCACTTATTGAGAATTAATAGAGTGCATAATGAAGTATACCCTATACAGGGTGTGTACCCTTTCTGGTGTGCTTCAAGAACACTATGTGTCAAAGCAGATCCTAATATCTAAACTGTAGATGCGACAAGGACATGGTATTTACAGCCAACTGCTGCAGTTGGCCGGAGGTTTTTATTACTTATCTTCGTCCACTGGCCCTACAGCTCAGACTCTTTAATGGCTGCAGGACTCCATTGTCATTCTCTTTTTCAGTTCTCACCACTCCTCTGTCCATCTCGAAAGGCCAATTAAACAATAGCATACCCCTCCCCTGGCCGCCTGCCTCACTCCTGCTCTTTTGAAGTGACAGAAAAAGAGGGAGGAAAGAAGAAAATACGATGGGCTAATAAACCCCCAGTGTCGGCTTCTGTCTCTGACAGCCTGAAGAAGATGGATGGTTGGATTGTTGGACAGATGATTGATTTATCTGCAATTGAAAGACATGGTATGTAAACCTGGATGGGACTAAAATAAATATTATAGTTATGCTTTACATGCCCATGTATGATCATGCTTCACATCAACAATTTCTCAAGAGCAAAAGTAATGGGTGTGTAGGAGTAGGTATGGATACTTATGGTGTATAAGTACACTGAAAAAATTATTTTAAATGATTTGGATTAAGCCTCATGCTTGACTAAATTTCAGCATACCATTAGAAATTCTTTAGTCTTAATCTGGGTTTGGGACAGTGTCATTATGTGTAATATTTCTCTCTATATACTCAGTGACAATTATTCAAAACAGTTGTCTATAAATATATTCACTGAATCAACACCAACACTTTGTAATTCAGATCTAAAGAATTAAACCAGGCCTATTAATGGCTGAAAGTATTCCAGATCTTTGCGCTAGCACCGGCTTAAAAAGGAGCAGGTGCCAGTACAAAAATATTCATAGTACTAAAATATGCATAGCAATAAATTGATAAAAGGAGTGAATGTCTACACCAAGCACAAATACATGTATAATCAGTGGTTTTTGTGAAGTTGTAAACCGTTGTATTCATGCTGCTATTTTTATGTTGGGCAACTGTCTGTCCACCCTAAATGGCCTGCATTATCAGTGATTCCCACTAGAGGGCAGCAGTGATTTACTAAAATAATCCTTTCCTCCTTAACAGTGCACTACAACACACAGAATGCCTGTATAATTGTGTTATCCCATATCAGTAAATTCAGCAAAGCTGCACTCTTGTAGTGTTTTGTAGTGTTATGTTACTTCAGTACAGTTACATCAATACAGCCTTGGATATAACACACATAAATGTATATTTTCTGAACAATTTCTAATTTAGTTTTCTAATTTAATTTATTTCAAAAGATCCTAAGATCTTGTATGATACAAGAACAGCCTCAGAAAGCAAACATCAGCACATATCTCCTCCAGCATATGTAGTTAAAGGCTAATGACATTCTCATGGACCCTGAGCCACAGATGGTACGTGGCAGACCTCAGTATTGCTAAGCACTGCTTTTACCAGGTACGTCCTCTGGGGCGAAATAGGATCAGGCTGATGCAAGACCAGGAGTTCTAAATGTCAGGTCTGCCTTAGTTTATCTGTAATAACATAAAGGACTGGCAGCTCTGTTATTCTCCCTCAAATGGCACTTGTACCCTTGGGCTAGCATTGTGCAGCGAACATGTCTACGTGCCACCACATTCAGGCTTAATCACTCACACCACTAGTTTGTGAACATTTTGTGAGTATGTGTGTACAAAAAATCTAAGACTTTTCAATTCAGATATGATATTGAAACTGTGAAGAATATGGTAGCTATGGCACGCTATCTATTTAAAATCATTCATTATCTGTTATATGCTTGAGATCTGAGAGGAGTTCTTGTAAGAAAATCACTAAAGGCTGAACAATGTTCTGCTGTTTTATCATGCTAATTGTTTCTCTGAATATGCGCTGCAGTTGGAATACTTTGCAGGAATAATTTACAGTACTCTCTATGCTATTTAACTAATGAGACCCAGTTTAGTGAGCTGGAGTGTTGGTTTGAGTTTTCTGAGTTTTAGCTTGTGCCCTAAGCTCTGTCTTTCTAGAAGGTGAAGGGGAGGAGAGCAGAATGACATCTGGTGAGGAGCAGCATGAACCCCCGTGCTGAACAGAAGCCAGCATGCCTCTTAACATGCAAGCTGGTTATGGATGCTGAGTATCCCTGGCAGCATTATGACTGTGAGCTGAAGCACAGCTTCTCTTTTCATCTCGGCCCTGAACTGCAGCCAGTTACTTTAGTTAGATGCATACTTGGAGATTTGTACATCTGTGTAATATTCTCAGCATATTACACAGCTAGCACAGTTAACAGTTAGCATATTACACAGATGTGTAAGATGTATAAAGATTTATATTAAGAAAATAGTGTAAACTAAGCATAGAATCGACCAAATATATGCCCAAAGGTCAAAAGTTTGTTGATACCCCTTCTAATTAGCAAATTCAGCTACACCCATTGCTAACATAGGTGTTCAATTTCAACACAGATAAACTCTTGTATATTCTTAGTAGACAAGCATTGTAAATAGAATGGGCTGCTTTGGAACAGCTGCACATAAGCCTAAGGTTACCATGCCCAATGTCAAGCATCGACTAGACGTTCCTCAGGGACCCTCAGACTACCCACATTTTTGCCCCAAACCAACTTGTAACACGTAGGGATAGACCAAAAATATGGACCATATGGAGGTTCCTGAGGACTGCTTTGAGAACCACTGGGCCAGAGGGGTATCAGGCCCCCCTAGCTTTGGGCTATGGAGCAATGGATCCGAGTTCTTTAGAGTGATGGAGCACCACCCATTATCTGGAATGAGTTGGAGTGGCATCTGTCTTCCAGAACTAATCATCCAATATCAGTACCTGACCTTAATTATGCTCTTGTGGCTGAATGCCGTCCAATTCTCACAGCAATGTTCCAGCATCTAGTGTGAAGCCTTCCCAGAAGAGTAGGGGCTGTTACTGCAGCAAAGTGAGAGAAGCTCCCTAATGAACACCCTTGTTTTCGGAAGAAATGTTGGATGAACAGGTGTCTAAAAACCTTTAAACATGTAGTGTATCTTACCTTTTCACCTATGTCCATAATTGATTGCAATGATCAATGATACCAATATAGCTTTAATTATTGGCACTATAACTAAAGTTACAACAGTGGCACAGTGGTGGTGTATTCTAATATCCTCGCCACTCCATTACAGAGAATCAGGGCACTGCTGAATAACTCATGTTCCCAAGTTCTGATGAAAATGTGATGTGACATGAATGATTTGGTTTTTTGGATATGCTTTAGGCAATGTTTTAGCATCAGGATGAACCACTCTTTAATAGTATTTATAGAGAAAGAGTACTAGAAGGTTTCTACAGGGTTTCTTCCATTGATAATCCTTGTGGTCTATCTGCTTTCTTGCAAGAGTACACCTGATATAGAGGAAGTATCTGTTCCATAGCTGTTCCTTATCTATGGGCATTTTGTATTCATAGAGATGTACGGAAATACATCTGCCTGACTAATACACAGCAGGTTCTTTTTATGATAACATTGTAACACAATGTCTGCGCATTTAAGCCTCTTCTCCAGCTTATAGAGATGCTAAGAATGGTGAGTAGATGACATACTGGAGCTGACAGAGAGCGGGTCTCCAGCTAATATCAGCACAGGGCCAGAGTACTTACGCAACTTTCTAAGACTGATCTTGCTTCTTGAGACTCTGTGTGCCCCACATATCACTCAGGACTGCTTAGCGTTACCCATCTATTCAAACTAAAACCACTGCTGTTATACATACACTAACAAATGTGATATCACTACAATGGGAGAGATAAAACAGTGTAGACTCAGATATTATGAGCAATTAGGCAACATGGTATGCATAATTAACAAGCCCTCAGTGGCATTCATTCTTTCATTCAATTTTCCATTACTATAATAAGCTATTTGCTTTGCTTATTTATAGCAGTTCCTTCTGCTAATTTCTAATTTCTGCTAATCAGTATCTGAATCCACTCAGTAAATTTAAAATCAATTATTTTATATAACATACTTGCTATGTCATCGTAGTCTGGCATTTGGAGATTCTGTCTTGAACAAATCACTAAATTACTTAAAAGGGAAATTCAATTGATTTTTTCAAAATTTCTGCATTTAAATTATTAAGATGTAAACAAGGTCATTCGGAGTGGTTTGATGTGAAATGCTCCTCTCTAGCAAATGGACCAAGTCCGAGTTGTTGACATTGGTGTTGATATGAAAAGGAGTGTGAAGTTTTAATGCCTCTAAATGCTACCTAACAGAAGGTTGTTGCATGAAATGGTTACATATACAACGCCTGACAGCATTGTATAAATTCACCTTTAATTTAGCCTATTTACTGGATTACCTTTTTCTCATTTGGTAAGAATGCATTGGTACACTAGCTGAAACTGGAATAACAACGTCTCCCCTATTATTTGATGTACCTGCATCTACTCTATTGCTTTCTATTAAAGCTTGTATGAATATTACATCATAGGTATCCAGCTGAAAAGTACTTCTCTCTCTCTCTCTCTCTCTCTCTCTCTCTCTCTCTCTCTCTCTCTCTGCACCCTCCCTATCACCCTCCCCCTGGAGCTCCAGCACAGCAGTCCTGCGCAGAGAGGAACATCCAGAGGAGCATCCAACCACGCTTCATGAACTTTCCCCGAGCATCTCGCGCTGATTGGCGTTTGGTTTTGTTTACTTCTCTCCGCCTGACAAAGTATGAAGCGAACGAACGATTGTGTCTGGCTCTTTGATGCAGAAGGGGCAGGACTAGCGGGTGCGTAGTTGTGGAGTAGCACGCAGAGGGTGGAATGCATGCACCTAGTGCAGCTGACCACTCGACTGCCTCGTGCGTATCTGGCCAGGACTAGGGACGAAGATGCTGTGGAGAGACACTGGGGCCGGACGGAGCACATGCGTATGAAATAAAACGGGGCTGAATATGGGACTACATGGACGTGGTGATCGGCGTTGAACTCAGGAAAGTTTCCAGAGAAGACACTGTCCAAAATACGTCCAAAGTCTTTGCTCTCAGTCAGTCTTTCATGCTGTCGACCGCTGGCATGAAGACTTGGACGGAAAGGAGCCAGCTGAGCCCTTTGCTGGACTAGCCAGAACGGACGAGGTCCCTGCCAGCAGTCCAGTCCAGTCCTATGCGTCCTCCGTTTGCTTCCACGTTGATCTGTGCGCGAGAAGAGCCGAGGAGGATCAATGCTGCTGCTTCCACACACAGCACCCCTCACACTCCGCCTGTGCCCGTTTGTTTTCGGGCACTGCTTTCTCTCGTCGCTTCTGCTGGTGTGCCAGGTAAGCTCTGCTTCTTCTCCTCCACTGTCACGTGAAGTTTTTTGCGCACCGTGTCCGTGGTGCACGCACTGGGATTCAGCCCTGCAGAGCTGAGAGGAGGCAACGTGGTTACTGTAGTTTGCTTGGTCGCATACGTGAAGCAGTGAAGCAGTGGTATTGCCAGAAAAACCTCACTTTTTAGAAGACTCTAACTTTCTCAAAGCTGCCGGAAGATGGAGAAGATTCTGGGACGATGTGCAAAGTTGGGTTGATCTAGAATTGCTAGTCTTGAAAGGTGTCAAGGGTTTCCTACAAACAAACAGATGTAGTAGATGCTAATGGCAGGTCCATAGTCATAGTGGGGGTGAACAATATGACAATATTATTGTGATAAACTGTCACATTACAATGTGATTTTCTTAGCACATCAGATATTGTCTGTACCTAAAAAACACTGAAACTGCATGTTTTATTACAAAGAGAGTATAATTAGGCCTCTTTAATTGGATTTAGTGCAGCACAATATGCAAAACATTGTATAAGTAAGTGATAATATTATAATTTTGGTACTATTGCTTCTTTTTTGCCTGTTCATATTTATCATACCTCAGAAAAACGAAATAGTGTGATGTGTTAAATGTATTGTGAAAATGTCTTGAAGTAGGCTATTGTGATACTTTTGGTCATATCGCCCACCTCTACTTCATAATATTCATACAGGCCAGTGTTTCCTGAAATAAATATGTTTTCCTCCAACATACCCAGCTCAGGAAGGCCTTGTTCGTTTGCCGACTTGTTGGATCAGGTGAGTCAGACAAGGAGAAAACATCAAGATGTGCAGAGCACAGGGTACTCCAGGACCACGATTAGAACTACTGATGAAGGCGCATCATGCCATGACCAGAATATTTCTCTTCTTAGGCTTAAAGGCAAAACTGCAAGACTGGTGTGAAAATCACACACTGTTTTCACTATTTTCCCAACCAGATAAATGGTGCTAAAACATAAGAAATATAATTACCAAAGGCCTATCATTTGGGTCATCTCAGCTCAACTTACATATTTCCAGACTCTACACCAATGCCCACGCAAATACTAATAAGAACCTGCAGGCGAGTAATGGGGTTAAGGATCAAGAGTAATGTATTCTCCCCATGTCTCAAAGCCCACCCACTACCAGTCCTAAAGGCATAGAAAAGCCCACTCTGTGGGTGGGCGATTTTTGCAGAAAGCGGGATTATTCGCAGTCCTGAACGTATGGTGTGTTGGGTTTGACTGTGGCTGCAGGCAAAGCTCTTTCAGTGTACTTTTATTTTGATTCTAGTGAATGCAGGGGAATTGTGTGGAGCCAAATGATCATATTCATCAATGCGAGCATATGTCTTCTTTTTTGTTTTTTGAGATTTTATCAACAGTTGGATTGTGTGGTCACACCTCCATCATGTGGGCAATCATAGTAAATCTCCTCTCAGTGCATCACAGCCCACGCAATATGTCACGCTGTACGTGCATGGTCTGTTGTTGCATCTATCGCTCTTCATCTTTCACTCATGCATATTCTCCTACTCCCACCTACTCAAGCTCTGTCTCTCTGTTTGCTTCTCCCTCTCTCTCTCTCTCTCTCTCTCTCTCTATCTCTCTCTCTCTCTCTCTCTCTCTCTCTCAGGCTGAGCTTCAGAGGTCATGCTCACAGCTTGGCACTCAGAGAGGAGGTGAGCAGTGCCAGTCACTCTGCCACTGCAGGACCTATCCACCTCTACCACCCCCACCTCCTCCTCCGCCTCCTCCTCGGCTACTGATCCCCACAGGTAGGGGCTGCTCTCATACCTGGGATAGATTTCTACAACCCAGACAACACTGCAAACAACAGCTTCACAAATGTAGGGCTAAAATTGGAATCAGCATGCATGGCTTTTTTTGCTACAAGAGATATAAGCAGTTGCTTAGGTCACCCGAGTTGAAATGGGCCTGTGAGTATGTCATTTTTTCACATCTGTAATGGTTTGTGTCAGTCAACCCTGGTGAAAAAAACTCTTGACCCAGCTGGTCTACCAGCTTAACCGGCTTGACCAGTTGACTAGCACAGGGTATGTTTTCACCAGCTGGATGTCCAGGTAGTCAACCACCTTGACCATCTTATACCAGCAATAATTAGGGATGCACAATTGTATCATATTGATATCAGCATGAGTAGATAACTGCTTTAAAAAATTGGACAGAGGTTCAGATTTTACTGCATTTGTAACCCAATAGAAATAAATGTTAGATTTCCATGTAATACTAATCCACTAGCCCTAATTATTACATCATATAAGTGTTTATGTATCGTTATCAGCATCGGCATATATGTACATTAAAAATATCAGCACTGGACAGAATTCCCACATTGGTGCGTCCCAAGCAATGGTCTAGTTAATGACCATCAAGGATCAGATTGCGCGATTTGGAACCAGCCACCAACAGCTGGAATTTTCAACAGGGATGATATTAGCAACAAAAAAATCAAGGTTGCAGAAATTGAAATGGTATGTTTTATTTTAATTATTATTCAATTATTTTATTGCATGAACAATTCAATTGTTCATAGATTTTATTTCCTTTGTATATAGTCAGTTATTGCTTTATTGTATTTCCTTCAGTTTTTCTTAAACTTCCTATTTGAAATTAATTATCAATTCTTTTTTATTCTTGCATACAAAATACAATGAGTGGGATGGGCATGGAGCTTCCACGTAGGATGTTGCTTAGGGCCTTAAAATGTTCAGAACTGGCCCTGTCAGCAAGATTGCAAAATGAGGAGAGATGAACTGTGCTGCAGTCCAGTCCCAGTCGCAGACTATTCATATTTTCATCAATAAAACGTCATATGTTTTTATGACTAGAAATACTTTTGATATATGCCTGCAGAAAAAAAGAATCAATATTATGCATATGGAGTCTATAAGCAGCATTTGGAAAGGTTAATGATATGTTAGGAGGCTAATAGAGAGCTTTGCTGAGGTGTTAAAAAGTTTGATTCGTTGAGAACTTCAGCTGTGCTGAGGCATGATTTGCAAAATTAAAAGTATTTTCTTGCGGGAGAGTGCACAAACAGTGGGCTAATCACGCACCGGTTGACCTTGGGGAGTTCCCCATATGCCTGGAGCAGCTTGTGAGATGTTTGCCTGCTGCTCTGCCAGGCGCTTTAGTCAGCTTCCCCTGGAGGAGCCCCTGATTAAAACTCAGATGAGTTAATTAAATTAGGGGTTTGATACAGATAGGGGGCTAATGAACTGGGCCAACATTCCAGTCTAGTTTTTTGAAGATGAGCTTATACAGACAGCCAGAGGTATTTTAAAAATGAATATGTATGAAGTATGATTGTGTGTGAGTTTTGTATATTATACAAATTCAGAAAACACCTAAGAAACTGTGTGGTGTATGTTTGTGTAGGTTATAACAAAAAGCATTAGCAAAGTTAAGGGAACCGGACATTTACGCTTTGGGGAATAATTCAGTTTTACACCACTGTTGTAAAAATACAGGAAAGCAGTAAAAATGCGTTTGCTGACGAGCTAAAGTATACAGAATTCAACTCCCCTTTGCATGCACGCTCAACACAGGCATATGGACACAACATATAAACAACCAAAATCGCAAATGTAATCTATAGCATCTGTCTGTAGCGTGCACGTGAAGGGGAGTCGGAATTCAGCACAACAATGGCAAAGACAACATCAGAAGAGAAAGAGCCATGTTAACTTACAAGGTAGAGTAATATTACAGAATTTTATTACAGGAGGTTGCAAACTTTCAAGGCTTATTTGGCATGAGACTGACAAAGACTGACCAAACTTTTTGGTGTGAGATGAATTTATTTCTTTGCATGCTAGCCTGAAACGGGACTTTTATCATCTGGAAAATCTCCATGAGACAGGGATGACACAAATAAGCTTATAGCCTATGTCGCAATCTTTCATAAATAACATTGGCAGGGATGAACGCTCTGCTGTCTGATTTTTTCCTGTTAGACTGTCTTGCATCCTTTTTTAATCTCTTATTATTCCATGCTGGGAATACAGAGCTAGCTTTTTATAGCTAGCTGAAAAATAATCGTTGATGTGTGACATGTTGCCGCAAAGCATTACGCAGTTCTTGCAAGAGGTAAATTGTTACGTTCTGTTGTTTTTATGTAGTCTTAATTTTTAATTTCTTAAAGTGCTTCAGCTGGCCATATGAACCAAAAAGTTATGTTGCTCAGTCTGACTAGCAAGCTAAGTATATCAGCGAGTAGCCTACAAGCTCTGTATGACATGAAATTTCAATTACCGTTCAACCAATGTAAACTACATCCAACCAGACGTCTTCCCTCCGGATCTCAACTTTGTGTAAAACCAAATATTTTAATAAGAATGTAAAACTGTTATGGATTGAACGAAGAGAATAAAATAGCTGTTGTATATATATATATATGTATATATACGTATGTGTGTCTATATATGTATTCACTTTGGCAACTATTCACTGTTTTGCTGACCAAAGGCAGCAATTATGTATGCAAATCCTATAATTCAAAAGAATGATAGGATGTTGAACCTGGGTGTAAAGGATATGTCTTCAGCCAATGGGACATTAATCTTTGTATCTACCAATTACGTTAATAAATCCTGAGAGCTTCCCTGACTCTACTCATTTACCTTCTCTTACCTTCCCTTCCTGCCTCTGTTTAACCCTTGCATATGTATCTCCTACTCTTGCTGCCTAACAGATTGTTTTGTATTTATTTGTAGTATTGATGTTAAATTAACACCTACAGTCTTTAATTGTGTGCAGTGCTAATCTCTCAAGTGTATGCTATTGCCACTGTCGTTAGTTGTTTAGCAGTACTGTAAAATGTCATTTAAATTAATGGAATGGAAATTAAAAAAGGAATGAAGGGCGGTCTCTGACTTTTTGCACTGTACATTTGACACTGAGACATGATCGTTATTGTGTTATTTAGTTGTAATAATAATAACTGACTTGTAATAATAGCAAATGAAAATAGCATTTGTCAATAAAATTTACAATTTTTACATATGTAAGTAATTCAGTAGTGAGTGGTTGTAATGATCCCAGCCTCTTTTAAAAGATTTATGACTTCATGCCATATACTGAGTAAATGGAATAAGAGGGCTGGTTTCCGTTCAGGTCATGTATGTGTGCATGACAAATTGGTTGTGAGTATGTGTGTTTAGGTGTGTGTGTGTGTGTGTGTGTGTGTGTGTGAGAGAGAGAGAGAGAGGGAGACAGAGACAGAGAAAGGGAGTTAGAGAGCACAATTTATGATAAATTGCTTGAAATTCTTGAAAGTTTTATGGAAATATATATAAAATTGATTAACTCTTGACCAACCCATGCCATTTACACTGTCTAATGCTTTGTTTTTCTTTTAGTGGCTGAGCCTCCGGTTCCCCTGCTGAGGCCCTGGTGGAAGGACTTTATTGTGGTTGGGACAGTAGGATGTTCCTCAGCTTTCTTTCTACTCTTAACTCTCATCATCTGCTACAAGGCTATTAAAAGGTATGCAGAATTCACTGATTTGTTTTACGTAGTTGATTGGTATTCTTCACACCTGTTTAAACATTTTGGTGACAAACTGCTACTAAATGTTATTAGGCACATTAACATGCATGGTTAAGTCCAGGTTTTCTCAACCCAGGGTCCTGGAGGCCCACTGCCCTGCACATTTTAGTGCTTTTCCTGCGTTAACACACCCATCTTAACTCAATAATGTGCTGTTTATGAGCTGATTAGTTGGATCACGTGTGTCAGGGAGAACACTAAAAAGTGCAGGGCACTGGGCCTCCAGGACCAGGATTGAGAAATGCAGGTTTAGTCAACTCAAAGCTGGAGCACCTAGTAGGCTACAAGATAGTCTTCAGATGTCTTGAGTTTTGCAAAGACATCTGATTACTGAAAAAATTTACTTTGCAATTGATAATAGCAGATTCTGGATAATGCCATGGCTCGCATCACTTATCTCTCAACAGAAAGCCCCACCCAACCTTAACCACCACTTAGATAATTTATCCCTCAAATAAGCCCTTGTATGAACTGATTTAGCTGGCGAATTAGTGGTGAAGAAAAAATATTCTTGTTTGAGATTCAGTATGTGTCATTCAATACACTAGAAGGATTTGAATCTTTAAGGGTTTTGCTAATAGCCTGATTACAGCCTATTAATGATATTTTTCATTCCACATGATGGCTGTTTTTTAATGTCAGTAGAAGACATTTTGAGTCTTTTGAATCATCAGATGGAGCCTCTGTGTTAAGATGGCCAGTTGAAGGTGCTCTGAGTGCTTTCGCATCTCAAGGATAAGCTGGTTATCAACATGAACATACTGTGATATGTTCATGTTATAGACTGTTTAATGAACTGGCTGCATTGGTAATGTGACTGGACATGTTTGCAAAGATGGAGGTTTGAATATTTTAGGCTATTGATTTATTACATCCAGAACATTTAAAAATTAGCTCAGAAATGTCACCTGATGCTGACATCCAACATTTTTCATGTACATATCTGCTGATGCCAGTACCAATACATAAATATTTATAAAATGTAGAAATTGGGAGTAAATCCACCTGGACTAGCATTACAGACAAATGTGACACTTAGTTGTATAGGGTTAGAAATGCAGTAAAATTAATATAATGCAGACATTGTAGCAATAATAGCCTAGCATCACCTAAATGCACCATCAGATATTGGTTTAAAATAATAGTCAGATCTAAGCTTCTGTCCGATGGTGAGCAAGTATCTACCAATATGGATCTGATATCATTGTGCATCCCTAGTAAAAAGTCCTACCTAACATTTGCAACATGCCTGGGTAGTCTGTTCATCAAATAATCTAAATAAGTCTGTTCATAAGAGGTTGTGTAGCAGTCACAATGATTTCTAATAATTTTTTTACGGCAGTGAATAAGAAAAATAACGTTGTGTCTTTCTCTACTGAGGAATATCAGGTACATCTGAACTCTAGAAACTAATTTGGCATATCACGGAAAGAACACAAAAGAGGATTCAGCATCTTTGTTTAAGACGTCTGATTTCCAGACAAGGTGTAATTGATGCGTTTACTGATGCATTATGCTAAATTTGATCTGGCCCGCTGTGGTTGTGTTAGGACCAGGAAGTTATGCACTGTGGAGCACTTTGCCAAACACGCATGAATCCCACTTTCATTACCTGTTTTTTTAATGTCCTATGTGACTGATTTGCTGGTGTCTGGTGTCTCTCAAGAAAGTACTGCGGTTCTATGTATGTAAGTGGTATTGTATCACAAAGAAATCAAGGCTACTTCCCAATAATTGTGAGCTTTAGCTTATTAATAGCTGTACTCTCAGCTGCTGTCAAATGACTACCAGCTTCCTAAGCAGATAATTTCTACCATTTTGACTTATATAGACCTGCCAAGAAATATGAACTGAAAGCTGTACTTCATCTTCATCTGTCCATATTCAAAATGGCATGACTGAGATTAATTTGTTGACTGCAGTCGTTAAACTGTGTTACTTGCTATGTTACTTACAGATGACAAACTGAATAGTGACCTTTACTAAACACCACTCTACAAGAAAGACTGTGAGTCCATATCAGTTGTGCAACATCTAAGGTTTAATGTGGCATTTCTCAGCAGGGACATGTTCCCTGTGTTTGCAAAGAGGCAGGGGCAAACGCAGGCAGCGGAAGTAATGAGTGGCTGGCCTTGGAATTCATTATGGCAATTCTCCAGCCTTCTGAAGCCAGGGGGCATCCTCGTTTTAATGCTACACTAGCAAGAATGTGTTATTGCAGTGAGATGGATGCTGCGGCCCCAAACTCAAGTCATTATTTATGAATTAATCTGCCCAGTCATTCAGTCGCAGGCAACATCTTTTAAACATGCGAGCAGGTCGTGTCCTAAAGTTTAAACCAGTAAGAGCTCACCAGTAAGAGCCCAAGAGTAGTGGCTTTCTTAGGAAACCCGAATGTAACTCTGGCATCACTTGGTTCAGTGGAAGGCCATTTCACAATTTCAGCTGTATTTCAACTTTCCCATCCGGTTGCAGGGGATAGATGCACTCAGTCCAATCTGACAGCAATCCTATTTCCAATAAAGGAAAACACATTTCACATCCAATAAAAGACGCGAGTTCTGTCAGGTACGCAATATGACAGGTACAATGGGTAAGAAACTTAAGCATTTCATTTGAGACACAATATGAAGGTGAAAAACTGCATTAGAAGTACAGTATGAACTTGAATTGGAGAGAAATTGATCGGGCCATGCTATAGTGATGTACTCTTTACTTTTCAATTGAAACATAGTGACTTATAGATTGTCACAAACAAGAATGAAACAAAACTGGAGATGACTTGCAGTCAGTAAAATCAATCCTGGTCCTGAGAGAAAATCCATGGATGTGGTATCTCTCAAAATTTTTTGTAGCTTTTCACTTGTTAAAGATTGTCTTTCACATTTCGAAACATTAGGCTCGGGGATGTTGAGAAAGGCTTGAGTGCTAGAGTTCTGAATGAAAGAGAATAGTGGATAATGAGAAGGAAAAAGCTGGAAAACTGTAATTGAACGTTGGCTGTGAGACGTCTGAGTCAGTAACAACCAGGAGACAGTATTATCGTCTCCTCAGCCCCTCAGTACTGGGCTTCCCCAAAGGAACAGACTGGCCAAGGGCCAGGGCTGCCGTATGCCGTTGCCAAAGGAGGCCCTGCCGCAGCAGCCTCTGATGACTTAGACTGCAAGCCTTATCTGTATTTGTGCCAGTCATCCATCACTGGCAAAGAGGGCTTAAGTGGAAATAAATTCTGCTCACATCACCACGGAGGAAATCCTGGAAAAGCTGAATGGATGTTTACTCAGTGCTTTCATTTCACAAACAAATGAAGGGCACAGCAGCTTTAGGGAAGCAGTTGGAGAATTTCATATACACAAGACAACATAGGAAAACAGAGGAAAATAAACAGAATGTGCACAGTATAAATAGCCTGGCATGAAGAGCTCATATTTTAATTATTAAAAACAAAGACTATGACTATGATAGCCATACCAACACAATTATGTGGCCAATAAAGACTACTACAGTTTTAATTTGTATGTTTCTCTTTGAGTGTGCTCACCGCCTCGCCACGTTTTACAGCAGAATCTTCCAGCCACTTAGTCTACACCATTACAGCATGTTTTAAACTGTACAACACTTGTACTGGTCTCAGTGTTCTCCTCAAAACTTCAAACGGGGATGTGCACTGCACTTGAACAGCTTTGGTATAAAATATTTATCAATTCTGTGAAGTGTTGTGTCACCACCTGCCATGTGTCAACTGCTGCCATCTATTATTGAGGAGCCACAGTGGTACCAGGAACATGGGACGCCCAAATGGGCTGCCCATGGACCCTAGGCCATGCTACATATTTAGTTAATCAAGGCTCAGTTTCTCTTGTATACAATCTGAGATTCTTCATATCTTTATACAAGCCTTTTTCATTATATGTCACTTGTTTACAGCTATTGGGTGGAATTACACTTAAACATTGAATTATGTATTAGGGCTAACAGGTTACAGTACACATGAGCTAGCTTTGTATAGCATAGTCTGCAGGCTCTAAAACATAATTGAGTGTTAAAGTGTTAAATTTCATCTATATTCTCACATTTATACTGATATTCAGCATTTCACTCTTAACCACTAACAATGTAATCTAAAGCAGAAACTTAAAAACTTTTTTTACTTAATTAAAAAAAACTTGAACTGCCAAATGAAGAAGTTCTTAGGTAGGGAATGATGACAACTTGCCAACAGCCACGCAGGCGCATACAAAAGCTAATAAGAGCCTCTAATGGCTCAATGATGCCCACTTCCATCCCCCATCAGGGACCAAAGCACATGTTTGAGACAGCTGTCCTAGAGATGCTTCCCTCTGTACACAATTATAGAACTATCTTGGGATTTAAATGCCTTCCCACTGGACTCCGTTTTCCCCTAAAACCCAGGGAGATTTTGAAATTTAGCTCAAAGTTGTGGCCTCGCATGACTGACTCGCTCTCATGTGATATGGCGGTAACATTGTCACAAGAGGAACAAAGACAGGGGTCCTGATGTACCTTTAGGGACCTAAGCACCAATAGAGCAAGTATACAGTAGTCTAAGGAACAATGCCTGCACTGACTGTATTCAGCTCCATTCTGTGTTACATAAGCCTAAAAAGACTACTTGCTGGCACATATAAGACACAGTGCAGTGGAGAAATATAATAACCAGTGAGGTAATGAAAGGGAGACAGAGGGGTGCATGAATAGGCCATGTTGAGTAATACTGTCTTACACAGACCAAGAGATTTTCAGCATCATGTGGGCGTAGTTAACTCTGTTCCTTGTTCTCTTGTTAGAGAGGTAGGGAGACCGTAGGAGGACTACAAGAGGGAAAGTGGAAAATTGATCTTTTTGTTGTTGTGCTGGAAATATTTCACTGACCTGGCTCTGTACAAATTGTTTCTGTCCTTTTTTTGACACGTGTACATGTCTTCTGAACACTGTGGGTCAAGGAACAATCTTTCTGTTACTTTTTGCAGGAAACCACTGAGAAAAGAGGAGAACGGGACCAGTCGTGGAGAATATGCCATGAGCTCCCGCAAGAAAAAGACCAAAAACATTGCCACTAATAATGTTGTAGTGTAAAATACACACAGACTAAATGCAAACAAGATCACTGGCCACTTTTGGAGCATCATCTGCATCCTCTGACTGAACGCAGAGCAAATGAACGGCCGACGTCAAAGCAGAAAAGAGAGGAAATGAACAAGGTTGATGTGTTTAAACAGTGCAGGCTGCGCTGTAACAGTACTGCAGTGTACTCTCAAAGAGATTGACTCGCAACCTGTGGCTTAGAGACACTGAAGAATATTTGCATGATTTTTTTATTATTTTATTTATGAATTTTTTGTCACCATACTAAGCTAGATGCTTCATTTTACATTTAATGCACTGGTGTGAAAAAATGTAATTTATAGTTGTAGCCTTTTCTATATATTTATTATTTTATTATTTATTTATTTATTTATTTCCTTTTTTAAACCATGCAGTGAGGAGTTACGTTTTACAGCGAGATCTTGGGAACACCTTAAAAAAAACTATTTAGCATGGTATATCCTGGACACCTACCAGAGATCCTCCCTATAAAGTTTGTATTCAAACAATCATCTATAGATTGGTTGACATACACAACCAAGACTGGACTGTGGTATGTATATAAAAGTCAATGTCTTGTATCATTGAGATATGCCTATGCACTTACACTTACGCAAAGTATGTTACATCATCATTCTGTGATGAACACTGGAGTGTCTTTCCAGTGTTCCCTTGCATTATTTCTGTGGTGTAGTGTGGTTTCATATGTGCAGTGATACTAACATTCCATTTTTTGAGACCATATCCTCTCCAAGGCTACAATGCTAAACAACCCCCTTGTCTGTGCCAAATTCTAGTGATTACAAGGACAATGGACAGTTGCGCAGGAGGCACTTGGTCATGTTCAGATGTGATTACATGCTAATTGTTCCCTCCACAAGCCACCAGATAAGGGCCCTTCTGCAATAGTACGACTACTTTAAGCTGTCTGATGAACACCGCCATATTATATGAATGATTGTGAGAAGTGCAGCTGTGTTTCATGTACTGTGTGGCTGTCACCAGATGAATAATGAATGTCTATAACATTGCTGATGCTTTAACAAGAGTATTATGAATATCCTGCTACAGTGAAAAAAAACATGAGCCTTGGGATATGCATTACAATGACACAGTTCTGTTTCAGTAGTTCAAACATCGTGTTTTGTGTCAAAGTGCTGTCTGTCTAGATCTGTCGTCTACTTGCCCAAACCGTGAAAGGTCGTTTTCGCCTACATTGTAACAAGAGTATCCTAGAAAATCTCAGAAAGCTATATTTAAAATAACTGAACAAGTATTATATGTACAAAAGAGAAGGAATGATGCATGAATGTAAATATTGATTTCAGCATATTTGCCTTCTGGACTGTTACTCACTCATACAGAGTGGCTGAATATGTTTATACATAGTAGAAATAAAACAATGCAATCTGATGTGAATGTGGTTCTAGTTCAATGATACATTATGAAGGCTAATGTATGTTTTGTGAATATGCTTTGTTGTACCAAGCACCCCAGTCTTAGTGTTAACTACTGCAACTGAAAGAGACAGTCTGACGAGTGGTAATTATGGTTTAGGCTAGTTTCCCTGCCACAGATTAAGTCTGGTGTGTAACTGTAAGAATTTCATTTGAGACCAGGCTTAATATGTAGCAAGGAAAGTACCCGGTAATGTACAAATGGAAGTTTACAAATAATAAGGAAAAAAAGCATCATTTGTCTCCTACAGCATCCAGAACAAGAATTAAAGAAACATGAATGAATGGTAATGTGGATGAGAGTAATATGTCTAAGAAAGCTCCCTCTCTTCTGTAAATGTGCCACTTGAGGATAATATCATGTGGCACTCTGAGCAATTTAAACATTCATGCATTGTCTGGCCTGCAGCACTCTAAATGGCTAAAGAAAAAAACTGATGTGACAAGCCTGTACGGGTTGGAAAGGGCTGGGCTGTATCTGAGTCAGGAAAGCTCCTTGCAGTGGCAAATTTTCTGCTGTGGCATCTTGACTGCTGTGGGGAGAAAAGGCAAAGCTTTGTAAAGGATATGTCTGTAAATTAAGCTGATTAACCGCATCACATGCCGGTAGAACATGGTAGATTTCCATTCTTAACTATAAAATAGTTTTCATACTAAAAATAACAGAAATATGTATTTTTCTGAACCTTAGAGTCTCTGCAAAGACTGATTAATTAATTAAAATTAATGTCTCATTATATCTCTGGTCAAGCCTACATGTTGTAGCTAATGTATATGCTCAAAATTCATCATCCAAAGGTGAAGATCTGGCTTTTGTATCAGTTTAAATTGTTAATTGATTCAGTCTTATTTTAAGATTGTCTTGGCTTTACAAATCGTGCTGTGTATCAGACATGAGTTTGTGTTGCCATACAGGTTTAAAGCAATAAGCCACAACAGGCTGTGCATTACTGTGTTTTTACCACTGGTATGAGATGTTGTTAGGCACAATACAAAGTGGAGCTTTTATAAAATAGCCAAAAATTATTCAACATGAAAAAATACGCGAATGTTTTTTTTGTAATAATAATTGCGATAACAATTATTTCATCAAGATATGTATTGAACTGACAATTGAATTATGTACGGGCGGATGCCAAGAAATCTATCATAGTATCAATACAGCATCAACAACCTCGACTGGACAGCACACCTCCGAAGTTATTCTAGGCCACCTTGTGATTTTTGGGATGCAAAATTCCAGTCATTTCATGAACATTTTTGTTTTGTTTACAGATACAGTCATGTGCTAGTCACACATTTCGTCACATAGTAATGTTTATAGCAATTAATTTACATTAAAATTTACTTTTTCATTTGTGACAATGTTGGTAGCCATGTGAGTGATGTCAGCCAATGGAACAGGTGAACCAGTTTTGTAGACCCTGCTGAAAAAAACATAACAGACAAGCAAGCTTTCATTCATACTGGTCTAAGCTGGTTTATGCTGGTCTGATGCTAATCTAGTGCTGCTCACCCAGTACGGTCATGCTGGGTGGCCAGCATGCCAGCATCCAAAACATAACTTATGTTGAGTTTGCTGGTGATCAGCATTATAACTTCCACTGCTGCTGATCAGCATACTAACATCTAAAACACAACACACTGGTCCTTGTCGCCAATGGCAAACATAACTAACTATGCACAAATTATTTTATAGGTCAGTGGCCACCTACATAAAACTTGTTAAGTATTTATCATAAGTTCAGTGCTTAAGAGCAAATTTAAATCTCCAAATATACCCCCTGAAAGACCTAATCATGTTATGAACCATAACAGTCCCAGTGTTTAGTGTTAACTCCAGCACTCCACAATGGAATGTGTACCCAACAAAGTTCATTTGAGAAACAGAATAAGCAGTTGCTTGTGAGTAGCCAGGTGCCTAAAACACTCTGACCTTTCCACCCACACCTTACTTGAGGATTCTCAGAATCTCAGACTTCCAGCTACCCACTCATCAGGTCATCTCTCCACACGCTGCTTGGAGTGTAGAAGAGAGGCAGGCAGTGGCGTAAGGCAGGATCAGGCAAGAGGAGAGCCAGTGTTCCTGAGACTGATTATATAAGCAGCTTTTAATGAGTGAGATATTTGAAAGGGCTCTGAGTTCAAACGACCATGGCAGGCGTCTGGCAGATGCTGCATCTGAGCATGGGGAGTTGATTGCATGCACACACACACACACACACACGCTGCAGGATAGGGTCTCTTTGATGAGCTGGGCTTAGAGGTCGATGGGAAGGGTGCCTCATCCTCTGATTTGCTTGAGGGCAGGGTGTGTTGCCAGGGTTGCAGTGTATGCTGATGTGAGAGTTATTAAATGTGTATGCAACATAACTGTAGTAGCACATTAACTACACTTTTCCCTAGAGTTTTGTTTTATAGTTAAAGAAAATCTAATTTAATATATATTTAATACAGAATTTAGAAAGTGGAATAATAGACCAGCTAATGAAAGTCATTTCTCACCTCATTCAGCAGTATAAGCACTATGCTATGCCTACAGTGGATTAGCCCCACCTGTTCACATTGAAGTTATAAGGAGTGTCTCAGTTGAAACTGTGGACACAATATAGGACAGCCATGTAGAAAAGAGTTAATTTATATACATCAGTTATAAAAACAGCCTATTTCATTTTAAAGGATAAAGAGAGGTTGTAAAATTTTCATGTAAAAATTAAGATGGTTTTGGTACATAAAAACCACAGAAACATCATAAGGGGACAAAAATACTTGAAAGTGGATGACAGAAGGAAAGTAGGCTTGAAAAGGGCGATGCTGCTTATCTGTAACCTAATGAGACCTGGCCAGAACACTTCATCACTTTAAACTTGGTTGAGGGCAGCTGTAATTGTGTTTGCTGCATTTCTGAGAAGGCAGGACTGATTAATGAGTGAAAATGGCCACTATTCTCCTGTTTCACCAGGCTTGTTTACCTCCATTGTCTGTTGGTCAGGCTTTATTGAGTTACACGGCTGCCTGGACCTGGTTTGTGGTCTGATTGATTTGTGCTAGGGTGGATGCATAGAGGCAATATGTCTGATCTTGAAGCCCGAAAGTGGAGGAGGAGGAGGATACTGGAAATCCAAAGGCCAATTAGATTTGTTTGAGGTAGGCCATTAGCTTTGGTTTATGTTATTTTGGCAGCCACACATTTTTCCTCTGTTAAGGTTAAAGTAGTTTCTGAATCAATATTTATTTAAATGCCTCTTTAAGGCAAAGTTTTAAGCAAAGAACAGTTTGATGAGCAGTCATAAAATGGACACACTGTACAGTAAAGAAAACGTATTCTGTTTATTTTTTTTACTTGAAATGAGTAAACATAATATACACATATAAGCATATTACTCATCTTTGTAAGCCCTCTAGATTTAACACCATTCTCGCATCTTCTGTTAATACATATGGAAGGTGTGCACATTATATCCAGTGATTTTCACACCTTGTTTTACTGTGTGGCTGAGAAACATACGCACACACAAATACATGCACACACGCACTCACGCAGTAGGAAGACTCCTGCATCTGTTTGTGCCACGTTCTGCTGTTTTGACACCTTATTATTCAGTGTCAGTGTTTCATAATGATTACCTCACTTCCCTTATGCATGAACAGGATAGTTACATGCGAACATAAAGACCTCTATGAAGGTATACACAGTTAGCTTGTATTAGTAAGTGTATGTTTGCTGTTGCCAAAACCCACAGACTGTAGTACAATTCAGTCCATAGATACAAAAGCAGAGCTGCTAAATACAACTACATTTGGAGTCAGTATGCTGGTTGGAGCGGAGGACAGATATGCGCTGGTCGTGCAGAAGCTCCTATAGGACTGTGCTGCACATCACATGGGGTAAAACTGGGAGGCGGCCTCAGACGACTGGATCTCCACTTGAGCCATTTTAAACTGAGTACACTGCAGCCACTTGCGCAGGGCAAAGGGAAAGGAGCCAGAACCAGACCCCTGAAGACACTGGTAATTCACTCGGTTTTGGATCGCCTGCAGACGCAGCTGGAGACCCGCAGATAGGTGCTACGAATCAACACAGAGAGTCAATCAGCTCACTTGGAAATTGTTGTTATCGTGAGTCTGGACAGATTCATTTATATCACATTGTGTGACAGACAGAATACTTACATTTAAGTTGGACTGAATCATTGGCAGCCACATAGGAATTAACTGAAAAAAAGGTAAAGATTATGACAGTTTAATTATAGTTTCAGGCAAAACTGACCATACGCATTGAAAGAAGTAATGCACTGAATTTACTTTATTCCATGGTATAGGGTAACTTTGGGGAGCGACCCAGGGTAATATGTCCCCCTCATCCCAATTATCAAATCTAATCTTGACACATTTACTGAATGACTAGGGTCTAATCTATATTCTGAAATTTCTCCTGGATCACTGCATTTCTGGGACTTAGTGCCCTGTAAAATGTTTGGGGTCAGTTGATCAATTTTTTCTCACTGGATAAAAGGGATCTATGCATTAAAACAAGTTCTGCATACAATGCCTAACTAGTTTTAACCTCCTGGAACAGATTTTAAATTCACACAGCATCTTATTTTGGAAAATGAACTAAGACAAATATTACAAACAATAAATTAATGACTAGGCCTAATATAAAATGACTTCATTGAAATGTTGTTGCTGAAACTGTGCTTAATTAAAATAATTTGTTAAACTAATTTATAAAGAATAATGAAAGAAAATGAAAAAGGAAGAAAAGTGAGTGCTGAAAAGTGGCATTTTGCCTAACACTCTGCTTAACACCAGTGGACCACCCGTAAAAGGCTGAGCAAAAAGCCAGTGAGCTGCCAGCTTTGCCAGACCAACAGTGGCCCCAAGTCCCCCCAACACAAGTGAGAAAAAGCTCCCTTTTATCATACTGCCCCATAATTATTCATTAGTTATATT